AAGTTACTTGGTGAATTTACTAACATAAAACTTTAATCAGTATATTAAGTAGCATATGTCCACTATAATATAAACCTCGTGATCAAGATATATGACGAGTTAATTATGAATCCCTTTTTAGGACGAATCAGAAGAGTTGTGCAAATGGCATATCATGAGTCATAAAAATGAATAACACTCATAACGTCTCATAACGTCTTTATAAGTTAGATGGTGAATTCTTACATTATTTAAATAATCAGGATATTTTAAGAGTTGCTCGTGAATTCCTTGATCAGAATGTAAGGCGGCTAACCTAAATGTCATTCAGGACATTAAGCGAATCATACAAAGTGTTCATGTGCCTCAGCTATTCGTGACAGATCACACAAATTAAATAAACTATTTTATGTTAGTATACACAAGAATTAAGCTGTGCTACACAATCCTAAAAAGTTTTTCCCCAAAACCAAACGTTGTTAAAACGCAAATCTGTTGCTTGATTAATTTTCCACGCGAATGCGACAAATAGCGTTTCCATGTTTAATAAGTGCGGAAGCAACATAAGCGGTTGCAACTTTTATTCTTGTTTGCAAAAAAAATATAATCTCATTAATTCGTTTTTCTAAATTCTTTCAACACCGACAATTAATTTTAAAACACCGTAAATAACCCAAATACTTGTTAAGGGAGTTCATGCGATATTCTGGGTAATTTTTGAGCGTTTTGTAAATCATTCAACCTCATCTGTCTTCTTTTGTGTTTTCAGGATTGAATTATTTTACCTTTTGTACAAACATTTTTACGCCATTTAATTCCTTATTCCTTTAGAATCAGTGTTGAATGGAGCCAAATTATTTAATACTAATAATGTTCAGCGTGCCATATATGCTTAATCCTTAGTAATTCATAAAATCCTTTGTTTACTCAGAATTGTGGAATCATGTAAAGTGCGTATTTGGTTGTTTTGTTTTGCGAAACCTTATTCAGTTTCTATATAGTGCATTTGCCTCTGTGATTTCAATGAGTTCACGCTAACGTGAAATAACTTGAGAAAATTAATAACTGAATACAATAGAGAAAGCTTTTACTATTAGAATTAATATCAAAGCAGCGATAGCTATAAAAAGGCGATCTTTTGTAAAAAAGAAACTCCAGTTGGCAACAACAGCTGGACCCAGTTTAACACCACCAAAAAGCTCAGGATCGAACCGGAGACTTTCTATATCAACTCAACTGCCCAGCTAAATAAATTACTTTATCGCATTGCTCTAATTGGCATTCAAATATGTATATTTCATTCCTGGTACTCCTCCTCAGTGATACCTTTGATGACGGTGAGAAAGTGATTAGCTCAATACCCGGAATTTCCACAAATATTTCAAAGAATTGAACCGTGTGAAAATCAATTGATTTTCCTTTCTACAGAATTGTTCCGGCATACACAATGGTTATTACAACTGAGATAACATCAGACTAAGAGATTTTTTTTTAACTATCAGTAGTAAAACATAAATTACTTGAACCGTCTGCAAACAGTGTCCAACCACAGTTTCCCATAACGCCAACAAACAGCCAAACACCTTCTACAATCAAAACATCCCCTCCCCCCGACCGCGGGTTGGATGAGTGTTATTGAATTGTCCGTGTAATGTGGCCCCGGCAGCCAAATTGCGTTCCACAAGTACCCATAAAACACAACTCGGGCGGTCAAGACGCCCCACTCCACCCCTAGCCCATCCCTACCACCGCATCAATATTCAAACCCTCACCACCATAATACAGTTTATAGCGGCCCACACAATTTATGGGCACAACTTTATGTCGGTCCTTCTTTAATTCGACTACATGGTCCTTCCTCGGACCTTGCTATAAATGCCCCCACAACAAGGGGGGGGGGGGTAACTTACTGTTAAGAGCGAACATAAATTTGTAGGTATAAGAGTGTATAAGTTTTTTTTTTCAAACGCATACAACAATTCTTGAATCTATACTTGTAAAACAGTTACAGATACTGTACAACGAACCATGGATTAAACCGTACTACTTTTTTTATTTATCGGGCTTACAAAACAGCAGAGGGCAATTTTAAGACTATTGTCCTATACGGTTTACGTGGGACGGCCATTTTTACATTTTCTCCCTATACATAATGTAATGGAAATGATATATATTATAAGTAGTTTTTATCCACAGTCAATAAATTGGGATGTATACTAGGTATTACGAATGCACTACAATTTGCCAAAGCTAAACTAGTTATAGAAACAGTTTTGAAACGATAAGATTATTCGTATTGTCCTCTCTTCTGAAATTAATTGTAGGAAATTAGAAGTAAAATATTTCTTTACAATTGTTAGTAGGGGAATTCGTATAATGATATAAGTGATTATAGTGGTCGCCTGACAATCAAATAGGTCACCGGTTCGATTCTGCGAAAAGTCAATACAGGTAGTTGTTTTACGGCTCGGAACTAACCTAATTGCATAAATGGCCACAAGTTTAAGGTGGCCTTGATCATTGGGCTTCTAAAATGCTTCTCGCTGAAGAAACAGCTTATCTCAGCCTCAGCTACATCGATCTCTTTTCATTCTACACATGGAAGTCGTATTTATCTTCGTATACGTACTTAGGTGTTCGTCGTCTTAACGTAATGATAATGATATTTAATCTTGATACTTAAGAGACGCTAAGTTAGTTAGAGAATAAGAACTTAAGAGACACTAAGGCAGAGTTGCATAAAACTAGTCCTCTGAATGACCACCAATTTTAGATATCCCTGTGTTTCAACAATAGTTTTCTTCTCCCCTGGAAAGTGTCTATGCAGTGACACTAGGCCGACAATTGGCATATAACGGGGAATTCCTCGCCAATTCATCTTATTAAAGATGCAACGATACCAAGGTTACTGCAGCCGAGGGGGAAGTTCAGGGGAATTGGAAGTTGTTTTGTTGGTATCGGTGATGTGGAAGTGTAGATCTTCCTTTTCCTTTCCCTACACGAATATGTAAAATGTTTGACTCAAAGGAAAGCATTTCCATGTTAGCAATGTTTTGAAACAGACTAACAGATTTTGTGTTGTCATCTTTTCTAGAATACATAGCAAAAATATCAAATTCTTAAAAAAATAAAAACATTGCCAATTTTGATTGGTTTATAGTTGACTAGCATTGTCCATAATTTCTTACCATTATTTCTAAGTAGAGTATGTTTGTTGATACAGTATTTATTATAGTTCTTATTTATTATTATTTTAATCTTTGCTATCTTCTTAATTTTGTTTCGTATAAAACTGTATTAAATGGAAAAACCGTTCGGATAAATAAATAAATCTGCTAAGATTCTTTGTTTTGTTTACTTTTACGTCGTTATTTTGTAACCATCATGGCAACCCATAAGACGAATGTTAAAATTTAAAGATTTATGAGTGACTTTTAAATTATATAGGCTTTATCAAAAATAAAAAATGTTGTGTCCTAAATACTTTCTAAAACATGTTAATGTTAGATAGTAACAAGACCGGTGCTTGGACAATTCCCTTACAAAAAAATTATACAAAACAATAACTGTACAAAATTTCACAAAATTTACACAAAATATCTTTAAAAGATTTTACAAATACTTAAAGATGGAATACTTTGTATATTTTGAGTCAACATCAAAAATGTGAGTAATCTACTTTATTTAAAAATCACAGCATCATATAGCCCTTAAAAGTATATACAGTAAAAAAGTATTAACCAGCTTACGGTTTTTATAGAGACTATCCAACCCAGTACCGATGTGTGGCGTTGTCAGCGACAAAGCCTGTTCCATTATAATTTAACCAATGACTGGAAGGCAATCAGTTCTCATTCCCTGATTGTGCATCTTACAACATGTGTGACGCAAGTCTATGCTTTACACTCAGCCGTGAAACTTATGGAGAAAACATGTCATCTTATTCATATATAAATCCTAAAGCACCCATGAACTTTTGAGAAAACTACAAGTCACACCCCCATAAACCATATACTTAAAGTTTTCGTCATGACGAGAAACCTTGCGCAAAACTATCCATTATTTCATAAATTGCCCTTAAGGTCGTTATTCCTTTCTAAAGGGAACTTTTCATATCTCAGCTGCACTTATTTCTTTGTTATTCTTTCAATTTATTAAAACAAGGTGTGATTATTTGTTTGTATTACTGTATGCTGTTTTGTTAATTACAACTTAACTTAACCAATCAATAGTTTTATTAATACTCATGGAGTCAAACGGGGTGAAGCCCGTGGGTAATAACTATTTTTATATTAACTTTCGATGCATATTAGAATGAGTTTTGTTTTTGGAGGGATTCTTACCTTGAACTCTGTGGATTATCCAGTAGGTTATTTCACCCGTTATTATCATATTATCACTCACATTATGAACATAAAATTACAAACTACTTTTAAACAAGTTTCTGGTGGACATACACACAGAAAGGATAAACATAAAGTAGGATAATAGTTTGTAAAGTAAGGTCTGGTTGAAAGTCAAGGAGTCTCTAGCCAGGAGACAAAAGTGCAGATTGATGGTTTGAATCTTTTCTCAGTCAGGTCTGGTGTGAAACTCATGCGGAATACCTGATTGTGACAGATCTTGGTGGGAGAGGCTCTAGAATGGAGAAAGTTCCCCCCACAAAGACACCTGTATATCTAGGAATCGTTTAATACAACAGCTAAGCGCAGTCAAGCCCGTGTGTGATCTGTATTAATATGAAAGTGCAAAAAAATTGCAAATTTAACACTAAATTAGGTTTAAAACTTTTTCTAAAGCTATTTATTTACCAGAAATGGTCCTGTCGGACGGGAATCGTCACTTAAAACTATATTTGATTAAGAACATCTCTTGGTTAACATATTAAGTTGAACATTTCAATGGCTGCAGGCAAAAATAGAACATACCAAACCTTTATAAGCACAAAATCTCACGGTTTTAATATCACGAAAGGTCTTAGGCGCATGAAACATAAAATAACCAAAAACTTAACAACTCAATGCAATGTACACACAATACTATATTTCTATTATATAGAAACCCCATTGTCTCACAAAGAGAAACCACAATCCTACTACTTACCATGACCAGCTCCCCAAACAGAAGATTACAAGTATACAAAATAAAATTATGAGGGTGGAATTTGAATAAGTAAAGGCAGTTTAATTAAAATCAAATTTAAGTTGGCATTCCTTCTTTGGTATCCACCGACATGTAAGACGTTTTCTCCCATAGTTTGGCCCTTCTTTGAAGCAGTTTGGATTGGTCAGGTATGAGTTGTATATGTCGTCACATTTATGATTAAATTTGGAACAAAAAGGGACGTCTTTCTTGCAGTAGACATACCGAATTTTTTCCCAATCCGTCGTGGAAATCCCTCCATCATTCCTTCCCAGCGTTTTAATTTTTGTCTGAAAGAGAAAAAAACAGAAATCCTCAGTTTTAATGCGAATTGTGAAGTAAGAATTATCATAGACAAATAGAATGAATGTACAGTAGAATGTTAAAGAAACGTTCCGCGATAGATATTTGCCGCTAGGAGTGCCCGCTCAGCAGACGCTGCAGCTTTGTGCAACGTAACTACATGGCACTCCTAGCAGTGGACGCCGGAACATATGCTAACTGCAGCACTGCTGTCAGTCTATATTAATAATTCTATTTGTCTATGGTATTATTAAAAGATATTAAATTAGGGTTAGCAATGTCATTAAGCTTTACCAACCTCCACCAATGGTTAGCTAGCGGGATTAAATTGTCGATGTGATGGCTGCTGTTTGGTAAAAGTGTTACCGTGAAAATTTAAGTTGTGCAAATATTTACTTTAAAGAGAATTTACCCCAAACCCAAAGTACTTGTTAAAAGATTTCGATATAGACCCATTATCATGAAGTTAATATTCCATTTCCATGTTACAGTTGTAGCCCCCCTCAGGAGTAATTGTCTGTCAACTACATGGGAGGCCTCTTGTGGGCTGGCAACCCCGAGGTATCCTAGCCAACTCTCTACTCCCTCCTCTTCTTCTTTCTTCTTTTATGGCTCTTCTTTCTTATTGGCTTTCCTATTTAAAGAAATATTTTACTCTTCTCCCTTCCTTCGCCTCCTTTTCAACCGAACCTCGGTGGTGTGAAGCAATCCGTGACGAAGAGGTGAATTCCGCCGGGCTCCTCAGCGGTGTTTTGTACGGAGACTCTAGAATAACAGGGGATCTCCTAGAGTAACAGCCTTACAGCTTGACTCTCAGCCTCATAGTAGTTGACTGGTGGGAATGTTATGTCTTCTAGAAAACCTAAACCCTACTATTTTAGAACCAAACCTCAATGCAACCCCAGAAGCTGCACCACCAACACTTAAGGGGTTAGCTCATCTAGAGCAAGATCGATGAATCCCCAAAAACCAGAGGGACACAAGACCCAACTGTGGATCCGGATGTGGAGATGAGTGTGGTCAAGCGCAGACCTGGTCAAGGACACTGGCATAGGCTCATCTAGTTCGCAAGTGAGGCATACAATAAGCATCGGTTGACAAGCTAGGAACCCTGAAATTTTTCTATCATCTGTCATAGAATGAAAAGCTAAAGACCAAGTAGATTTTTAAATTGCTTCGTGATCGGCATAAACATTGAGAGGCTTAACTAACTATTGTCTTTGAGTAAAAACTATCTAGTCATTGACTTTTAAAAGTACAGGTAAATTGTTCATTCTATTATGTAATGTGAAACATATTTTGATGTGTGTTTTATCTTGGTGGCGCTTGTGTGAACAAAATATTTCTCCCTCATTTTGGGATAGGACTCTCTTGCAATTGTTGCTTTTACTCTTTGGCTAAAGTAAGATGACGAAGAGCTTTATAATCGTCATCATCAATGAGATGGAAATCCACCTAGGTGCATATTTGAACCCAAATATGAGTGAAGGGTGCTGAGTGTAGATTGTCTGTGTGGATTTACAATCAAATAGTAAATTTTGTAATATACTAAGGAATAATGTTAAACAACAAAACACACATAGGCAGAACTAATCTCCATGTCATGATTGTTTTAATGGGGTTTCAGCTATAAAGTCATCTTTAAAAGGTTAAGTATTGTATTATTCGTTATTCCTCCCAGTTTGAACTCTATTAAACGAGCTTAACAATTTTGAACTCTATTAAAATGGACAATTTGTGTATGTGAGCCCCCTTGTCTGATTTATAAGGATTATGAATCTATAGGTATGATTATCTATTCTACATCTGATCTATATAGATGGGTTGCTGAATTAAGTACCCATGTCAATGATATACGGCAGTTTAAAGGAGAAACTAAAAGTAGAGCTGGTCTAAGAATAAAGAATCAATCAAATTAGAATCCTAGCAATAAAGGTGACTTAAACTATACTCACATCATGTGGGTAGAAGTCCTTGGGTATTATTGGATAATGCAATACACTTTCAAGGTCGTAGGGAAACCCTGTAGAATAAAAGTAATCTTCTGTACGAACTTGATAAATATGCGGTTCTCCATGTATGACTGCAAGTATATGACAACTTGTAAATCAAACCCAAGTAGCATGAAAACAGTTTGAACTGGTATTAAAACAGTTTTGAAACCAGTTTAACACAAGTGTGGTATTAACACTGTTTTGATACAAGTTTTTAACAGTTTTGACACAAGTTTAAAACAATTTTAAACCCAGTCACAAAACTCTTATTAAAACTGTTTTGATACAAGTTTATAACAATTCCAAAACCAGTCACAAAACTAATATTAAAATGGTTTTGATACAAGTTTGAAGCAATTTTTTACAATATTACTACAGTTTACAATTAGTCGAACATCTTTTGACAAGTTTTCCAATCTGGGATGCCAGATCTGAGAGCTACCTTTAAAATATATAGCCCTACACCACTAACTGTAACACTTCTGATTTGTATTTGTTTAAATTAATTTATTTTTACAGGTTTATTTGTAAATAAGAATGCAATTGAATTTAAAGTGACAAACAATTAATGCTATGGAAAACATTTAATTATCGAAAAAAGTGCAACCAAAAACAAATAGAGGTTAGAGTGCAATTTAATTCCTAACTTATAAAAACTAGCTGTTACCCACGGCCTTTACCCCGTTTGACATCAAAAGTATTAATAATTAAATACCCCCGCCGCAGCAAACCTGCCGACTAAGCGAATTTCCATTTGTCTGAATTGATTTTCAGTTAAATATATTTTAATAACATTAGGTTTTACGAGTACCTAGGTTTGCTGCTACAAGGAAACTAATAAAGTGTGTTTTTGAGTAAAATATTGATAGCTTAGTACAAAATAAATAAATTTGCCAAGTTTGATCAAAATATATCCATAAACAAGCAAACTACAACATTTGACAATATTCTCCATAAGAATAACATGGGAATTTTAAATTAATATTTTTTTTAATTTTCTCCCTTACTTATAATCGAACAAAAATACTTTTATATACTAATTTATTTGTTTTTTAAGCTCTTTAAAAAGGTCTAAAGAGAAATCGGGAAATTTTGTGTTTTGAGGGTCAAAAGTGAGGAAAACCAATTTTTACCCCATAAAACCCCCCGTAAAGCCCCGTTCCCATGGTCCGATCGTGCTGGTTCGCGAACTCATTCAAGTTTATCCCGCTTTACACCTTTAAACCAAATTTCATCAAAATCGGACAAAAATTACTCAAATTATCGCGTTCACGGACGTATATATATATATATATATACTAGAGAACCCGTTTGGCTCAATGAGCCGCATAGTATGAAACATAACGCCGCGGAAAACGTTATGCTTGAATTCGACCAATTCTGGTTACATCTTAAAGTTGTTTAAACACTTGTTAGAAACTAATTTTAAATATCTCTATTTGCGTCGTCAAGGTTCACCTACATTCACCTACATTATTTCTGCTCTCGATTTCAACTGATAACTTCTAATGAATGCTAAACGATCTGCTTCACTTCGAGTTAACATGTTGCAAAAAAGTTTTTCCAGCATTAACAAATAAAGAAAACTGTTGCCTTATTGATAAACTGTATTCAGTAATTTAAGTTGGGTCATTTTATTTCTTTGATTTGAGACATCCCCCTAATCAAACGAATTTTTTCTGTAGAGAATCCTGAAAAGTGGGGTGATATATCAATCATTCCATGTGCTCCATTTTTTACTTACAAGCTCTGGGTTACCAACTGGTCAGCCATAATCTGCTTTGAATAGGTTAAAGCAGCAACACTATTGAAAGTTGGTATTTTAACGTGATGTCTGTCAGTCACAGTATATGCCCCGCATGAAAATGTTCTCACGTTGTTCAGTGGAGTTTTTCTTAATACCTGTCCCAAAGTTTTGAAAGTATGGATTCATTTGTCGAAATAGGTTGGATTACTAACTCTTGTAGCTATAAGATTTAGATAACAATTTCCATTTTCTCTTTTTGAACAGCGTATATTATTTTCGTCTCCTGAATCATAAAAATAAACTTGACCGTATCAACTCGATCATTTTAAATTCTTGCAACAAATAAATTGCCAAATGGTGTTTTTGGCCTCTGGGGACATCAAAATGAAAAAGTAAATCGGTCCCGGGTCTAGGTCTTACCGTGCCTCCTACGGTAATAGCTACTTCCCTATAGGGAAATTCGCTAAAAATAATTATTTTATACAGAATAAAAGAAATTTGATTTGGGTTAAGGAATGGGCATACGGGAGGGACGATGGTTAAAGGTTTGGTGACGTCAGTATTTCACTGAAGGTTCTTAGACCAAAATATATAGGATTATATAGTTATAACTGGTGAAATGCATCTTAAATTAAGTAAAAATTTGAAAATGAATCAAATTATGTTTTTGGTTGATTACAGTGGTAAATATATGCCAATGCTTGATGTGAAATCTTTGCGTGCATACCTTCAATTTGAGACCTCAATCATGAAAATCGGTCGGGTAGAAGAGCCAAACGAATCCGGAAAAGAAAAACCAAATGTAACTCCAATAAGAAATACATTTCGGAGCAAATTTAGTTTACGTATAAGCCGAGTGGAATTATAGATAAATATATGCGGATGCTTGATGGCAAAACTGTTAATACATACCTTCAATTTGCCACCTCAATCATGAAAATCAGTCGAGTAAAAGAACCAAACGAACTAAGAAAAGATAAACCAAATTTAACACCCAAAACAAAAGAAATAAATGATGAGCAAATGTCGTTAATATATAAGCCGAGTGGGATTATAGATGAATATATATATTTTTATAGCCGATGCTTGATGGCAAATCTTTGCATGCATAGCCTACCTTCAATTTGAGACCTCAATCATGAAAATCAATAGGGTAGTAGAGCCAAACGATGTCAGAAATGAAAAACTAATTTTATTTTTCAAATATTAGACCAGATGAGGTCCCATGCTGCTCCGCAGAATTAAAATAAAAATAATATACGAGAAAAATCAAATTTATGATTTTTGATTGAGTAATACAGTAGCCTATCTTGAGCTTAACTGATTCAAACAATCAATAGCTCAATTTAAAGCCTATAACTTACTGATTATTTTGAGTCTAAAACATATGGAAAAACATTAAAAATACTGGAGCTATTGATTTTTAATCATAGAAAAACCTTATGAAAAATAATTTTGTTCACCTTGCGTTTGCTTAAAACTGGTTCGATATGAATAACTAATAGCTTAAATTAAAGCCAGTATTTCACTGAAGGTTCTTTGATCAAAATATATAGTATTATAAAATTATAACTTGTGAAATACATCTTAAATTAAGGTAAGAATTTAAAATGAATCAAATTACTTTTTTGGGTGAGTACAGTAGGTAAATATATGCTGATGCTTGATGTGAAATCTTTGCGTGCATGCCTTCAATTTGAGACCTCACTCATGAAAATCGGTCGGGTAGTAGAGCCAAACCAACTCGAAAAAGAGAAATAAAATTTTAACTCCCATAAAATTTACATGGGGAGCAAATGTCGTTCATGTATAAGCCCAGTGGGATTCTAGATAAATATATGCCGATGCTTGATGGCAAATCTGTGTGTACATACCTTCAATTCGAGACCTCAATAATGAAAATCAGTCAGGTAGAAGAGCCAAAGGAACTCATAAAAGAAAAACCTAATTTAACTCCCGTAATAAATACATGGGGAGCAAATTTTGTTAATGTATAAGTCAAGTGGGACTATAGATAAATATATGCTGATCCTTGATGGCAAATCTGTGCATGCATACCTACAATTTGAGACCTCATCATGAAAATCGGTAGGGTAGAAGAGCCAAAAACCAACTCGAAAAAGAGAAACCAAATTTAACTCCCATAAGAAATACATGCGGAGCAAATTTTGTTTAAGTATACGGCAAGTGGAATTATGGATAAATACATACCGATGCTTGATGGAAAATCTATGGGGTAGCGGATTTTTATCCCCCTGGAATTTTACCCCCTGGGCAAACGTGACGTCACAAACCAGGGGGTAAAATTTCGGCCGTGACCTTTGAGTTTTGCGACATCAGCTCGATGGATTAAACGCGGAATCAAACATATATTTTCACGGTTGTGAATTTAATCAGAACACATCAAATTATAAAAACCTAGAGTGTACGGCCCGGATTTTTACCCCCTTAATTTTACCCCCGGAATTTTACCCCCCGGATTTTTACCCCTGGATTTTTACCCCCGGAATTTTACCCCCTGGCCAGATATATAAATTAGTGAGAATGATTAATTATCTTCATTCTGTTTTAATTTAATAGTAAACATTTTGTTATGAAGTAGCCTATATTAATAATCGAACAGGTTTTTAATTTTAATTTTGAGATTCTAGTATTAGTATTCGATCTTTGAAGCCAACAGTTGGTTAATATGATGTATAAACAATCAACTGAGTAATAATTGTTTCAAACATTTCTTTACAACAAAAAAAATTAAAAAATAAATAAAGATATGCTACTAAATAATGAAATGTTTACAATTAATTAAAAACAGAAATAAGAATATCAATCATTCAATTTCTAAAATCGGCCAGGGGGCAAAATTCCGGGGGGTAAAATTCTGGGGGGTAAAAATCCGGGGGTAAAATTCCGGGGGTAAAAATCCGGCCCGTACATCTTCAGTTGTCTAAACGCTAGTTATATGGACAGGGGGTAAAATTCCGGTTTTTATCGCTAATCAAATTAATCACGCTCTGGCTATTTTCATTAGATTACCAAATCCGCGGGGGTAAAATTCCGGCCGCGAACAAACTTTTGGCCACTCAGGTTACTACGTCATAGTGACGTCAGCTTTGCCCAGGGGGATAAAATTCCGGCGACCCAAATCTGTGCGTGCATACCTTCAATTTGAGACCTCAATCATGAAAATCGGTCGCGCAGAAGAGCCAAACGAACTCGGAAAAGAAAAACCAGAACGCACGTTTTGGAGTAGGTTTTACATATGTTTACTGTGTATTAACTTCTATTATAAAATAAACTTGCCTCATGGCAATTACGAGGTTCTTTTCCGTTAAAATCCAATCCCTAACAATGTTCTCACTAGGTGATATACAAATCTAACCTTTCGTTAAATGAAGCAGTTAGTATTCTTAGGTACCGGTAAACTTATGTTCTTATTTCCTTAGATTAGGGTAAAGAGTCAAAATATAAACATGAGCGAAACCTTATCATAATGTTGGATGTCCCCAGTGTTCTTTTCTTAGGGAACTTTTACAAACGGGTACCCGGAGCCACTTTACTTTTTCATTTTGATGTCTCTACTAGAGACCAAAATTCATTCTATATATTATCTGTGTGAGTCCGAGAATACAACGGACACGAACAAGAGCAATTGCGTTTGATTATGATTAAATTTTGCATGTTTGGATTGAACTGAATAAACTTAAATGATTTTGTGAACCTAACGAGCGTTGATCGAAACTTGAGAACAGGGTTTTACGGAGTCAAAGTAAATTTTCTCATTTTTGCCTTGGGATAAAAAAATTCACAATTCCTTTTCAAACAATTTTGTAGAGCTCAAAAACAAATAATTAGGTTTTTTCTAGGTCTTTTAGGAGTTTTCTTACGCTAAATGGTTAAAAAGAAATGATTTGATAAAGGTATATAATTAAAATATTTTTGTGGTATTCTTAGGGCGAATAGGTAAACTGTTGTAGTTTGTTTGTTTTTGGATATATTTTTAACAAATCTCAATAAACTATTTATATTTTACTAAAGAATTCCCTTTTCCATCCCTGTGGCAGTAAATCTAAGTGCTCGTTAAACATAATGTTATTTAAATAGGGACGAAATTTGACAGGTTCAAGGAAATACTGATGCAAAAACTATCATTAGACAAAAATGTTAGTACGGGGAAGGCGGCTTGGGTTGCTGCAAGGGGGTATTTTTACTCTATTTTTGTTCTTTAAATCCATAGTAGAAAGCCCAAACAAAAACTGCCTCTTCGGCTTTTATAGCTTTACTGGGACATGCCATGAGACACTTGCTCTAACACGTGTTGCAATGCTCCTAAGTGTACAAAGCCTTAGTTTTTACTTCGTCTGACTTTGTAGTTTGTAAAACCCTTTAAATGTATAAGAAAAGTTGGAATAACACTGTGTCATAATTTCTTTTTACTTAAATTCCGAAATGTTGTTTGTTACACAAGAAAGGTAAATCAAATCACTGAGGTGAAGAAAATTGAAACAAAAGCATAGGAAATTTGCGAGTCTATTTACAAAAATATTGGTATTGTTTGAGCAATCTATCATACGTTTCAACCAAGCTATAAAACTTTTAGACTAAGCTGTCATACTTTTTGGCCAAGCTTTTGAATAAAATTTTTACAAAATTATCACACATCACAACACAATCAAACTTACTGTAATCAGACACAAACACTGAGCAGTCTCGATCTCTCCTGACAAACTCATGGTTGAAGCCCATAACGTTCATCATCACATGCAGAACTCTTGACAAAAACCACTTATCTCCCACGGAAGAAAGATTGTTAATCATATATTTGTAGCTGAGGTAAACGTGTGTGTTGTTGACTTTTTCAAAGTCGTAGCCAAGGTTCGCATAGAGATACTTTACATCAAAGTTGGTCTGTACGAAGGTTACCCAGTGGTGTATGTGGTCATGTGTGCCGTCCGGTAGTCTCTGCTCCCACCTTATACATTTGTGGTTGCCCAAGTTGTTGTTGAAGTACTCGATCCCACGAGATACTTGGGTTCTGAGACGTGGGTCTAAAAAAGGCATTTCTTTAAAATTAGAGACAAATAAAACCCTTACTAACTAGTGTTTTGAAAATTATACACTATAAATTTATATTACATATGAAGCATTTGAGGGGAAGTTCCCCCGGAACTTTTTTGTATTTAATGTATGTTGCTTAATTAGCTGTTGAGCTATTATTTTAAGGGTATGGGTGAAGTGGAGGGGATAAATTTCTTCCCCTAAAACCGCATAAATATTGTGAACGAATTAAAGCACTGAAAACAAGTCAACCTAATAAAGGCTTAAGGATATTATGCCTAACTTAGAGCACAAGGGCTTGATTTTAGAAAGGTTTGTTAGGAAGACAGATTTACTTACACTATATGGATTAGATTGAATTATATTTTTTAGAAATTAGATTATATTTACATTATACCATGATTATACATACCCATGTGAGGATCCATGTCATACCAAATTATTCCATCTGGCCAAAAAGCAGTTTTGTAGAACTCACTGTTTCTAAACAACGATTCATTATATTGCATTTTCCGTTCAGTAAAATATTGGTCATAGCAGCATACGTGTTTGTCTGAAAATATTGACTAATAACTCATCAAAATAAAGTAAGGGTGTGTGCTTTTACTTTCTCCCTCTATACATAGCATATGGAGAAAGTATTGTTTGCGTCAAAATTTTTCAGTTTCAGTGTTGAGTGGTTATATCCGTTTTTGGGTCCCCCTGAACCCAAATAAGTAGCTTTCGAAGTGATGTCTGGGTGTGTGTGTGTGTGTGGATGTGTACAGAGCTACATATCACACCTTTGGTCCGATTTTGTTTAAATTTGGTATGTAGGTACTAATCCATAATATCTACAAGTCATGTTTTTTTATTTTTTCAAAATTTTGATTTTTAATTGTGATTTTCCAATAAAAACCCATAAAATAACGGTAAGATATAATTTTCTCAAAAATACCCCTAACGATTTTGATAGAAATTTAGTATGTTATGGTCCTTTAAATTCTGAAAAAAATTGTATAAATCCCATATCCGTCAAATTTGTGGTTCAAAAGTTATTGTAACTTATGTCATTTTCCCACAAACACCCACAAAATAAAACATTTTTTTTGTCGGATTTGATTAAAATTAATGTTTTATGGTCCTCATAATCCTAAACAAAATAGTGCAACCCCCATTGCTGTAACAATCACTGCTCAAAAGTTATTGCAACTTTTTTGAATTTTCCTTATAAAATATCATAGTTACTCCCACCGCTTGCCCATGATAAAGGTTGTTGACAAGCTCATGGGAGAGAGTATGTGTCAGATTGCTGTTACCGTTTATTTTATTGGTCCTAGTTTTATTTAACTGAGTGTTGAATTGAATTATGGGTTTATCTCTCCACTATATAAATTTGGGTTTTTCATTATGAATAGTATTTATATTTACATTCATGAGGGGATTGCATCAAAATGGTAAACAAATCATAAGGTTTTTAATTATACGAGTACATTCTCAGGTTCTGAAATGATAGGTAGTGTAAATTATCGAAGTTGAGTTAGTGATAGTCATAGTCCTTTATTCTCTGAATAGGTACAACTTATTACAATCATACGTCTCTGTCATCTCACGACATAAACGGGCAAAATACTTGACATGTAGCAGGATTGTTGGCCTTAGGTTTCAACATTCAAAACCTATAAATTTTAACATTAACTTTTATTTCCAATCCCCCTCACAAATATTTAGAAACCCTCTATTTAATGGTTTTGGATAAATGTGACAAAGCCTTGAAAAATGCAGAGAGTGCTAATATTTTAGAAATGTGTAGCACCCCCCCCCCCCTTATATATAGAATATACAGAAAATTAATAAAAGGTTAAATTACCTGTGTCCGCCGGTCCGGAACAACAACAAACAACATAAAATGAAATATACAGAAACTAATAACGGTTTCATAACCACTTCTACAGTGCTTGGTGTTTAACTACCAACTTATTATTGGTAAACGCAGTAAACAAATTTCTAGAGATCTAATTGCCCTGAGGGAATTTCCTATTTAATCTTCTTACCAAAATGTGGGCCTGGGGGTACGCCATGGGCGGGTTGACTGTCTACAGCCAGTATGTCCTCAACGTCTTGAGCCTCTGCTGAAAATGAACATCCACCATTTTTTAGTTAGAGACAATACATATAGTCACCATACCTGCCGTGCCAGTGACGTTGATTTGCCGAGATGTCGCCTCGCCTGCTCACTGAAGAGTTATCCTCGGTCTGCAATAAAACTCTTCAATTCCTTGCCGGTTCATGTGTGCGACCAGGACCTAAATGGCTTTAATACTGCCCTGCACGACAGGCTGGTAATTAGGCCACTTTACAGCCTAGAAGAACTAGGCAAGGAGCCACTTTTTTAGCCATCGCCACTGTGTAAATAGTTGTTTTTAGTATTTAAGTAAAATTTGACAAAAGTCATACTGATCATCATCGGTCTACGACATAGACTTCAAGTATTCAAGAAAATAAGTAAATATTCAAATAAAGATAAAAATTTAGTCTTACTATGTTTAAATTAAACTAGGTGTTCCTCAGGACTTTTTCCTATGACATAGACTTACCGATTTGTTAATACCAAGGAAAAAATTTGGTTCAGATTTCACTATAAACTGTAGGTCCCTTAGTTGCCATTAGCTGTATGGGCTATTAATGAACAGCTATGTCTAAGGAATATGTCGGCCTTAGTCACTAACAAGATCATGCCACTCATCCTACACTCATCTCCATTCATGCTTGGCTTAAAATACCTACTTTGTATGGTCGCCATTCCATTGAAAAGTATTAAAGTATTTCTATGCTATATATTCAATACTACAATACTATAAAGCTTATGGTGTATATAAATGTGGGGCTATCTCAAAAAAGAATCTAGAAGGCATTTTGAAACTACAGAAACAGGTAATCAGGGTGATATTGATATCAAGCAACAACGATATTTTGAACATAATGTTTTCAAAATAATATTTTGAACATTCATCAATTAATTCTGGTTAGGTACTAGACTGAATAATGTTTATGAAACACACAAATTTTGACTCTTTCAGTAAATGATCAATCATAACTAGTCTACACATACCTACAAAATAATTTTGTATATGAAAATGAATTAGAGCTGTAAAAAATACCGTTTACTATGAGGAAATACTTTAAACATACCAGTAATGATTAAAAATATAAGTATTATATTGCCTGTGGTTTAAGCTTTAGTTTTATATTATATAACATTATTCATCTCCAATTATGTAAAGTGAATTTGATTTAGAAAAAGTGTAAAACCTTACTTTTATCTTCACCAAGTGTAAAGCCCAAGGTCATAAAATAAACCAATAGTATGGTGAGTAGAACTTCCATTGTATTCAACATTCAAACAGTGTCTGCAATGCAAACTTAAATTTAAATCTGCTGTAGGTGTAATATGTTCCACACATTAAAAGCTAATCGTCTGTTTTAAAATCAATTTGCTCTATTGACACTAAATGGCTCATCCAGTTATGGCAAGTATGGCAGTATATTTTGTTTGGGAAAAGAAATGAAATAGGTAAAATTTTGTAGATGTTAATGATGTTTTCCATAATACTTTATGAGCTCAAACAAATTAATGTGAATATTATAATTATAATATATAAAAACCCTATTTAGAGTTTCATATTCATATACAACATATGAACAGGTAACAGACTGATGTGATTTAAAACGATTTGGTAGAATGTACACTTTCTATTCTATGTTCTTATTTTGTCCTTAAAGTAATTTAATATTTAATTAAATAATAAATAGTGCACATAATGTCCACTGTGTACAGTAGTATATTTCTATTAGTAAATAACTTCACATAAACATAAATATAAACAACAACAAATAATCAACTTCATTAGCTAGATTAAAAATAGAGACCGTCTTTGGAATTATGTATTAACTCTCCCCGCCTAAATTTCACATTTTAGAAGCTGATCGATATGCCTCCTCCACACAGTTCTGTCTTCCATTTTGACTTGGTATAGGAGGGTACCTTCTCTTACAATTATAGTTCCAAAGCACCACTTCCGTTTAGGACTTAAGTAGTCTTGAGCCTGTATGCCATCCCCCACTTGACTCAAATGGGACAAAAATCAAGCTACAGTTCCGAGGATACATATAGAACTATTCCCGCTTACATTTTGATCTAGGGCTCTGCCCCGCGAGATTTCAAAGTTCTGAGGTGAGTGTTTTAAAAGTAAATACCCAAAGTTTAAATGTAAACAAACAGAACTGTCAAATGAATTTTTATTTCACATTTCCACACATGTAGAAAAAGCTGTTGCTTTTGCAGGAACACAGGTTTATTTTTTTTCTCCAGAAAATATTTATTATCTATATATTATAAAGAAGAGGTGGTGTCCGTCTGACTGTGTGTGTGTGTTAGTATGAGATAAACTCAAAAACTACTGAACCGGTAAGGAATCTAACTAATGTAAGGAACAAATTTTTGAAGAAACCAATGTCTCTTTTTTTCATAGACCTAGAGCCTAACGACAATAATAAGAAAATATTTCAAACATGATTCATTTTAAATGCTAAGGTTTTATTTGAACCCCCTCAGAAAAAAAATAAAGAAAGAAATTGTCCAATGTAAACCTTGCCAGCAGTATGGGCACACAAAATCTTACTGTCACCACAAAGTATCGTTGTGTTAAATGCACACAGGAACATGACACCAAAGACTACCCTAAACCACCTGATGTACCCCCGTCTTGTGTGTTGTGCTCAGGAAAGCACTCTACAAATTACAAAGGTTGCCCTGTTTATAGAGATATACAAAATAAGCAGTTCCCTCCTCTCAGAAAAAAAAGACTCTTGGTCCTAATCAAAGCAATCTGGGTCTCCAGAGTTCCACACAAGACAATACCAGTAATACCTTACCTAAAAGTTAATTAGTAAAGGAAGGGATAACATTTGCTCAAACTGTGCGGAATAGTAGTGAAGATGGCCACTCCAGTCATCATCATGTTAGTGAACAAACCACAGAATCTCATATTCCGTCTGACACTAGGAAAAATGGTTTCTTATGTTTTGAGAGCATATTATCTAAACAACCAGAACAGATTAATACTTTACTTAATCTTCTTACCACCCTCGTTGCCCGCCTAAAATAACCACAACTATTAAAACCAATAACCCCAACCGAGGAAGGCTCGGTGGCACGGGACTATATTTATGTTTATTCTGTACTCGCTGATTTATATGTATGCAGGGTAAGTCAAATTCCAGCTTCGCTCGAACTATGGAGACTGGGTTATCACAGAGCCATCAGAAGTCAATCATTGGCCATTCATAATCTGACATTCCACAGCTCCGCTACATCTTGGTTTGGAACCAGGTTAAAAAAGGATAAAAAGGATCTGATTGAAAAGACTCACAATAGTACTTATTTTTTATTCAACGATATTTAAACTATGTAAATAACTCCTCAGATATGTAAAATATACCTTTATCCCATTTTTAGTGGACAAACTTAATATGTATGCTAATTTTTTTGTTGTGTTGTTCATTCCGAATCACGTTGACAATAGTATTGTAAAAAGGTTAAAATACCTGTAACTGCCTCGTGATTCCTCTGTTCCTGTACTGGACTACGCGCGTTTCAATGTATTCACATCATCATCAGGTCACAAACTTGAAGAACTTAAACCATTCTAACCAATTCTAACCAAATTCTGACCAATTCTAGAATGGTTTAAGTTCTTCAAGTTTGTGACCTGATGATGATGTGAATACATTGAAACGTGCATAGTCCAGTACAGGAACAGAGGAATCACGAGGCAGTTACAGGTATTTTAACCTTTTTACAATACTAATTTTAGGATTGTAGATACCTTAATCTAATGAAGAATACTAATTTGGCGCAGCGAACGAGCTCCAACCTAAAGGTGAGTGAGCGTAGCGAACGAACTTCAACCAGGACGTGATTGAGCCATGCGAACGAGATTATCTTGAAAATTAAGAAGTTAAACGGGGCAAAGCCCGCGGGTACAGCTAGTTTTTAACAATATCTACAATGGACTTTTTTTGTGATAAGCAAATTGTTAATTAAATAATCACTGTAAACAAGCCGTTAAAAAATCAAAATAAATATGATTAAAATTATTTCTAATATTTCTCAATTATTAGAAAAAATATTAAAAAATACAATAAAAATTCATATCACTATACAGTATTGAAACTGTACACAAATATTACAACAACGTACATCACAAAGCAATAGTAAACTCTATTTATATTTCGCTCATTATTTGTAAACTTACTTTGAATTTATTTAGTTATGACAATGACGCTATGGAAATAGAAAACATACTCCCTTAGTAGATTTGTCATCCTAATGGAACAACTGAAGCCAATTTTATTGTTAGTTCTGTTCGTCCAACTGTAGAGATCGTGGTTTGTCTTTACAATTTGTTTCTTGATAGTTCAGTCATTTAAAACCTCATTTAACCAAATAAAACGATATAATCATAAACAATAACTGGTCTCCTAGTTATATAACCAAATAGTAAAGCACAAATCATGAAAATAACTCTAAAATAATAGATACACAATTTTGTCTACCCCAGCGATCAGTATCGACGTATACAAACTAGACACAAAAACAAGCTTCAAAATTTACAATGGGATGAGGAGTCTACTTGTGTTGCTTAGTCTATGTTATGGATCTAATCTGACAATAGTATGGACCACTGAAAAACTACTATATTTGACACCTTGGAAACACACTCTTACATAATGTGATAGAATATAAATAATACACTTGAATTTACAGTCTTTCAGTTGCCATACCACATTTCTACCAAGTTAAAACAGATAAAGGAAAATAATATTACAATTAAACTATAATATATTTTTATTTAATTTATTTATATTTTATAAAAGAGTGAATAGAGGAAAATATATGTTAATTAGTACATGGTAAAAACGACAAAACCAAAAAAGGGGTATTCCAGAAACTCTATACAATTTTAATACATTTTCACCTTTAGTCTATTAATGTGAAATAAACATAATTGACCAGTATCAGTTAAGGACAACAGTCTCATCAAGTGTTAAATAACAATGCAAATTCAAATTATTCCCTAAAATCATTGATCAATAATGGCTACTATCTGTGGACTAGGTTTTTGAGGGTTTTGTGGGTTAGGGTAGACTATGGTAGGGTTTTACGCTTGAATTTAGACTGGTTTCTCAAAAACTAGGGGTGTGCAAGTACTCAAGTGGTAGAGCAATTATTTCATTATTGGTATGGTACGGTGGTAGTACGGTATGGCAGATTAAACACACAATCATTACAACAGCAAGTTATTTTATTACTCTTACAACCATCTGGCATTGAAACAAACTGGAATAAAGTTGTTAAAATTTTGAAGAGAAGTATAAATTGCTTGATTAGGTTACCCCAAGAGCAAAACTTAAATTAAATTACGGCTTCTTAGATCTGAAAAACTAATTACAAAAGCAAAACTTTGGATATAATATTCTACAGGCCTAATAAATAATTTTTTTGTTCAATAAGATTTGTATTTAATTTCTTAAAGGTAACAGGTTACAAAATTAACAGGTTACTATACCAAGTTGTAATGGAACGGAGTCAGGGTGTATACTATTTTATTAAAGTGAAATTCCAGGTTTTTTCCAGGTTTTTTCCTGGTTTTTCCAAGTTTTTCCAGGTTCCCGCGTATTTGTTTGGTTCCACTTAAACTATAATCAATTTAAGACTTGCAGCCTAAGTATACAATATAAACTTACATTAAATTTGTTTCAAAGATTTTCATTATCATCATTACTTAAGTCCACGGAAACATCGTATCTCTCGTTGGCAGCAAAATCATGAATATTATCTTAATTTTTTATGAACACATGATCAACGGCGGCTGAATCCTGAATATTTCCTGCGGTCGTGTGGTCGCTTCCCACGGTGACGTAAACGTCATCACAGTCTTACGTTACCATAGAAAAATCCTGGACATATCCGCGGTATGTATACATTATCGCCATCTCTCGCGATCACGAAAACGTAATCATCGTCATCCACGATCGCAGCAAAATCACGAAAATCTTCCGCGGCCGTGTGGACATCATCATTGACTCCCACGGTCACGTAAACGTCATTGTCATCGACCGCGATCACGGCAAAATAACGAAAATGTTCCGAGGCCGTGTAGACACCATCATTGACTCCCGCGGTCACGGGAACTTCATTGTCATCGACCGCGATCACGGCAAAATAACGAAAATGTTCCGCGGCCGTGTGGACATCATCATTGACTCCCACGGTCACGTAAACGTCATTGTCATCGACCGCGATCACGGCAATATAACGAAAATGTTCCGAGGCCGTGTAGACACCATCATTGACTCCCGCGGTCACGGGAACGTCATCGTCGTCTCCCGCGGTCACGGGAACGTCATCATCGTCTCCCGCGGTCACGGAAACGTCATCGTCGTCTCCCGCGGTCACGGAAACGTCATCGTCGTAGGTCGCGATCGCGGCTAAATCATGAACATCTGCGGCCGTGTAGACAAAATCATCGTCGTCTTTCGCGGTCACGGCAAATCACGAAAATCTTCCGCGGCCGTGTAGACATCATCATTGCCTCTCGCAGATATGAAAACGTCATCGCCGTCGTCCGCGATCTCGGCAAAATCATTTAAACATCTGCGGCCGTGTAGACATAATCATCGTCGTCTCCCACGGTCACGGAAACGTCATCGTCGTCGTCCGCGATCTCGGCAAAATCATGAATATTTCCCGCGGCAGTGTATACATCATCGTTGACCCCGCGGTCACGGAAACGTCATCGTCGTCTCCCGCGGTCACAGAAACGTCATCGTCGTCTCCCGCGGTCACGAAAACGTCATCGTCGTAGGTCGCAATCGCGGCAAAATCATGAGTATTTCACGCGGCCGTGTAGAAATCATCGTTGATCCCGCGGTCACGGAAACGTCATCGTCGTCTCCCGCGGTAACGAAAACGTCATCGTCGTCTCCCGCGGTCACGGAAACGTCATCGTCGTAGGTCGCAATCGCGGCAAAATCATGAGTATTTCACGCGGCCGTGTAGAAATCATCATCGTCATCTTTCGCGGTCACGGCAAATCATGAAAACTTTCCACGGCCGTGTATACATCATCATTGACTCCAGCGGTTAGGGAAACGTAATCGTCGAAGTACGCGATCGCGGTAAAATCATGAATATTTACCGCAGCCATGTAAACATCATCGTCGTCTCCCGCGGTCACGGAAACGTCACCGTCGTCTCCCGCGGTCACGAAAACGTCATCGTCGTCGCCCGCAAACGCGGCAAGACGCGTTTTACGACTACAATCTTCTACCGGGGCTAAAATAAAAATCCCGGATTCGGTCCAAAAATCCCGGCTTTTTCCCGGTTTTTTCCAGGTCCCTTCAAATTCAAGGTTATTTCCCGGTTCTCCCGGTTTTCCCGGTTGGTATACACCCTGGGAGTAATGTGTTTCTCAAAAGTAACGGTTTTAAAATTTATTCCTTAAAAAATTAAAACAAAACCAAAACTCAATATTAAAAAAAAAAGCCTCAAGGATCTATTTAATGGATCTGACCTTGTACTCTATAGATGAATTGAAAATGGCTTTATCTTAGTAAGCATTAGTTTTTGGTTGATTTGACACTATTCATGTGCATACAACCATGTATACTTATGAATTAAGATTCTTGACTATGACTATGACTAAGGGTTGCCATGGTGGTTACAGAATGGATTTAAGTTGCATATTTCAACCAGCGTTGAAACCTTGGTAATAGTAACAGCTAATTTTAGACTGGAAAATAAAGGTAAAATGCCAATGTATACAGGATAAAGAATCTAGAAGTATACTTATAAGCCTGCATTATGTCTGCTGTGAGTTGAAAACTTTTGGTGAATATGATACTACATACAAATAACTTAAAAGACTTTAATCAAAAATATCACAAAATATTCTTATTTTATTTTATTTTATTCAAACCCACAAATCAATACTCGCACACTCCTGTTGAAAAGCTGCGTTTCAAAACATTTTGCCTGATAGCAACCATATACATGTACATGTAAAACTGAATTACCATTAGTATTGAAATACTGTAATAAACGATGAAGTTATACATATCTCTACACAATCATGATGTCGAGGCCTGGTGTATTGACTACCCACTTGACCAAGATGGCTTGACGACAGATGCCCCAGAACTTGAGTGGCTTGAGATTGCTCTTAGTAGCTGTAAACATCCATCCTAGGTGGTGGTTGCAGTGGTTACACTTTGCTATGGTCCAAGCGTATCTGTCATATAAGAAGATCAAGGTCATTTAATTGTTTACACACTGCAGCAAAAATGACAAGGGGTGTGGTGCTAAAGTATTTCATTCAGCGAATTTTCCAAATAGGGAATTAGCGAATTTCCCATAATGGGAATAAGCCATTACCGTAGGTAGAGACCTGAACCCGGGGCCGATTTACTTTTTCGTTTTGATGTCCCCAGAAACCAAAATCACCATCTGTTCAAATTCATACAATTAGGGATGTGTCAATTCTCGATACCGATTCTCAATACTAGACCGATACCTGTCACGCCCGCGCAATCCGGAAATTACCGCTGTTGCCGCACAGGCGCAAGACTGCGGGAGTCAATGATGATGTCTACCCGTCGGCAGAAGATTTTCATCTTTCATGATTTTGTCCCGACTAAGAACAACGGCGATGACGTTTCCTTGACTGCGGGAGTTAATGATGATGTCTACACGGCCGCGGGAGATGTTCATGATATTACCTCAAGTTTAGCTTAACTGAAAAGTCAAAATGTCAAGCTAGCACACCTCTATAATACAATTTCCTTTTTGATTTTTGTTGTTTGATCTTCATTTATCTTTAATATTGTAGTTTTTTAATGTGTTTAGAAGGGTTTAAACTTAAATTGTATAGTTGGGTTGTATTATTGCTGCATGAATTTTTTGCAAGCACTCGGCAACAAAACGTTACTTTAAATAACATCATGGTCTTTTATGGCAGAAGATGGTATTTCTAACTGTAATTCAAAGTAATATATTTGATTTTAAGGCTCTGCATCCCTGTCGGACACTTTGGTATAATTCATAAGCCCAATAAACGATTTCAAAAGCATAATTGTCTTTTATTTTTACAATAACATTTATGCCTCACTTAAGACAACACAAAACTACGTTTCACAAATAATTCATAACCTTTTGGTAAGATCTTTATATACACTCATCTGCATTCACATTTGGCTTAAAATACCTACCTTTGTATGGTCGCAATTTCATAAAAAAGAATGGGGGAGGTTCATAATGTCCAAATTTCACAAACTCCAACGTCTAAAATATTAAATAAACAGTGCGTTTCATAACCTCCAAATTTCATAAACTCCAAAACTATAACTTTCAAATAATCACCGATTCACAATGTCCAAATTTCACAAACTCCAACGTTTAAATATCAAATAAACAGAGCGGTTCATAACCTCCAAGTTTCATAAGCTCCAACGGTACAGTCTCTGCCAGAAGTCGCTGCAGAGGTTGCCGTGGTTCGGTATGTAGGCGCTACACGTTCTACTGTTGTAGCGGTGTAACACGAAGTATCATTGTTGCTCCGTAATTGCTTTCTTAAGAGTATAAGTATATATTCTTAAGAGTTCCCATAGTCCGATCATGCTGGTTCGCGAACTCGTTCGAATAGACGTAGGTTTACACGTTTGTACCAAATTTCATCAAAATCGGATGATTTTTGCTCGAGTTATCGCGCTAACGGACACACATATAAATATATATATAACTGATGGTGTTTTTGGTCTCTAGGGACCTCAAAACGAAAAAGTAAATCGGTCCCGGGACCAGGGCTTACCATGAGTACTACAGTAATAGCTTATTCCCTATAGGGGAAATTCGCTAAAATGTAAATTTGATTTGCACATTGTGTGCTAACACATATTTGAGTCACACATCTGAGTGTTCTTCAATCATTAAAATGTACGTATAATCAGTAGTTGAGCGCTGGCGAACGGTGCCTGCTATCTGACTGTGGCAACCACTAGAGAGACTTCTGGCCCAGACTGTACCGTTGGAGGTTATGAAATTTGGACATTATGAACCGCTCTGTTGATTTAATATTTAAACGTTGGAGTTTGTGAAACTTGGACATTGTGAAACAGTGATTATTTGAATGTTATAGATTTAGAGCTTATGAAATTTGGAGGTTATGAACCGCTCCCAAAAGAATTAAAGTATAAAGAAGTTGGATTTATTCAAACAATCTTACAATCTTAATGGTAAAAAAATCAAAAAATCTTATCTTGATGGTATGTAGCTACCATCAACACAGCTTAAAACCCCAGGAAAGCCGTATTTAGTGAAAAATGTCTGCTTTATCCTATATATATAAATTCCCCTTCAGAAATTATTAAATTCTGCCCTTAATCTGCCGCATATTACCTTGGCTACCTTGTGCATAACTCTAAAAGCAGTAGACTCTGACACATGGAGAAGATCTCCAGTTTCCCTGTGAAGAGTCCCATCAGCAAAAAACCATAGCGCATATCAACACCTTGTTATCATTTCATGACACTGTGTTGAGCTTTTTCATCATAGATCCTTAATCTTGGAGACAGTAACCGAATTATCTCACGTGTATTTATCTTTTTAAAAACGTAATCTATCCTGAAACTCTTTTTCAGAAAACATGTGAAATGGGTTAAGTGCAAGACCAAGATGTCTGGGTCTATGTTGCGGTGCTTGTAAACAACCATAATCTAAATAATATAGGTATTCCTATTCCATAATAACGATGTGCATATACCGACTTCAAAATAACAACTGAGGCGTATATACTCTGTCAAGTCTAGGATCTAATTTTAAATCCTACCCTTCTTGGCAAGGATCTAAATTCGTACTGTTTTAGATCTGATACTTAATTAATTCTGCTAAATCCTTGACTCAGAAAGAGACGAGCATCCAAGTTAAGTCCTAGATCTATAAAGCACTCAGAAAGCCTAATAAAACTCCAGAGTCTAACCAGCCAAATAAACTCCAGAGTCTATTAAGTTCTGGATTTTGCTAATGCCCTGACTCGGAAAGTCATTTTGTCGACTCCAGAGTTTAAAGACGGTTAAAGTCTAGAACATAGCTAAATCCCATGCTCGGAAACCAGTTTATGGCCATATATTTAGTTAGATCAAACTTGGCTGTAGCAGCAAACCTAGGTACTTGTCCAATCTAATTTTATTGAAATAGATTTAATCTTACTAATATTATAAATCTGAAAGTTTGTGAGTTTGTGTGTATGTTTGTGTGTGTGTTTGTGTGTGTGTTTGTTGCTCAATCACGCATAAACTACTGGACGGATTGGGCTGAAATTTGGCACGATGATAGCTCACATTCCCGATTAACATCAAAGCATATTCTTATCTCAAAAACCCTTTCGGGCTCCGCCCCAGTGGCTTTGTAGTTCCCCATGTTAATCTTATGATTTTTCATATTTAAAAGGAATTAATGAATCTTAACAGCTGTTTCAAGTAAACAAGTTGGTTCTGTTCTATGATGTTCAATAGCATAAAAGTTACAAGGCTTACCAACAGGGTGCAGCACTATTATTTTTTTTTTAATTTATGACAACAGCTAATTTCCAACCAAAAGGTGAGTGAGCGTAGCGAACGAACTTCAACCTGGAGGCGAGTTAGCGTAGCGAACGAGCTAACCTGAAGGCAAGTGAGCGCAGCGAACGAGCTCCAACCTAAAGGTGAGTGAGCATAGCGAACGAACTTCAACCAGGACGTGAATGAGCCATGCGAATACTTATGAAGTTAAACGGGGCGAAGCCCGCGGGTACAGCTAGTTGAAAATAAAATCAGGCAAATGGAAATTCGCTAAGTCTGCAGGAATGCTGCATTGGGGGTATTTGTCCTTAGTGCAAAAAAGAGTTGAAGTAAAGGACTAAAGTTGCAAATTTTGATGACTTTAAAATTTGTCTGCTAATTTTTGCCAAAGAAAAGGTTTTTGAGGAATTAATTATGATTACATTGTTACAATAAATGTGTTATGTTGTTATGATAAAGGAACACTTGCTTTTTTTCTGTACAAAGTAATTGATTTACATTTAAATAGATTCTTTTTCAAAAGGTTGACAGCCTCTTGTGATCTTGCATTAGCCCAATAACATGGGCCCCATAAGCCTCTTTTGTGGATCATATATTAAGCAAAGCAAGGCTAGTACAGTTGACAAGAATTAATTGTAATGATAAATAAGTGGTAACACTAGACGCAAACTCACAAATGTCGGTTAAGCTACCCACTAACCCATAATCCAGATTAATGCCACAACCCAGCTACATTTCAATATAAAAGGTGCATTGCTATTTGATCGCAAGAAAGGACAATAATTGATATGGTTTGGGAGACATTTGTTCTTTGTTTCAATAAGAGTGGAATAACAGTAAGTGACTTTCTAAAAATAATTTTTGCAGTTCTATCTTCTGCAAAGGAACTGTAACATGGTTGGTAAGTGTCCATACTTTTTATTTACTTTGGCAATAGTTTGTATTTATTAAATACTTTGCATTTTTAAATCTTGTACAACCTCCATTTCTCCATTAAATCCATTTCTCTTGTAGAATGTTGTAGGCTCTAGTCATTTGGAAAGAGTGTTTATGAGCAGAACATCCATGGCAAAGCCTAATATTTGCAAAAAAGAAATAATGTTGTGTAGAGGTTCTTATCTATTAATTTTCCATCAATTAAATTTTAGCCTGACAGAAGAAAATGCTGAATCAAGAATCAAACTTGATATGGATCTAAGAGATTTGTTGGTGTGGTTGACAAGACAAAAATCAGACGTTTGAGATGGACCAGACCATGTAATAAGTAGGGGGAACAGAATTCATGGTAAAACAAATTATGATAAAAACCAAATGAGAAATAGCTTTCCTGGAAGCCCCTCACAAAATACGAGGTTGTTGAGAGTGAATAAATAAGACGCAAAAAGTAAGAGAGTGGAGGTGGTTGGTTGGTAATGTCAATACCTTCCCGGGTATAAATGGTAATGGGAGTAAGTATGTATAGTAATTAAAAATGAGGTGCGAGTTGTCTTAAATTAACATGGAAAACTCTTGTAGGGTTCCTAAACTAAAAAAAAAACATATAACAAAAATAGTTTCTCTAACCACAGCAGTAACTTACCCAGGAAACCAGCTGAACTCAGTGGAAGGTAGACCGACTGCGTAGATGCTCTTGACCTTGTACAGAGTGATGGTCTCATGCAAGTAACCGTTAGGGTTGACGAAGGTGCTTTGAGGACCCTCAGTTGACATGGAAAACAAATCTGAGTCAGAACCTACGGTGTTCGTGCAGGATCGGCAGCAAAGAAACTGTTTTGACTGTAAACAAATATACAAAGTCATTTCCCTACAATTTCCTGACAAAGCAGGCTTTTTTGCACTGATTATAGCATGCAAAGTAGCTAGGTGTTGTATTTACTTATTTTTGCCGCACTCCAGTATTCCAGCCAAACAACAGAAAACAGTGTGCTTTTATAAGGCACATACTAAGTGTACACTTGAAAATAAGTTGGCAACACATACCACGACTACGATCAGCTGGTGCAGCATTTCACAGCCTTTGAGTGTTGATTCTAAGACTTAACCTGTTGTTTTGTGTTAACATTCTATTTTCCATCAACACTTGGAATTATTAACCTAACCTCCTAAAACGTGTTGTTTAGTGTTAGAAACACTAATAATTAGTATTTCAAACGACCTATAATGCATAAATACATATGAAGGGTACAGAGAAAGATTGATGTCACAAAAACTAAATTTTACAGGGGGAGTATTTTAAACTTAAAAATCAAATAATTCTGTTTACAGTCCAACTTACACTAAAATTACTATCATTTATTATTTTATACACATTTGTCTGCATTTTCCTATATTAAATATTTATCCATATACTCTCATTTATAAAAAAAAATTATTTTATTTTCTGTCTGGACAACAAGCCTTACTTTTCTGTATATAAGGATAAAAATAAATAATTATTATGTTATAACTTGAAAAATAACTATAATTTATGTTTCAACTATTAGTATAAAGTCAATTAGGTTATTAAAAATTAAAAAGCGGAACATTATTCAACAGTTTCATGCTCATATTCTGTGATATTGTCTTGAATTCATCAATCTAAAAAATACAGGTAACTAGAGTTTCATTTATTTATTTATAAACTTTTCATAACTTTTTTATATTCTTATTAGTAGTAAGACAACTGACAATATTAAAATATTACTGGTGCATACAAACCATAACCCCATTATAACATTTCCCGATAAATCCCAGAAAACGAGAAAACCAAAATCTACATTGGATTCCAATCCAGATACATCAACATGATTTTAATAAACTTTGTAAGGCTTTTACATTTGCAGACATATTACATAAAAGCTAATGCTAAATAGCACTCAGAAACAGAAAGAATAATGCACCTACCTCAAGTGGCTTATCTGCAACTGACAGTTGCACACGTCTGGCTAGGCAGCGCTGTGTTGGCCACCGCGAGCGTTAGCACATTTACTAGACTGCAAGCGTTACTTCGCTGTTTTCGATGGACAACAAGCAATAGTTCTCTACATATGAAATCTTTGTTGTTAATTTATGTGGACCCTGATCGTTATTTCTCTGTTATGAAGGCACGAGGTTGTACAACTCAATGGGCTCTACACCTTAGACATATTAGTTACATTTCACATTTTTATGGACATCAAGGGTTTTTTTCTCAGCACCCTTCATATGCTTTATAGTAACTGTAGAAAAAATATAATGTGTAACGCGAGCGCAAAGTGCCTTTGTTGCACTCGAGAAGCTATCCTCACTCACCTACAACTTCTGCGTAAACATTTCTCTCATGTGCCACTTCGCGCATTAGTTACACAATAGTTATTTGTGAAAAATAACTATACATAACAATTTATAGGGGAGCTAGCTGGTCTAGTGGTAGAGCAGCTGGACTTTGGTCACTGAGGTACCGGGGACCAAACCTCGCTGATTAGCAATGGATTTTACCTAAGTGAAAATTTTGCAGTTTCTAGTTGAAACCTGGTGTAATGTAAAAAAGAATCCTGGGCTAGAGCTTAGCATCTTGGGCAAAAAAACCATACAATGTTTAGACAGTTACAGGATTTTCAACTGTAGAAAAAGTAGGATAGCAGCTAGCTTACCTTGAAGTGTATGTAGGCCAAATAGCAGGCCCACTTTTATAAACGGGCAGACTGGGCATATGCCCAGGGGCGCCGGAGGTTTGGGGGCGCCCACTGGGTGCCCCTCAACCACCGCCTGCCTGCACTAGGATAAAAGGGGGCACTGCTTTTGGGTTTGCCCAGGGCTCCACTGACCCTTAACGCGGCCCTGCCAAATAGAACATACGGAAGAAACACTCTGCACATGTAGACATTTGACAAAGTCACCAAGGGACACAGTATTTCTTCCTTATGCTCTATTGGCCTACCTACACTTCTTCAAGGTAAGGTAGCTGCTATCCTACTTTTTTACAGTTCATAATCCTTACTTATAGAGCCTTTCCTTGAACCAAACTAACTTGAGACAGTTACATTTAGGGTTGACTAATTGACTACTAAGATGACCTTCAGATGACATGGAGAACAAGTCTGAGTCAGAGGCTACTCAGTTTGTTCAGAATTGGCAAAAAACATACAGCGTGATCACACTTTTACTGTAGACATGTGCAAAATACCTGTGTAAATAAAATATTGTTACAATGGCGAAAAATTTAAACCAGTCACATTATCAGACCCAATCATAGACTGAGAGCACCTTAATGGCATCCTTGCTTGCAAATAGGGATGGTCAAGTCTCGAAATTTCGGGAAATTTTCAGGAAATTTTACATCTCGTTACACGAGACGAGATTTCTTTTTGGCCGAGATTTTTATCGAGACGAGAATAAAAAATAAAAAAAATTAAAAAAAAAAATTTAAAACGCCTGCAGAAAGTAAATGCAATACCCGCAATACAGGAGCGTGTTGTAGTTGTGTTTCCTTTGCGAAGGCGTTCTTATTTAATTAATTCTTTAAATGTAAATATTACTTTAGGCCTAATTATTTTAATAATATTACTTTAATAACATTTGAGAAGTTTTGTTAAGTGTAAGCAGTGTGAGGAATGTTTTATTACTATAAAAAGTCAAAACAAGTACCGGTAACTATTTTATAAAAATGAATATTGCTTTTATTTTATGATTTATTTTATTTTAGGATAAGTTGAACTCTAATCCTAACTGATATCACTATGTTTCCTAATTGTAGGCATTTTTAATAAGTTAGGCGTGATTAATAAAAAAATGTTATGCTGATGTTTTTTAATAAAAGATTGTAAATATTCTTGCCTATTATCATTATTTTTGTATTTAAACAGTCATCTAACAATGTTACAAAATCAGGTAAAAATTTTGAACGTGCATTTCTCGTTGTGTATGAGAAGGGAAATCCCGTCTCGATCTCGTCTCGAAATTTTATTAGAAATAAAAAATCTCGTCTCGTCTTGTCTCGAACTAAAAATCCAATCTCGTCCATCCCTACTTGCAAACTATCGTTTCTGTAAGTTTTGATACATATAGCCTCGATAACAAGTCTCTCGTGTCATGAGGATTATCAAATACGACTTGTAATCAAGACTGACAAGTCTAGAATCGGTCATTCTTAGGAATGAACCAGCAACCATCTGATTTGAAGGTATGCACTGTATCCACTCAGCTACCCTAGTTAAATATACGAATTAGTTAAATCTACAGTAAAACATTTACTTAATTTCAATGTACAAGGTTTATTTTAAAGAAATAACAATAAAGCACCCTGTTAAGCAGTGTGATATTACAGTCAAAAATTGTTTGGCAATCTGAGTGGTTAGGTTTTTGCCGTGGAATCAAAAAGTTGCTGGTTCGATCCCAAGGTGAGTCGATCCTCGACTCAATTGGGCTATCAAAAAATAATGATATCTAACATAATGTGGATAGTAAGGAGACAATAGTTTTGAGTTTACCAACTTCCAAAAAGGTGAAATGGCGTCCAAACACTCAGAATAAGCTACCTGCTGCATTATCTTCAGCTCCCACCGAAGTCTCTGGATCGGAGAGTTCAATTTGAGCATCATCACTCTGTGTATTTCTTTCATCGGCACGTTTCGAGCCACCCAGAAGGAAAGTTCTGTTGGGTCGTCAGGTAACACAAGCTTCACTGGAGCACCCTGTTCATTCGGCTTGTTTTTGTCGTGTTGTGCTAAACAATCAGGAATAAATAATTTATAAATCAGTAATAGTGAAATAGCCTTTTCTTTATAGTGAAGTTGTTTGTGCTCCTTGTACTAGAGTGGACTGTTTCCCATTACAATAGTCCTGCTACATTCGAGAAAGGGTGTCAACAGTTTTCCTACCTAGTAGATACAAGTCAAATAACAATTTTATCCAATGAAAATTAAAAAAATTTTCTTCTGGTTTCACAAGATGGAATTGCTGTATAGTATTGTTTATGATACAAAATTTAAAGGGTCATAGCTGGTCTTGTGGTTAGATTATTGTACCTGGAGTGGTCGGTCCAAATCCTGCCAATCACCGATGGCTTTTGGCTCCATGCAAAATTCATGCTTTTAGCAAAATTATTCAGCAATAATAATACATAAAAATGATAGGGACCAGGAGAAAAATTTGAATTGAAATTAATTATATGATTTGCATTTTTACATCAAAGTACAACATTGTGCAATCATGATAATTTAGGTTTATTACGCATCCTGTAGTGCTGTTTCAGAAGAGAAGTACGTCAATTATAATAGTTGAAACAAAATAAATATAAGCAGTTGAAAATAATAATAATTTTATAAACCTATAAAACATTGATAACTCATAAAGAAGTATAAAATCATAAAATAGCACTCCTGAAAAGGGTATAAAGATAACAACATAAACGTCATTCATTATTCTTTCTCTTTGTTCTTCCATTCTTTCTTGGGTTTCCCTTCATCCACGAGAGAGACTCATAAGCATTATGCAGGGCCGATTTACCGAATAGGCAAGGTAGGCACGTGCCTAGGGCGCGAGGCAATTGGCTTTTTTTGGGGGCGCCAAAAAATTAGAAAAAAAGAAAAAAAATTGTGGCCGTTTTTGCATGCGATCGCGGTAAACTGATAATCCCTTGCGGCCGTGAAGACACCTTAACAGTCTCCTACAATTGCGGCAAGATGTTAATTATTTACCGCGGTTGTATATACGTCATCATCGTCCGTCTCCCGCGATCGCGTCAAAGTTCTGACTATTTCCAGCGGATGTGTGGACATAATTATCGTCTTCCTTGATCGCGGCAATATATGAACACAACCCGCGGTCGTGATGAGATTATCACCGTCTACCGCGAATGAGGCAAAATTGTAATCTTTTCCCGGGGTCGTGTGGACATTATCATCTTCTTGCGTGATCACGATAAAATTCTTATAATCCCTCACAGCCGTGAAGACATCATCGCCTCCCATGGTCGTGAGGCATTGTCATCCTCTCCCGCCATTGCGGCAAATGGTAGTCATCTCCCGCGGTTGTTTGGAGATCATCATCGTCTTTCACGAATGAGGCAAATTTCTGATTTTTCCCATGGTTGAGTGGACATTATCATCGTCTTACGCGATTGCGGTTAAATTCTGATCATCCCTCGCAGCCGTGTAGAGTAGACATCATTATTGTAACTCCCGCGATCCTGTAAACATCGCAATCGTCCCCCGCTGTCGTGAAGACATCATATAATCGTCTCCCGCGATCGTGAAGACATCGTAATCGTCTCCGCGCGATCGTGAAGACATCGTAATCGTCTCCGCGCGATCGTGTAGACATCGTAATCGTCTCAGCGCGATCGTGAAGATATCGTAATCGTCTCCCGCTGTCGTGATTCATCGTAATCGTCTCCCGCTGTCGTGAAGACATCGTAATTGTCTCCCGCGATTACGGCAAAATGTTAATAATATCCCGCAGTTATGTGGATATCATTATCGTCTTCCGCGATCGTGGCAAATTTCTGACTGTTTTCCGTGGTTGTGTGGACCATGATCATATCCCGCGGTCATTTAGTCATTATCATAGTCTCGCGCGATCGCGGTAAAATCATGATCATATCCCATGGTCGTTTAGACATTATCATCGTATCATGCGATCGCGGCAATATTCTGATTATCCTCTGTGGATCTCATTATCGTATTGCGCGATCGCGGTAAAATCATGATCATATCCCGCAGTCGTTTAGATATTATTATCATCTCATGCGATCGCGGCAAAGTTCTGATCATCCCTCGAGGCCTTGTGGAGACATATTATTGCCTCCCGTCTCCCGTGGTCACGGAAACGTCACTGTTGTAAATTGACAATTCCAGGTAGAAAATTAACACATAATTCCTGGTTCAAAAAAATTCACGCTTAGTTTCCGGATTTCCCGGTTGGTGGTCACCCTGTTATATATTGCAAAAGGGCGCTACTATTAGTTGTGCCTAGGGCGCTGACATGGTCAAAAACGGGCCTGGCATTATGTCGTTATCAGCTAGCTTTTATCATCACTTAGGCTATTAATAATAACAGTTCAAGCATCTAACAAAATGCCACAGGCATACACTATTGAAAATAACAAACAACAATCACTCACAAATCAAAGTAGAGCTAAGCTGTTCCTTCACTTGTTGTACGAGCCGGTCCGCATTGTACATCTCGTGGACAAAGGCCGGCCACCCGGTTACAGCTGCGTCAGCTCTTCTACACCTACATTACACAACAAGATTAGAGTGGAAATCATGTTCAGTGTCATGACAACTATGCAAGTTTTTGCCATTCTGTATCAATTATTATCAATTATCAATCATTAAGATGGGGACGCCACTTAGGTGCGTATTTTAACCCAAATATGAGTGAAGGATGAGTGTAGAATGGTGTGAAATGATCTGTGTAGCTTTTAGTGTATCTAGGCGTGTGATTTTTTCTTTTTACTTTAAAGGTTATGGAGTCATTACTGTTATTAGTAGGAAACTTTAAGACTTGTTTGGAAATTAAATTTAACTTTTAATAGACAGAACAGAACACAACACCAATACAAACTGAACAATTACACATTATAAATAATGTCATATGTTTCATGATTTATATGACACTATAAGCAGGCTTATTGAAATTGCTTTAACACTCCCCCGCAATTTTATAATCTTCAGGCACAAATGTTAAAAATGTCAAGTTTCATTTAAGTCCCATATCCTTCCTGAATTTGTTGAATTTAAATATAGGTAATTCTTTGGTAAAAATATCTGCAACTTGGTTTTCAGATGCAACATACTTAAGTTACATACTTAGTTGTTCAATGACTTGCGACTCTTGTATTTTGGTAAACAAAAAATACAATATGAGGAGTTTGTGGATTATTTGAATGGGAAGGATTGGCGGGGCCTTGGAAGTTTTTTAAAAATTGCATGGAAACGTAGATGGGAGCTAGTTAGGGAATTTAATTTTTAAAATTTTGTATTACAATATGTTTAGAGTATAGATATATGTGTATATATGCATACATCTGTATGTGTATATATCTATGTATTTGTGTGCATAAAGAAGTGTTATTTTATTTTGTTTTAGTGCTCAGTATATTGATTTATGTGGGATAATTTTATTTCATTAATATTGAATGGACATTAATGCCAACCCAGCAGACGGTCGTATGACCATTGTTGTATGTGCATGTATCGCACCCATTTCATGTAGCCTACTGTACATAGTATGTAGTCAATAAAACACTTTTCTATTCTATTCTATTCTATTCAATTCTACTTAAGTTACCATTTTCTATCAGCTCTTTTATATAATGGAATCGCACATCAATATGTTTGGATCTCTTAGTTTCAAGTGTCTTAGCCATTTTTATGCAAGACTGGTTATCTTCCCAAATAACAACCGGAGTTATTTGAACCTTAAGTAGTATTTCTGATAATAATCTTGTTATGAACACACACTCCATTGCACATGTAGCCAAGGCAATATATTCCGCTTCGCAAGTGGAAAGAGCCTTTATTGGTTGTTTCTTAGTTTTCCAAACCACTGTGTTGCCAAATATTTTAAACATATAACCACTGATACTCTTCCTATCTTCAATACTATTAGCAAAATCTGCATCGCAGTAGCATTCAATGAGTTTTTCTGTTTTGCTATTTTTGGAATAGGTCAGCGTCAAATCCTTGGTTCCAATTAAGTACCTCACAATACTTTTTAAGTTCTTCCAATGTCCTATGTCATAACAGTTTTGAAAGGTGCTGAAGTACGTAACAGAGTAACTCAGATCTGGTCTTGTACCTAACATGAGATATATTAAACTTCCTAATAGTTTTTCTAAGGTAAGCTTTCATAATTTTCTTTACTTTTTGTTAGTTTCAAATTTGGCAATATAGGTAACGAAACTGGCTTAGCTTCTTCCATCCTGAACTTTTGAACGCCCGGTCTACAGCGAAGACAATAGTGAAAACTATCATAGTTTTCTTGAAATAGACCAAACGTCGCATATATGCGACAGTTCATTTTTGTTTGTGTTTTGAGGTGAAAGTAAGTTAAAAAAAAACAGATTATTCAAGAACAGTTTATAACTGAACAAATATAAAAGCTATATAGGATAATGCAGCATACATACTGCATACATACATACAGTGATGCAGAAAAGTAAAGACCAGTTCATCCAATTATCATATGACGTCACCAATCATTATATCCACAGACCAAGCGACGCAGTTGTGCGTCAGACATCTCTGTAGACCACTGCAGGGAATTCAGAGCCTTCAAATAGACCGTTACAAAGATATAAGCATTTTAATAACATTAGAACCCTGACGCAAATATGCGACGGCAGTCTATTTAAATGTGACTATGCGATGGCAGTCTATAGGTAGAAACCGGCCGTCGCATATGTGCGTCGCTGGTCCATGTGAATGAAAAATTTTTTACTATTGCAGTAGCGAACGTGTTAACCTAAAAGTCCTACATTATAACAAAATATCAATGTTATGATTTGTGCTCTTTTATTCTGGATCTATTAGCCCCTCGACACTACTTTTCTTAAGTAAGCAAGCAAAACTATTCATTTAATACTTCCAGGTCTGCTCTTGTTTTAAAATTAAAAATAGGCATAAATTCGCTTGGCGCGGCATTGGCGATAGGAGCTCAGCCGGCTCTGCATCAGTTTACAGGATATCGATACTGAGTTTCTGGCATTTAATTATCATTGTATTACATCAAATATGTCATTACATTACGATGAATGATAACCAAATTTACAAGGGTATGTTTATGCATTTTAAAGCCTACCGGTAGTCTATAGTTCTTCTTAGAAATTCTTAGAATCAAAGAATAAATGTTGGATTCCACAGTAGTATTTAATACCTGTGCTATAACTTATTTGTGAAGATTAAATATCACAGGTTTTAATATTGTTAAAAGAATAGTAAATAAACCGTTATGAAATGGTGTACTAAAAAGAAACTGACTTTTATTTTACTAGAATAATTGACAATTTAATAGGGGCTACAGCTGCAAATGATGACATGCTTACGTGATCAAATAATTATTGTGATATATTTTGTTCTGGCCAATGTTCAAATATAAAAAAATCTAACTCTTTCATAACATCACTAAATTTCTTATGAGATTTACTTTTGACACATAGTCTGTAAAGTGTGAGCAAGTACGTAGATTTATTATATCTGCTTGAGTTATATCAGGGTTGAGAGGTGTACGTCAGTAGTCTCCTGGGAAAGCAAACATGTAGGTTGAGTGGCATCACCGTACTCTGCAGCAACAGCAATAGATGATTGCAGCTTCTCGATGAAGTCAGAATGGGAAAGCCCCATCCACAGTCTTTTCCTTGAAGCTGGCTCTTCATTCGATATGATGTGGACTGTTGCATTTGTACTTTGTTGAAAATGTAAAAATATATTTGTTTAAGTGTTCTATTTCTATACAGTCACGAACACAGCCCATTGCCGAACAGATGAGGATCTTCAAGGTTTTGTTTTTAAAATCTTCCTTTAGTTGTTCAAAGGCCTCATCGTATTCTTGACTTGAAGGTTTCCTGTTATAATAATTTTTGGTAACTAGACAGTAGAGTTTGGCACCGCTATCCACAACTTCTAAGGTTAATCTTGTATTAATGTAGTCTGTTTTTTAGGTCTCCCAAAATTACTTGACTATTTTTGTACAGTAAGGAACTGAACTGACCTTAGCCTCTGTTGAGGTGAGGACCGGTGGCGACGCAGACTCAGAAGCTTCACTCCCTCAAGAGAGTCTGGCAGCTTCACCTCAGGCAGGATACGGACTTTTGCCCTCCTTCTGCTGTAACCAACAATAGACTAAAAATAAACAACTTTACTGATAGGATCTAAATTCAGGACTGATTCACTTTTTTATTTTAATGTTGCCAGAGACCAAAAACACTATTCTTTCAAATTAATGTATATTTTACATAGTATCGGGGGACCGAGCCTTGCTCGGTTGTATTTTATTGGGTTTAATTCTTAAAACAATAACGTAAATAGACATTTTATAATTTACAAAAAATTTATTTTGATTACCGACCCTAAATTTTAATTGCTTACATAATAACAATTCTTTAATGTAAACAAAAATAAGATAAACTTTTATGATCTTGCTTAAAAGTTTAAGTTTAAGTTTACTTGCACTGAATTTTTCTCGCCTCTAGTAATTGAAACCCCTGGTTCGACTTTACGCTCACCGATGACAGCAGATAAAAATATGATATAAACAAAATCATAATAATGTAGATAAAAATGGCTTGTGTCAACGATTTTTCACTTATTTGCTACTACTTCTGTAAACATCAGTACAGCACATGACGATCTTTTATAGGTTGTTTTTGTAATTTCTTTAAATTGAGATGCTTTCTTTTTTTCATTGGGATTTAGCATGTGTTAATAAATAGTGTCCTCTGATTTTGATTCAATTTTATATAAGAGTGTAAACCTTTGTATCAGAGAAGTTGGCAAACCAATAGATCTTAAATAAGAAACAAGGTTTAATGGGGAGTTCTAGGGGCTGAAAATAGGGTTTGAAATGAAATTCACAATTTCTTTCAAAAACATAGTTGTAAGTTTAGTGGTTACAGAGGAATAGAAAATTCCAAAAAGATTAGGCTATAATTAAAACAAATTAAAAGTGGGTACTGTTGTAGTTTGCTTGTTTAAAATTATCTATTTTGATCAAATTTGGCAAATTTATATACTTTATACCAAAGTACACACTCGACTATCCAAGACCAAGTTATCCGAACCCTTACTTACTTACTTACTGCTGGGGCGCTACAAATCGCAGTCGATTCTTCCCGAACCCTTAGATTATCCAAAAAAAGTTTAGGTCTAAATATTTTAGAAATATTTTTTTCTGTAAGAAAACAATAATGACGTTAGGGTATTATGAATGTTTCTACAGTAGAAAGTCGCTAATCCGACCTCCGATGGTCCGACTCCTCACTTTGTCCGACCGTGCAGAATAGACTTCTGCTAACATAACCTCATTTTCCAAGAAAAATATCTAGAACATTTTTTAAATTGTGTTTTTTTAGTCTAATGTGTTGAAATTAGTTGTATATTTAACAATGTCTGCCCATTATTTATATGCAGTAGGCTCCCAAATTATTGTTTTTGAAAAATCACAGTTCATTTGACATTTAAAATGGAAGCAAAACAAAGAAATGTCAAACAACGCTTCAAGGTCAAGCTATCATCTGCTCCTTAGGCCTACACATGACGCATCTGCCTGCTGTGCGCTTGCTGTCACAAAACTTTTTGATTGGGTACTTGGTAACCATGACAACTTTAATAGCCTGTGATTGGATAGTTAGTAACAGTAACCATGGCAACTTGTTGAATGGGGGGATAATAAAGAGAAACTCAAGAAAGAATAGAAGAACCAATAGAAAGAATAAACAATTTTTTATGTAGTTTTTTTTTGTCTGTATCGGTGTATTTTACGACTGTTGTTATCATCTCTAAGTAGGCTACTATTATTTTATACATTTTTATGCGTTATCTAATGTTTTTATCGACATTCTTCTGTCCTGAAACAGCGTAGCAGTAGCCTATGACAATTTGTTTGTTTGAGCAAAAGTTTGAGAAAGCTGTGATTTTAACGTTACAGTTTTTATTACTAAACCAAGGTTAATGACTTAACATAATTATTATGATTGTGCAATAGCCTGCTATGATTAATTGTATTTTGATGATATAATATGCAAATTATCACAATAAATTCCATTTATACAGTTAGTAATAGGCATTGCTTATGAGTTGTTTATGAGAAATTACTGTTTTATGTCATGTTGGATTACAGTGGTTTTCAGTTATCTGTGGTCTATTCAAATACAGTTTTGCTATGTTCTTATGTCAATAAACACGTTCCTCTGATAATCCAACTTTTTTGTTGTTTTGACCATGCTCCCGGTCCCGTAGGTGACGGATTAGCGAGGTTCTAATGTATTTATATTGTTGAAAGTAAAGTAAAAATAGCAAGTGATTTGTGATTTGTTATAATTAGTACTGGAAATTATCATTACAAGAACCTATTATTTTAACTAACAATAACCAAGAAAATGAAAATCACACAGTAGGCCTACCTACTAGGTTGGCCACCAAACATTGGCAAGCTGGACAAGTCGTCTGCAGAACGTAAATAATACTAGTAGTAGCAGTGGCATTTCCACTCGGGCTTTATTGGCTCGAATCGCCTGCTGTCAATTTTTGTCATTACGATGTTTTGTTATTAACATGATCGATTCAAGTTAAGCTCAGGTCAAACTCAGGATAAACTATAAAGATCCACCATATTGTATCCTTATATATAATACGTGAAGCTTTTTTTACAAAACACTACTCCTCAGTTAATAATGGACGGATTTTTACAAAATATGTGTGAAAATTAAGTTTTTTTTTTTGTGTAGTCACCCCCTTTTACCAATTCCTGGAATAAAAGTCCTCGAGCTTTGCACCACAGGCTATCAAAATCCCAATGTATTTCTTATGAAGAAGATTTTGTTTACTTACAGACAAATAATTTGTATTAACTACATACTAAAACAGCTGTTCATAGTAAACATATGATACACACTAGAGCGTTTGTGAAAGATTTACTGTGTCCCCAATTCCGATCCTCAAGCACTTCCTACAGCACTTCATTCAAACATTCTTAGCATTCTGAAAATCTGAAGAGCTTTTATGTGAGGTAAGCAAAGGTAAAAAGCAATTAACAGAAATATATCACTAACATTTATTGCAGCCTTAAATGTAACTGATGGTTACTTCTCACAGGCTATGGGAGTAGATGGTAATTTAACTGTTGATAATCAATGTATATACCTAATCACTAGGTTTGAAACAGATGTTATTGATTCATAATTTTTTAATGAATCATGCTACCTTACAGATGATTACAGCTTACTTGGTCTCTCCCTCCAGCAGTCTGAACCGCTGCCGAGCACAAGCCTTCACTCTTAAGCCAAGTCTGGTTCCTTCCTCTGGGAGATACTCGTAGATCTCTGCTGTTGTTCCAATGCAATCAACTTTTGTGTTTCGTTCACTACTCCTGTTCAACAAAGTATGTACAACAGTATTAACAATAAACAGCACTTACTCCACAGCATTAATGATAGATTATTTAGTTTGTTTTAGTTTTGATTTTTAAGACAAATTTAGCGTCATAGACGTAGAAATGTATTGAAGAGAAAGGAATAAAATAGTGTTTTATGAGTTATCTTACTAATATTATAAATGTGAAAGTTTGTGTGTTTGTTTGAAGGTCAATCACACATTAACCCTCCAAGTGTCCATAGTTTAGGCCTTAATGTCCACCTATTTTTGGCGCATTTGCAAGGTTTTATTAAAACGGATCTGAGAAGCTTAAAACAATGTTAATTCTAATGTTCTATATACCATTTTGTTTGGAAAATCATGGGCTTCAATATTATATATAAAACATAAGGAACATTTTTTCAAAAAAAAAAAATTTTAGGTAAAAAAAATATAATTTCGAAAATTTTCAAAAAAAAAAATAAGTTCGCGCTCAATGAAATTGTATAAATTATAGGCCTATAAATATTTGAAAATAGCCACTTTGTTCTAAATTTTATGAGGATTACAAATATATAATAATATAAGGAAGTATATTTGCAAATAAATAAGTTATGGGCAAAAAACTTATTTCAGTACATAGCGTTTAGCTAAGAATGCATAGCCTAACCATAGCTAGGAATCTGGCTGATAATTTACATCAATATCACTACCTACTTCTTCAGGATCATCAACCAGCACTTCAAAACCACTTAAATCTTCTTATAATGCACCACGTATATCACTACTTTTGATTTTTAACACTAAAACAATGATAAACGTAATAAAACACATCAGTCATCGGTCCGGGGGAACCTAGCTGTTTACAAATACACGCACGTCAGCTGTCTGCTACAATATTTTCGGAACTAAAATGAATAGCGCTTAGAGACAGACCTCTGGAGAAAGCTTAGAATATTACGGAAAGAACGATACCTAACTCGATCCAGTTCAATCCGATTCAGTCAGTCATAGAGCCTTCGCCGTAAACGATGTCTGCGTGTCGAAAAATCGACAAGTAACACTACACAAAGTGTGCTGCTTGTCGAATTTTCGTCAAGTAACACTGGGAGGGTTAACTGGTCTGATTGAGCTGAAATTTTGTATAATAACTTACGATCCCGAATAACATATAGACATACTCTTATCTCAAAGATCCTTTTGGGCTCCACCCCAGTGGCTCTGGAGATTCCCATGTTAACCTTACTCAGTATCTATAATATTAAAACGAAACAGTGATTTTTTATTTCACGATTCTGAATCAACCACTCGACGGATTTTCATGATTTTTGTGTTGAAAGAAAGATAATTTTGAGAACTAGGGAATGTCGAAGCCATAAATTTAGTTTAGGATCCCAGTTTTTTAGAAATTAAGTTTTAATTTTTAAAAAGTCCAGCAGCCGACGCTAAGATTCTAAACTAGCTTTTGGCATAAAATAATTTGCTTAACATAACAGCTGTAAACATTCAGCTTTTGTGTCACAAATTCAGCATTTGGATAAAAATGTAAAGACATACTTAGGGTTGACGTATTTATACTATGTGTAATGCTAATCATTGATACATTCAATTCTTCTGTAAGAGGATGACAGATTAATTAAATTATACATAGTAAAATACTAGGATGTTCAAATTATTTTTTAAAGCAATCTTTGTAATCTTCGATTTGTTTTAGAGCAATATAATTTGTTTTAACTAACAGCTGGTTAAATATAAACTATGGAACTATGAGGTTATTTTATTTACACTTATTTTGTCATTGATTATATGAAATAAGTAAGATTAGTAGATATAATTAGACCACAGTTTAAAATAGTTTAGACCAAAATTAATTAAACCACAGTACAAATCGAGGCTCTGTACACGAGTCTTAATAAAAAAGGATAAATGCAAATTATTTTACTACTCCACTTTTCAAGGAAAGAATAGAAAAATAACAATGTTTACATGTTTTAATTCTTCATGGTAGCTTTTTGTTTACAATTAATGTTTGTCTGCTTTAACTTTGTTAGGCCCGGAAATATTGATGTCATAAAAAGAAGATCAAGAATAATCAGGAATCACGATTTTAAATTACCACCACAACCTCAGCCGGGTTTTATACAAAGATAAACAGATGGATGACATAGATTGAACACAACGTCAACATTGACCTAGGATACTGCAATTAGACAAACCATCCTTTTATGAAATCGTGTTCAGTTGTGGTTTTGTTTGGGGGTGCCTATATCAGCGCCCCCAAACGTGAAAATATCACTTTTATTTCAACTATGAATATATTGTAGTTTAATTTAACTAATATGGGAAATTGATGTACATTTATTCAATGAGGGTGGGTAATTATCAAGGATAGAACTGATAACGGTATGGATAATAAACATTGACAATTACGTCATTAGCTTTACTAGCGTGTTTACTTTTTACATTCCTGCTACATGTGACCAGTTCTTTTTTTGAAATGAATGTTATTTGAACCAAACAGCTGTTTCAAAACAAACTGTTATTGTTTTTACTTTTCTTTGTTTACACTTATTTATTTAGCAATTAATGTAGTGAAATTGATATAAAGGATAGGTGTGACGATTAGTTTTGATGTTAGGACACCAAAGTTAAATTATGTGTACTGTGAATTTTATTGGATATTATCGTTTTATTTTAGGTCGTTTCTATTCAGACTTACTGGAAATTGTGTATAGTAGTTGTATTGTGGTGATAATAATTATGGAAGAGGCAGGTATGCTATTGAAGGTGGTATCGTTGACTAGGTCTATACACTTCTCAATTGACTATTACTCTCTCTACTGTAGGCTACTTATAATCAGTGTGCGAATCGGCTGCAAATCTCACTTCAACGCTTTTAACGTCGTAAAAATTGCAGAATTGCTGTTTTATTGTTAAATTATCGGATTTTAAATGCATATCGTATAGGCCTACGATGGAATAAAAACATATTTGGTCACACAACATTTGTTTACAAGATGATTTTTCACATTAAAACTGCAAGAAACTTTGTCTTTATACTGTATGTGTAAACTAGCTGATCTGAATTGTACACGGTTTTAACTGACTACTGAATTCCCGTACGTAGGACGGGCTAACACCTCGTTCATATTTAAAAGAAATTAAAGAATTTTGCCAGCTGTTTCAAATACACAAATTGGTTTTTTTATTACTTCCAACTAACATCATTCTTTTAAAATTGGCTTCCCTGTTAAACATCTTCTGTTGCAATAAAGTGGTTTAAATACCTGCATAAAAGTTATCCACAATGTTGCTCACGGCAACTGGTTTCAATCCACAATAGGGATCTTCATCAGGCCGATCAGGATGTCAAAACATTTTTCTGACATCCTGATCGGCCTGATGAAGATCCCTATTGTGGATTGAAACCGGTTGCCGTGAGCAACATTGTGGATAACTTTTATGCAGGTATTTAAACCACTTTATTGAAATATTGGTTATCCGGAGGCTAAATCACAATGAAATCTTCTGTTGATAAAAATGTTAATGAATGGTTCTTCTCAAGTTGTATTATATATCTTTAATTCACTTTCCCATAGCACATTGGCCTAGTAAAGTTTTTTTTTTTTACTTTTTTCTTCTAAATACTGTAGTAATCCAGCTCAGAATTTTAAGACTCGTAATTTTTAACAACTCGAGTCCACGCACAGACCACTGAGGTCATTTATTTATTTATTTATTTAACATCATCACATTACATCAATTCTCTTGACAGGTGATTTGTCATTAAGTCTAATAAAATTATACATTGAAAAATCTACATTATAAAATACAAAACAAATAAAGCAATCAATACAAACCTATGGGAGAAGTAATACCTTTCAAATTGTAATCACATCTCCAAGATATTCTTCTAGTGAGTAAAATGCCCTCTCCAAAAGGAAACTTTTTAAAGATGATTTAAATTTAGAAACTGAGGCAATGTTTTTTATCCCAGCAGGTAGTTTATTGTAAACTTTTGGCCCTATATACTGAGGAGATAAATGAAATATTTTAAGCCTATGTTGAATTGGTTTTATAATATTTTTGAATCTTGTGTTATGTGTATGAGATGGTTGACGTTGACAGTCCATGAATGTATCGAAATCACTTTTAACCATTAATGCCAATTTGTAAATTTGTATATATGAGAGCTAAAAAAGGTCAACATTTTGAACTGAATAAATAAATCTTTACAATGTGTTCTATTGGGAACTCTGGCCATTATTCTTACTGCTCTTTTTTGAAGAACAAATATTTTTTTGGCCTGACTTGATGAGCCCCATACAGTAATTCCATAATTCATAATCGATGAAAAATATGCATGATATACTGCTATTTGTGTTTTTAAATTAGTAGTATCCCTGATTATCGTAAGAACAAATGTTGCTGAACGTAGTCTTTTAGATAGGTTTTTAATGTGATTTTGCCAATTTAATTGTGAATCAATATCAATTCCCAGATAATTTATTGATTTTTGTGAGTGAATTTAATTAAAGTTTGTATTTAAACAGATTTCTTGGTTAATATTGGATGCAGAAAACTGAATTAGTTGGGTTTTTGCCACATTCATGGACAGACCAATTCATTGAAGATTCATTTCCATTAAATTATTATTACTAGCCGAACCAAATATAATTTAATTGGATTTAAGTAGTTTATACATTTAATAAATAACTTTTTAAATTCAACTTTACCTTTAATTCTTCATAAACAATTTATGTAATGTTTCTAAGAATACTATCGTTGTATTTTATTTCTTGAAAAATTGTTATTTTGTTTGTTTACTTATTTGGAAGTAAATCTGATTTGATTTGATTACTGACCCGAGATAAAATCTGCCGTTGAATCGGATTAAAATGTAATGAGACCAGGAATCATTCTGATTATTGGATTTAATAACAAAACCATTGAAGTTAAGGATAATACTAAATTTGTAGGATTAATACTAGATAAAAAACTATATTGGAACCGTCATGTTGAAAAAGTACTTTCAAAAGTTTCTTCCGGATTATATGCCTTAATTATATTAAAAAACTATTGCCAAAGAGAAACTTTGAAGGTAGTTTACTTTTCATACATACATTCAGTGATTTCATTTGGGATTTCCCTTTATGGCTCAACCAATAGAACCTTGAGAAACTTAAAATCTATATTAAGAATGCAAAAGAAAAAGCTATAATAATAATTTACAACCTTCCACCTAGAACTTCTGTTGAGAAAGTTTAAATCAGAAAATATAATGACAGTTTTCGGTATGTATGTTTTTGAAACAGTGGTATCAGTAAAAAACAGATTTCATGAAATAGAGCTAGTTGGAAAGAAACATGATTATCTTACAAGAAATCGAGTTAGCTTAGCATTAAGTCCTCATAAATTGCACCTTTTTGAAAAGAAACTCAAATACACTGGTACAAAATTCTATAATAAACTTCCAAAGGACATACAAGAAGAAGTAAATGTCAAAACATTTAAAAACAAACTTAACAAATTTCTCATTAGGGCTATTTATTCATTTGATGAACTGTAATTTACTTCTCTTTCCCTACTAATCAAAGTACCGTACCTATGTTTTAACTTTATTCATATCATTTTCTGTTGGTTCTTTGTTCTTTTATTTTTCTCTTATTTACTATAAGCATTTATATTTTATTATAACTTTATCATTAAGAAGTGACACTATTCATGTATATATTCCTAATGTACTTGATGAATAAAGATGATTTGAATTGAATTGATTTGGGTCTTTCTCTTTATAACGTATAAAATAAAATGACTTTTGAGCGCCCAAAGCATAACTACGGGCGACAGTACGACATTGTAGCAGAAAGATGAGGAGGGCTGCAGAAATCCCAGCCTGCCCAACTAAATTTTTTTTTTCATTTTTTAAATTTTTTAAAATTTTTAAAACTAAATTACAAACTAACTATAAGACAATATTTATTCTCCGAAAGTAGGGGAGAGAAAGGATAGGATAAGCAGGCTTACCATAAGAAACGTAGGCATCCCACTTCATTCACTACAGAACACAGAAGAAAACACAAAAAAAAAAATAAACACTGTTTTTTTATGTAGTGGGATGCCTACATTTCTTAACCTGTTTATCCTATCCTTTCTCTCCCCTATTTTCAGGCAATAAGCCCTTTCTCTTAAAACCTTATTCTCCAAAAGAATAGCATTGGAATTTAAATTTAATTTCTTTTTAATGTTCTCTAATAATAATAACTGTGCGGTTAAACACTTCTATTTACTATATTATTTGGTTTTTAAGCCCTACAAAATGGTTTGGAAAGAAATTGGGAAATACTATGTTTTAAGGATAAAAATGGGAAAAAACTATTTTCACCCCATAAACCCAAGTTCCCGTAGTCCGATCATGCTGGTTCGCGAACCCATTTGAATGAAAGTAGGTTTACAGTTTTTTTACTATATTTCATCAAAATCGGATGATTTTTGCTTGAGTTATAGTGCCAACGGACACATAAATATACAGTGCTCGATTTGCAGGAAAACTTCGGCAGAACGGAGTTCCGGTACCTCTCTTCAGGAAAGATAAAAATGTTGGCATAAATAGCCAATATTGGAATTTTTAACAAATAGAGCACAGTACAGTATACTCCCTCTTATCCGGACACATTTTAACCGGACATCGGTTTAACCAGACTACACTCGGCAGAAATAACATCTCTTTAATTGGACAATTTTTATCAGCACATTGTTTTAACCGGACTAGATTGGCAGGAAGAGGGCGGTAACTGAAAGGACAGTTCTCGTGGGAAAGATTTGAGATCAGTGATCGCGTGTCTAAATACAATGCTCTCATAAATCTAAGTCGAATATCACAGCAAACGGTCCGTTTTAAGGAGTCTTTGGGGACGTCGGTTTAACCGGAAAAACCGTTACCCAGACTGGCCTCGGTCTCGAGGAGTCTGGATAAGAGGGAGTCTACTGTATATGCATATGTATGAATTTGAACGGACATTGTTTTTGGGCTTTAATACTTTTCAATGAAATGGCGACCATACAAAGTAGGTATTTTAAGCCAAGTATGAATGGAGATGATTGTAGGATGAGTGGCGCGATCTTGTAGTCTTGTTAGAGACTAAGGACGACTTATTCATTATACACAGCTGTTAATTAATAGCCCATGCAGCTAAACAAAGGCAACTAAGGGACCTACAGTTTATAGTGGAATCCGAAACATAGTTTTGCCTTGGTATAAACGAATTGGTCTAATTTTCAGGATAGTACTGCGGATAGTCGTAGTACTCACTCGTGCGGACGTTAATCCACACCAGGGAGTATCGCATCGACGTGCATGCCTATAAATATCCACAATTCGTAACCTCCTCGTAGCTGGATTACAGGACGACGCAACCTGTCCCAGTTTATTTTATTTTAACTGGCTCCAAGCGGACATCAAAGTGAAAAAGTAAATCGGTCCCGAGTCCAGGTCTAACTATGAGGCCTACAGCAATAAAACTTCCCCTGTAGCCTAAGGGAAATTCGGGGAAAAAGTCACAGCTACCCCCTGTGGCTTTTTTAAAGTTTTATTTAAGTTAAAATAATATTTAAAATAACAAATGGAAAAACTGCATTAAATTGTTGGGATTTTGGTTTCATTATATTTTAATTGAAACAATACCTTGCTTAACAATAGCCTATATTAAAGACACAAACATAAACTATTGTACCATGAATAAAAGTGTGTGTAATATACAGAGTGGCTGAAAAGTAACTTGCACCCCCCCCCCCTTTTCCACCATTTGAGATATTTGAAATCAGTTTGAGGCAACCTTAATGGATATGAGGAGCTACAATAATTATGGTTAATTTTGTAAATTTTGCCCTTAGCATTAATTGCAGGTAGCTCAACATTTTCAAATGGCAAGTACTGTAGGCCTATAGTTTGGTACCATTTTACAGGTTTTGACGAAACTAAACAATTGACATAAAGAAAACCAAAATCGGACCAATTATAACCAAATGGCACCCTAAAACATTTCAAATCCTAATAACCATGAGGGTGGCTGATAGTTACTTGCACCCCACTTAACTTTTTAACCATTTGAGATATTTGTAATTGGTTTGCAGCAACCATTTTAGATATGAAGGGCTACCTGATCAACCTACCGATTTCAAATATCTCAAAAGGTTCCAAACTTAAGGGGGGTGCAAGTTACTTTTCAGCCACCCTGTATAGAGTAGGCCTACCAGCAGGCTAAAACTCCAAATGTTTTATCGTTGCTAATACAGTTTTCCAGCATGTTGATGGTTCGAGAATCAAATACAGCCAGAGGTAGTGTCTGTCCAGGCATCAACACAACATCAGCATGTTGTAGTAGATCTAGAGTGACTACTGATCCCTCCTCAAACACAGTCCTGCCTCGAACCACCTCCAACTCCTCACCCAGGTACTACAACAAACAACAATAGTCAGGTAGTGTCTGTCCAGGCATCAACACAACATCAGCATATTGTAGTAGATCTAGAGTGACTACTGATCCCTCCTCAAACACAGTCCTGCCTCGAACCACCTCTAACTCCTCACCCAGGTACTACAACAAACAACAATAGTCAGGTAGTGTCTGTCCAAGCATCAACACAACATCAGCATATTGTAGTAGATCTAGAGTGACTACTGATCCTTCCTCAAACACAGTCCTGCCTCGAACCACCTCCAACTCCTCACCCAGGTACTACAACAAACAACAATAGTCAGGTAGTGTCTGTCCAGGCATCAACACAACATCAGCATATTGTAGTAGATCTAGAGTGACTACTGATCCCTCCTCAAACACAGTCCTGCCTCGAACCACCTCTAACTCCTCACCCAGGTACTACAACAAACAACAATAGTCAGGTAGTGTCTGTCCAAGCATCAACACAACATCAGCATATTGTAGTAGATCTAGAGTGACTACTGATCCCTCCTCAAACACAGTCCTGCCTCGAACCACCTCCAACTCCTCACCCAGGTACTACAACAAAGAACAATAGTCAGGTAGTGTCTGTCCAAGCATCAACACAACATCAGCATATTGTAGTAGATCTAGAGTGACTACTGATCCTTTCTCAAACACAGTCCTGCCTCGAACCACCTCCAACTCCTCACCCAGGTACTACAACAAACAACAATAGTCAGGTAGTGTCTGTCCAGGCATCAACACAACATCAGCATGTTGTAGTAGATCTAGAGTAACTACTGATCCCTCCTCAAACACAGTCCTGCCTCGAACCACCTCCAACTGCTCACCCAGGTACTACAACAAACAACAATAGTCAGGTAGTGTCTGTCCAGGCATCAACACAACATCAGCATATTGTAGTAGATCTAGAGTGACTACTGATCCCTCCTCAAACACAGTCCTGCCTCGAACCACCTCCAACTCCTCACCCAGGTACTACAACAAACAACAATAGTCAGGTAGTGTCTGTCCAAGCATCAACACAACATCAGCATGTTGTAGTAGATCTAGAGTGACTACTGATCCCTCCTCAAACACAGTCCTGCCTCGAACCACCTCCAACTCCTGGCCCAGGTACTACAACAAACAACAATAGTCAGGTAGTGTCTGTCCAGGCATCAACACAACATCAGCATATTGTAGTAGATCTAGAGTGACTACTGATCCCTCCTCAAACACAGTCCTGCCTCGAACCACCTCCAACTCCTGGCCCAGGTACTACAACAAACAACAATAGTCAGGTAGTGTCTGTCCAGGCATCAACACAACATCAGCATATTGTAGTAGATCTAGAGTGACTACTGATCCTTCCTCAAACACAGTCCTGCCTCGAACCACCTCCAACTCCTGGCCCAGGTACTACAACAAACAACAATAGTCAGGTAGTGTCTGTCCAAGCATCAACACAACATCAGCATGTTGTAGTAGATCTAGAGTGACTACTGATCCTTCCTCAAACACAGTCCTGCCTCGAACCACCTCCAACTCCTCACCCAGGTACTACAACAAACAACAATAGTCAGGTAGTGTCTGTCCAAGCATCAACACAACATCAGCATGTTGTAGTAGATGTAGAGTGACTACTGATCCCTCCTCAAACACAGTCCTGCCTCGAACCACCTCTAACTCCTGGCCCAGGTACTACAACAAACGACAATACACTACAGAGAGTAGCAGTAAAAAAATATGCACTGTATAAGCAGTCAAGTCATGATACAATAACATGCAAATAATAACCAATCACAAAACACTCTAGTATATAAACGGTGTAGAGTAAAAAAACAGCTCACACAATGGAACACAAATTGCACAGTTCACAATGACTCCACCAATGAGACTGAAGCATCATGGCAGACCTATCCGAAACAAACGGAAATGGCGTCCGGTCCCTGGAAAAGTATCCTGAGGGTCATTTTTGGGTTTTGTTTTGACGAGACTCTGCCGTTGTGTTTTGTGTCCGAAACGCTGTTTGCACTTTAAATTTCCTAGCAACCCTTCTAATTTTCTCCGATAACCCTGACAAATACGAGATTGACATGTGGACGAACTTTTCCTTGCGATTTTGTAATGATTCTAGCGTAGCCCTATCTTTCTTGCATTTATTTATAATGAATCGAGGGTATCTGTTACTAGCCAAATCCTATTCTACTTTTTTTTATTTCAACCTTTAACTCATCCTGATTGGAGCAAATGCTCTAAGCCCTGTCAAACAACGAGTAACCAACCCCTCCTTGACAGAGATTTGGTGATTAGATTGAAAGTTTAAATACTGCCCTGTGTGTGTCTTCTTTCTATAAACAGGTGTTCTAAGACTGTTCAAATGCTTTTCTACGCACACTCCAAAATTGGACGATTGTTTTTTATTCCACTTCCATGGTTGGTTTTATGAAAGATGAAACGCTATTAAGGTGCGTTAAAAAACTCATTCAATTTATCATATCCATGAGGGAAAACCACAAAGTGTCATCGACGTACCTCCACCATATCTTCGGATTGAGCCGAGCTGAAGCCAAAGCTTTTGCTCAAACTAATCCAAAATTTTGAGGAGAACTCGTGATTTCTCTTAATTCAAAATTCGCATGTTATGTTAACTCGTGGTAGAGCTCGTGATAGGAATTACCAGAATTAACATGCTTTTTTGCGGCATCGTACATCGCTCCGCCATTTTGCTCGTTTTACTTTTCCAGGGACCAGACGCCATTTCCGGTTGTCTCTATGTTTCGGATTGGTCGGCCATGATGCTTCAGTCTCATTGGTGGAGTCATTGCAAACTGTGCGATTAGTGTTCCATTGTAGGAACTGTTGGGAATTTTAAATTTACAATTTTTTTAATTATCTCCAAAACCGTTAGGCATACAATGCTTCAATATGGACATTTTTTTAAGCTCTACAAAATGGTTTGGAAAAAAATTTTGAAATTTTGTGTTTTTATGGTAAAAAATGGGAAAACACTATTTTTTCCCCATAAGTCCATTCAAATAGTGTGATCATGCTGCTTTGCGATCTTGTTCGAATAAACTTAGGTTTACACGTTTGTACCAAATTTCATCAAAATCGGATAAATTTTGCACAAGTTAGTCATAGTTCTTTATTCATTTTTTTGTACATAGTTTGTACAGTAAATAGCGTCATATATAATACAATACTTAATCTAATTAAAATCTACTACTTACAATTTACCAAGAAAAAATGAAAAGTAATAACAAAATATTTATATCTACAGTAGGTTATATCTGGGAGGTGGAAAATTATCTAATGGAGTAAGGGGCCAGATGTATCAAATATTCTTTCAGCAATTTCCTGAACTTATTTAAATTATTTTCTCTTCTTATGTTTTCTGGAATATATTTAAGAAAAGTATATCCTACGTAGGTTGGTTTCTTTTCAAAAAACTTTAATCTATGTGGCAGGATAACCTCATTTTTCTTTCTAGTATTAGGCTATACGAATGAGCTAGGGACTTAGAATTGATAGTTGTACAATTCTTTGCAATGAGAGTAGGCCTAGTTTCAATAATATATTACCCGTAAACAGTTAAAATATTTAGATTTTTTAAATGTTCTTTTGCTGATGCATCATACTTTAACTTAAGCATGATCCTGATTGCTCGTTTTTGCTGTTTTAATATGTTTTCCAAATTTAACTTTTTTGTTCAACCATACAGCGCTATGCAGAACAATATATGAGAGTGAATATGGGCAAAATAAATATTCTGTGATCTGAAAACATTAATTTTCAGATCACAGTAATAAGACATTTTAGATAATGCTAGACATAACTAGACATAGGTAGACATAATATGAAGACACAACTTACTATTCAGCTTATAGATTAATGCGCTGTTTACTCCTCTCAGGTAACAAAGAAAGATCAAAGGCCCTAGAATTGATCCTTGAGGTACTCCAAACCTGATTGGCTTACAATTTGATGATATTTTAGTAATTTTATTATCTTTTGTTAAGTGGGAAATTTCTACATACTGAGACCTATCATGGAGGTAAGAACTGAACCAATTTAAAGCATTTTGAGAGAAACCAAGAATCTGAAGTTTTTCTATTAGCTTTGAATGTTTAACACTATCAAAAGCTTTTGAAAGGTCCATAAATATTCCTGTTGTAAAATTTCCTTTGTCTCCTGAGTCTATAACAGACTCAATGAAAGATGCAGCAGCACTAAAAATTGACCTACCATGTCTGAACCCATGCTGGTTATCCCAAATTTATCCCAAATTTCCAAAATTCCCAAATCTAATATGTTATTTGTTTCCAAAAATTCAGATAACTGCAAGTGCACTGCTTTTTCAAATATCTTAGAGATAGATGATAGTACAGATATTGATCTGTAGTTTAAAACATCTGCTGTATCATTCTTTTTGTGTAATGGAATTACTTTTGCAAGCTTTAACTGTTTTGGAAATATGCCTGATACAAAGGACAAATTTATTAGATGACACAAGACTTTACTTAATTTACTTTTAACAGCTTTAATTAGGCTACTGTCACTGGCAATTCATCATGACCAAATGAATTTTTATTTTTTAAAGATTCTATAATTTTTTCCACCTCCCTTTCATTTAATTGTTTAAATCTAAACTCAGTTTTTACAGTCAGATGACAGTTTGAGTTAATCATTACATCTTCCTTGACAAAGCTACTGTCACTACTTTTGTCTATGTCTGTTACACTATTATTCAATTCAATTCAATTCAATTCAATTCAAACTTCTTTATTCATTATTTTGTACAATATATACATCGAATAGTGTCAGGTTGTACAACAACTCAAACTAGCCTAAGTGACAATCTCATCCACTCTATGCAGGAGACTGAAAAAGTGTTTATATATTCATTATGACTGTGATGGGTGGAAAAAATCTTCAAAAGAATACGGAGCTATTTTAATCAGATATTCTTTTAATCTTTTTTTAAATTTGTTTCTATTACTTTCTTTTTTAATTTCTTTTGGAATTGTATTTAAATATCTTTGACCGATGTAGGAAGGTTTCTTTTCAAAAAAGTTTGTTTGATGTTTATATGTTATTATGGAGTCTTTATGTCGAGTATTGTATTTATGAAGGGTTGAAATATAATCTGAAGGACGAGAATCAGCTTTCTTAATTGCCATTAAAATGCAGTCAAAAATATACTGTCCGTAGACTGTCAAAATATTGAGTTCAACAAAGTGTTTTTTCACAGAGGCATCACGCTGTAGTTTTAGCATTATTCTAATTGCATATTCTTGTTTTTTTAATATATTTTCAAGATTAATTTTTGAAGTTGCTCCAAATAAACAAATCCCAAAAGCAATATGGGAATGTATGTATGCAAAATAGATTTTACGCATTGTTTCAATATTACAACAAAAGGACATTTTCCTCAAAGCAAATATTCCAGAACTAATTTTTGGTAAAATTTTGTCCACATGGTTATTCCAATCTAAATGCTGATCAATAGTTAAGCCAAGAAACTGAGCATTTGGTTTTGTTATAATTTGCTGAGAATTCAAATCTATCACTGGTTTTCTCTTATTTCTGTTTTGTTTTGTTTTAAAATTAATACAATAAGTTTTTCCTACATTCAAAAATAAATTATGATCCTTGAGAAATTTATTGATGTTTTCTAATTCTAGTTTACAATTTACTTCAGTTTCTTCCAAAGTCTCTGATGATAATTTCAAGTTTGAATCATCGGCATATAAAATTAATTTTGAATTAGGTTGGAATAATAAGGCATTTTCAATGTTTTTCATATAACATAAAAATAACAGAGGACCTAATATTGAACCTTGTGGGACGCCAAATTTAACAGGGCGAGTTTCTGAAGATATACTAATAAGTTTATTTGAGTTTGATAGAAACATTACTTCGACATACTGACTGCGGTCACAAAGATATGACTGAAACCAATTTAGAGAATTTTTTGATATTCCTAAAGATTGTAATTTTTGTAATAAAATTGAGTGCTTTACACTGTCAAATTAAAATGATCATTAAAGGTATTCGAGATTAAGCGTGGGTCAGAAATTGTTTCAGTACCTACTAAGGGGAGTCTGAGGTCCTATCTTTAGTGATGTTAACTAAATGTCACTTTTCTCAGGAGTTAGAACAGGTAGGATAGTGAAACTTGGTATACTTTTATATTAACTAATTAACTAGTCACAGACACAAGATTTTTCATCTAAAATTAAAAATAACTATTTTATGGGTTTTTATAGATTTTAAAAATATTTGATTCAAAAATAAAATTTATATTTTTTTTTTTACCTGCTTCAACTAAAGATATGATGAAATCCTTATGTCTGTGTTTAGAATAAGTCACTAAGACTACATGGTAAAAATTTCACAGCTGTATGTATTACCAGTCCTGAAAAAAATGACATTAAAGTTCTATAAAATAAAGTTGCGGAAATCGGCAAGAAAAGCCTCCAAAGGTCAACCAAGGATCTACTAGTTTTACCTTTAAAACGTCACTGCAATGTTATGGAAAATATATTTTTTATAGGTACATTTCTAGGTTAGTAATTGAAAATGTAAGTATACCATTTTTAAGAAAAAATTCTGTGCTATAAAAAGAACATAAAAAGTACAAATTGAAAAAAATTAAAAAATTTCGACTTTGACTCCCCTTAAGATTAAAGTTAGAAAATTAGATATGAAGGTGCGATATGAAAGTGCGATATGAAATTGGGGAATTTCATATCGCACTTTTCTGTTATCGCACTAACGCACTCACACATATATATACAAAAGGAGCGGCAGAAATACCTGACGGTTTTTAAATAAGAAAAACTCCAATGTTTATAAACATTTGTGCATATCTATCTACCTATCTATCTATCTATCTATCTATCTATCTATCTATCTATATCCTTATATATAATACGTAAAGGCGATTTCTACGAAACACTACTCCTCCGTTAATAATGGACGGATTTTTACAAACGATGTGTCAAAATAAAGTATTTTTTGTGTAGAAGCCCCCTTTCACCAATTCCTGTAATAAAAGTCCTCAGACTTTGCCCCACAGGCTATTGAAATCCCAATGTATTTCTTATGAAGAAAAGATTTTGTTTACTTAAACTGATGAATAATTTGTGTTAAGTACAGCTGTTCATAGTAAATACATGATACACACAAAAGGGTTCGTTTTCTGTGTGAGTTCGTTTTCAGTTTCGATAACTGGAGTGGAGTTATTGATTACATTATCTTTGAGTCAACTGTTTTAAGTCATTGGAAATTATTACTGTTACAGTAGATTCCCTCTTATCCGGACACCTTTTAATCGTACATCGGTTTACTTAACCGGATTACAATCGGCAGAAATGGCATCTCTTTAACCGGACAATTGTTATCAGCACATTGGTTTTTAACCAGACTAGATCGGCAGGAAGTGGGCGGTACTGAAACGACTGTTCTCGTGGGAAAGATTTGAGACCAGTGATCACGTGTCTAAATACAATGCTCTCCTAAATTTATTTCAAATATCACAGTAAACGGTCCGTTTTAACAAGTTTTTGGGGACGTTGGTTTAACCGGAAAAAACGTTATCCAGATTGGCCTCGGTCCCAAGGAGTCCGGATAAGTGGGAGTCTACTGTATTTGAAATAACGCCTACATATCAATCGAAACGCCGGTTATTTCTGAATCGAATGCATACTATATGAAGTGAGATTAGATGAAATACGAGGTTAAAATCGGCGTTTTACGTAATGCTGTTAATATGCCCGATTTCGGGCGCTGCCACCTGGACCGCAGCCTAATTCGCCCGATATCGGGCGCATGCCAGCTCTAGGGTTGACAACTGGAGTGGCCTTAAAGGTAGAAAAGAGCCAAATGAGTAATACAAATCAGATTATCAGTAAGAGGAAGTGGTGAAATATTACCCCTTTAAGTCATATAAACACACTGACTGGCGTTCCCTGATCAAAGTTCGGCCCCAGGCACTAATTAAAATAAGTTAGATATAAGCTATTTGGTTTATTTGCGTTTTCGTCAGGAATAACCGGTTTTAAGGACATGGAACATTGTTACGGATTATGCAGGTATTGACATTTAAAGTCGGGGGTTTTTCAAGACTAATGGCAAGTAACTTAAAACCTCATAGCCAGTCTGGCAACATTGACTGAGCCACTCAAAAGTCAGAGTAACTTAAGCTTAGTTAAAGTAACTTGTAAAACCTTACTGAATGCATGCTAGGCAGATCCATGTTGAAAGCCTGTTGAACTCCTATGTCTTGGCTTCTCTCTTCAGAGTTTTCAGACTGATCTGACTCTGCCTGACCAAAAACATCTTCACTGTCTGTGTCATCTGAAAAAAAACACCGAAGGTTACATTAATTGTAATTACTTTAGATACCTTTAAGATAGGGCCAAGGCTGTGCTACAGAGATTGGCGTAGGCCGTCATAAGCTTAAGTTAACCTAATAGGGATGGATTGATTCTCCCTGAATGTTTACTAGACTTACATCACATTGTTGTTGGTTTAATATTCAAGGCATAAACTTATTACTTGAATTATAAATTTGACTTCATTCTTCTAACATGCAAAATAAAACAACTGTTGACAGACGGTAAAATATTTAGATATTGTTCGCTTACACAAAAGTATTATGGATCCTTCTGAGTCAGAATCCATTTCATATCCAGATTCTCTTGAGTCTTGATCAGTGTCACGTAAATAATTTGTCCAAAAATCCTTTGGTGTTGATAGGATCACATCTAAAACAACATATTTCTAATGAAAATTAATAATTAAGGCTATTTTAAAATGTAAGATTGTTTCTTTCTACGTAGTTTGTTATTGTTGTGTTTGTTTTGTTATTGTTTTCGTTTTGTTATCCGTTTTTTTTTTGTTATCCTCATGCTCGCTCAGGCCGCGGCTCCACTTGCCGTAGATTGCCGCGCTGCAAATTGTAGCTTGTCAGTTGAGGAAATAGCCCAGTCAATCTAGGTAAAAAATCGTGCAAACCCGGAAATGCGAGATATAAAGCTGAATTTTGGCCCAGATGCTCTTTATGATATCCTTGACCATATCCTAAAAGTCCCCTACCGTCCCCTGTTTGCTTCTTCCGGTATAAAGAAAAATGGGGGGGGGAGGGGGCGCAACTTTTTTAAACGCACATTGAACGCGATAACTTGAGTAATTTTGGTCCAATTTTGATAAAATTTGGCTTGAAGGTGAAAGGTGGGATAAACGTAAATGAGTTGCAAAATCAGCATAATCAGACCATGGGAACGGGTGTTTACGGGGAGTTTTATGAGGTAAAAATTGGGTTTTATGGGGTAAAAATTGAATTTTATCATTTTCGATCCTCAAAACACAAAAATTTCTAATTTCTCTCTGAACCATTTAAAAAAGCTTAAATTATCAAATATTTTAGTATAATGAAGTGTTTTTGTAAGGTTATTGGTTAGGAAGAAAATTAAAAAAATTAAAAATTTCCATGTTATTTTTAAGGAGAGTAAGCTGTTGTAGTTTGCTTGTTTACGGATATATTTTGATCAAACTTGGAAAATCAACTTAATTTATAAAGGGCTATTGATATTTTACTACAAACGCACTTCATTACACTCCCTGTAGCAGCAAGCCTAGGTACTTGTTAGGCATAATGTTATTTCAATATATTTAATAAAAAATCCAATCGGGCAAATGGAAATTCACTTAGTCTGCAGGTTTGCTGCGGCGGGGGTATTTTCATACAAAGTTGCACTGTCCTAGATTTACTTTATCAATGGTTTTTGTCAATACTACACTCTATTTTTTCCCTTAAAATGTATATTTAAGCTGGGAATATAATAAATAAACTCCAGAATAAACGTGGACAATGGTGTAAAAACATAACATAAGCATGGTATTCAATAAATAATATACAGGATACAGTGATATTAAAAAGTTTTACTATTACATTTTTAAGTACAATCAGAAAAGGCTTCTTTTCGGTTCGTAGGACAGAAAGGTTCTGGAGTGGAAATTGGACAGATATGGTGATTGAGATAAGGAGCTCATGCGTTCTTTGAAAGTATCAGGTGGACGTCACTGACAGTAACTTGGCAAAATTTGTCCTAGCACGTCCAGCCTGTTCTGTTGTCACGAATGCTTTTGAAAAATTATGTCATATAAACTCTGGAACTACAGAACAACATGTTGAGCTACGAGATAATCGGCAATCAAGAGATGATAACGATTTATACAAACTACTTTATTGGCTAAAGTCCCATTCGCATTTCAGTGTTGACATAAATGGAGGTTTGATTTCTTTGTCAACTGGAACAGTTGCTGATGCTAAAATAAACCCGGAAAGCCCCACAGAAACAGGACTTCTTGCAATGACTCAAATGACTGGCCAAACTTTTGGTGATGTAAAACTTAAAAGAAAAGTAAAGCTACTCCACTTGCTGCTGTTTATGCCACTATCAGAGTAAGAGGTCACGATGTTATAGAAGTGAATCCGAATCAACTGTTTCTCAGAATATCGTGTTTTTTAAAATCACCATCTGATTACGAAGATTACATGGCCTTTGAATTGGCTCCGAGGCCACCTTCTCTCTTTAACGGAGCAGCGATGAGAAAAACAGCCAAGTCAGCACTTTGTGATATTATAGAGATAAGCACACCTACCCTTCATAGTTGGCCTCAAGACTGTGTTTATGTATTGGACGGAGGACATTTGCTTCATCATGTAGTTTGGCCCAAGCCTGCCACATATGGACAAATAATTTCAGTATATGTTGAATTTATTCGCATCCACTACGGTTCAAATGTAACAATACTGTTTGATGGCTATGAGGGACCAGCGACCACAAAGAATCAAGAGCAAGATAGAAGAGCTTGTCGAATTCCATCAAGAACAATACATTTCGACTCAAACATGACAACATCAGTGACTCAGGCTGAATTTCTCGGTAATGCTGCAAATAAAATCCGACTTATAAGTGAACTAAAATTACACTTTGATCGAGCTGGCTTTTCAGTTCTACAAGCTGCAGCAGATGCTGACTTTTTGATTGCTTCAACAGCTCTTCAGCAGTGTTCTGAAGGTATGAAAACAGCTGTGGTGGGTACAGACACTGATCTTCTAGCACTTCTTGTCCATTGAGTTAAAAGGTCAGATACATTGTTCTTCATCAAACCAGAAGGCAGTAAAGGTTCCTACAAAGTTTACCCAGCAACTAAAATTAGTAATAACTTAGGCAATATGAAAGACTGTATACTGTTTGCACACGCATTTTCTGGATGTGATACAACATCCGCAACGTTTAGAAAAGGGAAAAAAATGCCCTGGAAAGTGTTGGAAAAAAGTGTGGAACTTCAAAAAATGTCAGATGTTTTTAAATATTCAACTGCTCAGCCTGACAAGTTAACATCATGTGGAGAACAATACTTTCTTGCAATATACGGAGATACAAAGTGCAAAACATTAAATGAACTAAGGTACTTTATGTTCAATAAAGTAATGGCTAGACAGAAAATTACTTCAAGCTTTGATTTGTCAGTTTTACCGCCTACTTCGGATGCCGCACGCTTACACACTTTGCGGGTTTACTATCATGTGCAGAAATGGCTTGGGAAGGATCTGGATCCATGTTCATGGGGTTGACTTGAAAAAGACGGCGTTCTTGTACCTCAATCTATGACTTTGCCACCGGCACCTGATAAACTCTTGAATTTCGTTACATGTGATTGCAAGAAAGAGTGTGCCCGATCGTGTGATTGCATAAGGTCAGGATTAGCTTGTTCGGCAATGTGTGCTCATTGCCGAGGTAGAGACTGCAACAACACACTGCAGACAATTGATTTAGAGGAAGAAGACGTTGATAGTTAGTAATGTTCAGTTTTATAATTTGTATAAAATACACTGTTCAATACAATTGCTTAACCTACTGTTGTAACTCTTAAAAAATTGGGTTTCATATTAAGGGTGGTTAATCCAATATTTTGTACAAATATTATTTTTTGTTAGTAATCTTTTCTGATTGTACTTAAAAATGTAATAGTAAAACTTTTTAATATCACTGTATCCTGTATATTATTTATTGAATACCATGCTTATGTTATGTTTTTACACCATTGTCCACGTTTATTCTGGAGTTTATTTATTAAATTCCCAGCTTAAATATACATTTTAAGGGAAAAATAGAGTGTAGTATTCACAAAAACCATTGATAAAGTAAATCTAGGACAGTGCAACTTTGTATGAAAATACCCCCGCCGCAGCAAACCTGCAGACTAAGCGAATTTCCATTTGCCCGATTGGATTTTTTATTAAATATATTGAAATAACATTATGCCTAACAAGTACCTAGGCTTGCTGATACAGGGAGTGTAATGAAGTGCGTTTGTAGAAAATATCAATAGCTTATTATAAATTAAGTTGATTTTCCAAGTTTGATCAAAATATATTCGTAAACAAGCAAACTACAACAGCTTACTCTCCTCAAGAATAACATGGGAATTTTTAATTTTTTTAATTTTCTTCCTAACCAATAACCTTACAAAAACACTTCATTATACTAAAATATTTTATAATTTAAGCTTTTTTAAATGGTTCAGAGAGAAATTAGAAATTGTTGTGTTTTGAGGATCAAAAATGATAAAATTCAATTTTTACAACATAAAACCCAATTTTTACCTCATAAAACCCCCCGTAAACACCCGTTCCCATGGTCTGATTATGCTGATTTTGCAACTCATTTATGTTTATCCCACTTTTCACCTTCAAGCAAAATTTTATCAAAATTGGACCAAAATTACTCAAGTTATCGCGTTCAATGTGCGTTTAAATAAGTTGCGCCCCCTCCCCCCCTTTTTTCTTTATACCGGAAGAAGCAAACAGGGGACGGGCGGGGACTTGTAGGGTGTGATTTTACATACCATAACGGACATCTGTGCAAAAAATTAGCTTTATATCTCGCATTTCCGGGTAAAAACCTAGATTGACTGGGCTAAAATGGGAAGGCAGCGATCAAACGAAGGTGGCTCCACTAGCGACAGTCTGCAGCGCGCTACATTTTACAGCGCGCTGTAGAATGTAGCGTCGCGCGGGAATGGAACTCGGACCATTTTCGCGCTACATTTTGCAGCCAACAGGTGGCTCCACTAGCTGTAAATTGTAGTGCCGCGCCAAGTCAGTGTACGTACAGCCGACAGGCATACGTGGACAAGACACACACGCTACAATCAGTTTAGACTTTTTAGTGTCCTTAGTTTATTTTTATTTTTGTGGATTGATTTGTAATCAATGGAGCCTGAACTGGACTGTGAAATTATTATATTAGAAATTATTAAATTATTACATCGGGAGTGTGGGAATCTTGTTTTATAGAGGTTGTGTAGGGATTTCCTACTTTATATTATAAAGTAAAACAGTAGTGATTGGAGAAACAAATACGTGAAAACATTCAAATCGTACAATTGTTATAATTAGCCCTCATGGTGGAAGTAGCCCTATAATAAAAAGCTCCTAATGGCTGTTTTAGATTATTTTTAATAGGTACAACAAAAACTCACGAAACTCATAGTGATATTCACCTTACATTGGTTACTTAGAAATATTACTTCTGAGGGTGAATGATTGTAATAAAATTAAAATAAAATAGAAATAGAGATAAAATGTCCATTAGAGTAGAGTAATTCGACACACCCAGGATTGTTGAAGCGAGGGTTCACTGTATAAAATTAATTAGTTAAAATTCAGTACACTAAAATTACCTTAATGTCACTGAAAGCACAGACAATATAATACTCATAATGTCTACTTTAATGTCTACTCTAATGTTTACTCCATTGTCTGTGCTGAAAGCCTTTCCTATACTCCAATTGTTTCTCTTAGTTTAGTTGCACACAAACGTGTTGATACTGATTCTAGTAAGCAAACAAGTTTTGGGACATTCGATAATATTCAAAAAACTTGTCTGAATACTTTCAGTATGCAATGTGTGGAACATCCCTTCGGACTTTACGTTGCTTAATATTGGATGGATCCACCATTTTCCTGCTGTGATCGGCGTCGTCTTGATAAAGTACACTATGATAACAACACTAAGAATGTTAATTTGCGGCATGATCCAGGGCCACGTTTACCTCGGCGCTACACTTAACTGCTAGTGGAGCCACGGTGCATGTGAGAGGACGCTGCAGATTGTAGTTCGTACTCTGCTGCTAGTGGAGCCACCAACTGTCGCGTGTAGCGCGCTACAATTTGCAGCGCGACAATTTACGGCAAGTGGAGCCGCAGCCTCATAGGTTTTTTCTCACACCACACACTCAACACGATCGTGAAGACATAAGACGAAACCGAAACGGCATGAGAGCCAATAGAATTGTCCGTCATGGAGCGTCCCGTGAGCCTTGCGTAAACTAGACCCCTAAAACTAAAAGGCATCTAAATTGAAATTCACAGAAAGAGAATGGAACGAAATAGTAGAATAGGAAGAATTGAAGAAAAGAATAATGAATCTGAATCCGAATCGTCGTGTCTAGGCTAGGCTAGTCGTCTCGTCTTGTCTTGTCTTCGACTTCCGTTCCAGTTCCAGTCCAGTTCCAAATCAATCAGTCATTATAATTCTCGTCTCGTCGTATACTCGCAGGCTTCAACTAAAATAATAAGGTAAAACACTGGCTAATTTTAATTCGACTGCTCGTTTTGTTTTGGTTGAAAAGTTTCAACACTTTAGTGGACAGGACAGGACTAGGTATTATACACATTGCATTTGCACTCGTCCTCTATTAATTTTTAAGATAATATTAGGCCTATGCATTCCTGTTAAAATTTCTTTAGGCCTAGTCTAGGTAAGTTCTTGTTTACATAGGCTAACTTAAGTATTAAACTTCCTTACACAATTTAAGTTAGGTCTTAACAAAATCGTAGACCAGTTTTTGAACCAAAACCAGATAACCTTTCCTTTAAAATGAAATCTTGGACTCCCTTAACTAACTACAATGAATACAATGAATTTATTTGGCCAATCAACAACAACATTGTTACAGGCTATGTCAGTGCAAGCACAACTTAGGCTACCTAGGGTAAGATAGGCCTAACTTAACTTGATTAGATATGCTAGGTTATGTTTTTAAGTCTACAGCCTTGGAGCCTCGTGTTGTAAAGTTACTTGTTACTCCGCAAGTTCTTAGTAAGTAAGTTAGGCCTACTTACTACCTATTCAACTCCAAAATAATTAGTGATGCAAGACTGTGCGATGTGTAAGTTTTTCAATGGTTTGGAATGCATTCCTTGCCTAAGTTAGTCATGGTTTAAAAAGGTAAGAATATTGATGAGTTAAGTTAGTCAGTTTTGAATTTTTCGAAGAAAGGCTATCTTTAAATGTTTAAATGCAATAATTTTAAATCCTGTTTAACTGCCTAAACTTGTCTAATGCTATGCCTAACTTATGTAACTGTAAAAATCCTCATGCAGGAAATAATTAAGTTGACTCGGTAGGCTATTTAGTGTAGATTGGCGCGATCTTGTAGCCTTGTTAGTGACTAAGGCTGACATATTCCTTAGACACAGCTGTTAATTAACCTTTCAGAGGGCGCATTAGTTTCAAAACGGAAGAGGGCGCACCTGGAGGTTACTTCCAGGTCCATAAAAACAAACATTTATGAAGTAAAACTTGTATATATTAAGTTAGTGCTGAAATTAAGTTTTATTTTTAATTTTAAACGTATAAAAATGTGTTTAGTGAACTAAGTTATTAATTATAAGATAACTTAGGCTACCTTAATTATATTTTATAAATATAAAACTGAACTAAGATTTTATCAAATGTTCTAACATAAAAGTAGGCCTATATGAAGAAATCTTTTGCAAGAATATATCCAAGTTACCGTAGTTAATATAAATTTTACCAAAAATGTCCTATAACGTGGTTCTAGATGATAACACTCACAATACCTGATGTTTTAAGTAATTTAACATTAAACTTATGGACCCATATTAACATTGATACCCGTATCAATACTAAGTTAATTGACTCTGTACATATGTCGTGAATCTCTCTTTCAGCACTGGCTAAGAGTGCTGCAATTCGAAATTTAACTTCTTCACTCATCTTGTAGAAACTATTTACAGCCTACACGCAATAATCAACACTCACACTAAACTAGAGGTTGCACACGGAAGTTACCTCCAGGCTATACAAGAATCGGCAGAGCGCACACAGAAGCTATCGTACTTCCAGCCTCTTACAAAACTAACAAATATAAAATAGTAGGGGTGAGTTATGACCTTCACTCGATTCTAGAAATGCGTGAGGTACAGTGACACGCGCACTGCCGACACCATTCAAAATAATATGATCGCGAAAAATAAAACATCCCTGGAGATTACTTCTGTGATGCCACCTCTGGAAGGTGGCATAGTGGTATGGTAATAGCCCATACAGCTAATGCATTCGCCCTAAGGGACCTACAGTTTATATCGGATTCCGAACCACATTTTTTCCCTGGTATATACGAATTGGTCTTTGAATTTTCAGGATAGTACTGCGGATAGTCGTAGTACTCACTCGTGCGGACGTTAATCTACGAACCAGAGAGTATTGCATCCACAGTGCATGCCTATAAATATCCACAATTCGTAACCTCCTAGTAGTTGGATTACAGGACGACACCACCCGTCCTAGTTTTTTTTTTTTAGTTAAAATAATAAATGGAAAGTAAATAAAGATATACGTCTTATAACACTTAAAACATATATTTATGCTTATACTGTTACTCACAAGACGGTATATAAAAAAGATGGTAAGTGGTGATCGATTTCGATTGGACACTCCAATCATCATCAGACCCAATAGGCGAATGACAAGAATCTTTAATGGCGTCCCTACTTATACCCTATTGGCTACCGGAAACACCGGCCAATACATTTTTATAAGTACAACTGGAATCGAAATTTACTTGTTCATTAATCAACTTATTTCTATTTTTACATTTTTCCTTATAAATATACAATTCTACCCAAGCATTCATCACATATCCCTTCTTACAATTCTTCAAAATACATCTAGGTAGATTATCCTCCATTTTTCCTATTGAGTGTCCATTTTGTAACATTTGTTGTGCGACATTTGATCTTTCCGGTTTGTTGTTTCTCCATGCAGATATGTGGTTTTTGAAGCGGTTGACGAAGTTCACAGTCTGTCCAATGTAGAAGCTATCACAATCGTTACAATTGATTTTATAGATGCCCGATGCATCGAATCTGTTACAATCTTCTATTTTTTTATGCAGTATTTTACTCATGGTGTTCTGAGTCCTGTAGGCTATCGAAACTCTGTATTTCTTGAATCTGTTAGCAGTCCTTTGTGTTGGTTTTTATACGTTGGTTTTTAATGGATCAGAAACTTAATACCCTGGAAAATTTAGAATTATAATGTAAACTCTTATGCAGAAAACCATTCCTCTATGAATGAACAGGAGCGAAGTCGGTTTTCTTCCTCTTTGTCTCAAGTACACTACAAAATTGAAAGTCTTAAAAAGTAAACAGATAAAAAGAATGGCATCCCATGAGGCCCATGTAAATTTTTCAAAAAATTGTACTCATATTATGGCGAAAATGGATTTTTCCTGGCTATACCACTGGTCTAGAACTTATTTTTGGCACAGAGCTTAGTTATACCGTAAGTATAAACATGTTTATATAATTGTAAAAAAAGTTGATATTTTAAGTTGAAATGTTATAATTTTTAACGCAGTGTGTAAGTTTGTATATTTAAATTTTTTTAGGGGAGCCGAAAGTTTTTGGACCCAAAATGCTGCGGTTGTCAGTGATGGCAGTGGCAGTTGGGGCAATGTGTGCCATCCTGCTCAGTCAGACAGTGGAGACGTGTAATGAAGCGGTCTGTGCCAGCGTCGTCAGCAAGTGTATGATAACTCAGTCTTGCAAGTGTGACCTCAAAAACTGTTCCTGTTGCAAGGAATGTTCAAACTGTCTCAGTTACCTCTACACTGAATGCTGTTCTTGTGTCGGTCAGTGTCTAATTGATAAGATTTTAATAATTTATTTTCGACTTTTTTAGAATTTTTGAGTTTGGCTGATTGCGTGTAGGCCTACATAATTAGATATATCGTCTTTGTAATCCAGGGGTAATATGGTACTACGGGTCCAATTAATCCATAGTCGGGTTCATATTTGTACACTAAACTAAATGTTGAATGTTTTTACATCTAACAGTCTTCATTTGCATTGAGTCAACGGTTATAACATAGGTACGACACAAAACATTGTAGCACATGTACAGCATAAAAACTGGTGGCCAACTGTGTTGTATAGGTCTCAATACTGGTACGTATGGGCTCTCAATAGACTGAAAAAATGAATATCTATCTATATTTTTTATTGTAGATCCTTTCTAATCTGTCACCTTTGCATTATAAGGAGAGTTCTACAATGGTGGAGTGTATGACAAAAGATAATCTTTTGCAAACACAAATCAATATCAAGTACAGCTTATTTTAAAATCAAACATGTCTATATATTGTTAAAAATAACAAAATAATATGAAATCGATGGGTAGGCCTATACAATGGGATTGAGTTTTCTGTTAAGGTTATATAGGAACATTTTGCAAGATCCTAACAACATTGTAGGCTTAACCCCTTCGCTTACAACGACGGCGATCCGCCGTCGCGCTCCCGTTAGCCATTGTGTGAAGCGACGGCGAATCGCCGTCCGCTATTAAAACCTGTTTGGGCCGAGTTAGTTCCCCAGAAATCCAATAGATCGCATATGCTTCTTGTTCTATGATTTCCAGGCTTTCTTTTGGTTATATTTTCGTCATCTCAGTCCAGTCCAATCGGCAAAAAAACTGAAGTTGAAATGGTGCAACTTAGCAGCTGACGACGTCTACTCTGGTTTCACAGCTGATACGTTGTTGTGTTTACTTCGACGATGTAAACATTGTGTTAGAGCCTTGTTTTACTTTATTATTTTATTGAAAAGTGTAGTTATCTTATAAAATAAGTTATAGAATTTACTTAGTGTAAGTTTTTATCAGTATTTTACTTTTTCGTCGTTATAATGACTGAGTTATTAGGCCTATCATGTCGTGTTTCACTTCGTCGTGATAAAGATTGAGCTACAGTATCTTGTTTTACTATATTATTCAATTGAAAAGCTTTTGTATAATACGATGAGTCTTCAAAATAACTTGGTATTCGTGGATGAATGTGGAAAAGAGTTAGATGAAAGTGACATCATAAAACTTATAGGGGATTGTGACAGTGACAGTGATTGTGACTTGTTTGAGGAGAGTGGTTGGAGTGATGATGATGATTTGGAAGGGAGCAGAATTCAAGTGAGTAATAAGTCTAATACGCCTATTGATTATGAGACCACAGTTTCCCCAGAACATAATACTAATTGTGTTAGGCCTAGGCCATTAGAAAGTGACCAGTTGTTGCTTGAACAGCCTTCTTGCAGCTATGCTAGGCCTATGACCCCTCCAGATGCCCTTACTGTCCAATATAATTCAGATTTGTCTAGTAGGCCTGAAATATTTGATCAGCATGTATCTTCTCCATCACGTGATGAAGAATTGCCTAAATCAGTCCAGTTTCTTGATCGGTTATACCGCGGTAGTATGAGCGCGCCTTCTCTCTCGCCTACACCGAGTGAGGAAGCTGACGACCCTGGTTTCCCTGACTCTAGGCCTATAAATGATATAGATAGTGGCAGGCATAGGCCTATGACCCCTCCAAATGTCCAATCTGATTTAGATTTGCCTATTAGGCCTGAATTATTTGACCAGCTTGCATCTTCAATCGTGCCTGCCCTCTCACCTACACCGAGTGAGGAAGCTGACGACCCTAGCTTTCCTGACCCTAGGCCTAAAAGTAAACCTGTTAGGGGCAGGTCTAGAGGAAGAGGTAGGCCTATAGGAAAAAAAGCTATTTCACAACCATCTAAGCCTACTAAAAGGTCCAAAACTCAAACTAGTAACGATACAGCTCCACCAAAAAAGAAGAAAAAGGAGGGTTGGCAGTGGACCAGTACCATAGAAAGTAATATAATAAATAAAATCCCTTTTACTGGTTGTCCTGGTGTTAGAGCAAGTTTGGCTAGAAGTTTAGGCTCAGCTCCCTCTGAATTAGATGTTTTCAATGCGTTTCTTGATAATGACTTTTGGCAACATGTTGCAACAGAGACTAATAATTATGCCAAAGAAACAATTAAGAAAAAGAACGAAGCAGGCGGGGTAGGAAAAACTATATACTCAGAATGGTTTGACACAACTGCAGATGAGATGGCTTGTTTTTATACACTGTGTGTCCTTATGTCGCTTGTAAAAAAAAGAACCATACAATCATACTGGTCGCCTAATGCTGTAACTGAGACCCCTTTTTTTCGTAAAGTGATGCCATTCCGCCGTTTTTTGCTACTGTCCACATTTTTCCACCTTACAGACAATAATAGGAAACCTGTGAATGATAAACTGTGGAAGTTAAGGTACGTTATTGAGTACATGAACAGGAAGTTTTCCCATCTGTACATACCTGATGAAAACATAGCTGTCGATGAGAGTCTTATGAAGTTCCGAGGGAGGTTGGGCTATGTCCAATTTAATCCCAAGAAGAGAGCCAGATTTGGCATAAAGTTTTACAAGTGTTGTGAATCTGGAAGTGGTTATTGTTCTAAATTTAAGATCTATACTGGAGCTGAAGTCAAAGAAAATGTACCGGTTGAAGAAGGAAGTGGGGATTCTACACAGGAGGAAAAGCTGTTAACGAGTGAGGCGATAGTCGTTGAAATGACAAAAGATTTGGCAGGAAAAGGACATACTCTGACAATTGATAATTGGTACTCCTCACCTCTTCTCTTCTATAGACTTAAGCAAATAGGTTTCAATGTAATTGGAACAGCTAACTGGTGGAGATCAAACATGCCAGAGAGCTTCAAAGAGGGTAAACTTAAGTTGGGCGACTACGAGACAGCCTATAGCCACGATATGTTAGCAGTAAGGTGGCAGGACAAGAAGCAAGTTTGCATTTTGTCTACCTTTCATCAAAAAGCTGACAAAAGATCAACTGGCAAGAAAGACAGAGTTACCCAAGAAATTATAACAAAGCCAGAACCAGTGATCTACTATAATCGTTCAATGGGTGGAATTGACCGCGAGGATCAGCAATTAGCGTCGTTTCCTAGTATGAGGAGGTATGCTAAGGGATACAAGAAGATCTTCTTTTACATAATGGACATTGGCCTTTTTAACTCTTATGTACTGTTCAAAAAATTAACCAGAAAAAAATTGGGGTTCAGTGAGTTCAAGGAGAGGTTTGTCAAGCAAATGTTTGAGTCGCGACAACTGCCACCGTACAATCGAAGAGGACGATCATCCAACTCAGAAACACCTCTGAGGCTCCAGGCAGCAACTTGGGGACATTTTCCTAGGCCTATTCCTCCAAATGAAGTCAAACAAACACCTTCAAGAAGATGTAAGGTGTGTAGTGCCCAGGGAAAGCGCAGTGACAGCCGATGGGAGTGTGAGCTCTGCCTTGTCGCACTTCACATGCCAGAGTGTTTCAAGGCATACCACACCAAAATGAACTTTGCTTGACATTTGGTGAGTTTTTATAAGTGTCATACAGTATTATAGACTAGTTCCAAAACATATATGAGCCCTATGTAGCTAAAAATTACCAATAAAAAAGTTTTTTTTTTATTTTTTTATTTTATTTTTATATGGTATAATAAAAAATTATAGTTATATTTTTTTGGGAAATATTTATATATTTTGAATCTACATTTAATTTTGAATAAGAAAATAATAATATCTTGCATATAAATAGTAAATGTTGCCTGAAAAAAAATTAAATCAGAAATGAATGAAACTAGCCACAACAAATTCGTTTGTTTTGGCCTAGGCGGGTAAAAAAAAAATCATAAGTGAATGGGTTAAGAAAACATGACTTTGCAGATATGTGTCCAAAGCCGAACTACTCGTCGCTCCGTCTTAGCACAGCCAGTCAGGTGGCTGATCTTCCTGAAGCCATTCCCAACTTGTTCCAAGTGCTGACGGCCGAGAGAGACCCTGATGAGCGATGGCTCACCTTTACCTTCCCTGTGGACTTTGACATCTCCATGTTCAAGCCCCAACTCGAGAAGGAGTACAAGTACAGAACCCGTGAGTATTGACCGTTGAACCTCAAATTTAAGAAACTGTATATTCAAATAGCATTTTCTGCGGATAATTCATCACCACTAGGTTTTTTTTATATTTATAGCTGGTCTTTAATTTCTATCTAAAGATTGTGTAAATGGGGATGGCGTGTAGGGTAGTGTGAGAGAGACAGAAGATTATCATACCACTCTTTCCCTAAACGTGATCACTGGTCTCAAATCTAACCCATAAGAAAAGTCGTTTCAGTATCTCCCACTTTCTGCCGAACCAGTCCGGAAAAACTTATATGTGCTTATAAAAATTGTTTGGTTAAAGAGATGTCACTTCTGCTAGAATGTAGTCCGGTTAAACTGATGTCTGGTTAAAATATTCTGTAAATATTAGTTATGAGGACGTCTCCTGTATTCACAAAAATTCTAATATTTTACTGGAACTTACAACATTTCCAACCAAGCATTGGACTGGGTTATAGGTTAGTATAGATTTATGAAACACTGTTTATTGATGTTGACAGAGAGTGTGGAGCAGGAGGTAGCTCCTATCAAGGACGTGTTGACACTCAACTGCTCCGTGGCGTACCTGTCTCAGTGTATGAGCCTTAACAAGTGCCACGTGTCGTGTCAGTCAATGGGAGCCGCCAGTTTCCGGTGGTTCCACGACGGATGTTGTGAATGTGTCGGGGATCGCTGCATCAAGTACGGCATCAATGAGAGCAGGTATGTTATCAATAGTTTTCCATAATTAATTTTGAATGCTCTTTTCATTCCATGCATTGCTGGGCTCTATATTTCTTGCGTAAATAAGAATCAGTTGGATTTGAGAACTTTAGCTGAGTATAAAGTCCAGCCTTGTTATAACAAATCCAAAGGGACCGAACTGAATATTCGCTATATCAAGGATTTCATCAAAATGAGGTTCGTTATATTGAGGTTAGGTTTGCCGGGATTTTGCTAATTCGAGGTTTAGAAACAGCATCAAAATACGTTGAGAGATAACCTCTCATTAAAACACAATTAAGTAGCATAGGCTACAATACTTTACAGTACTGGATTGACATTGTAAACTAGAACTTCGATTATCCGGTGTTATAAGGGGGAGCGATACCACGGATAGTGAAAACCACCGTTAATCCATCATGGTATGGGAAAAATAAGACAGACACTTGTTTTTGAGTGTGATTTAACACCAATAATGTTTTTTATGTTTTAAAAGGAAACGGTCCAAACCCTGGTCTTGTTACTATTTAACGTGGACCTTTTTTGTTAGATAGCATCATTAATTCATAACCCAATGACAAGTGGCATCTTGGTCTGGGAACGATCTCACTTGGATTCGAACCAGCGACCTTAAGATTTGAAGGCGAGCACTATAACCACTCGGCTACCCAGACAATTATACTGTGTAATTTAACCAAAAATTTCCTTTAATATCACAATTTAAATTTATTTATCATCAAAAAATACAATATTACACAATCATAATATTGAGCAATCATGGCATTTTAAGTCATTGACATTGTTTCACTTTACAAACTGTAACATTTAAAGTCACAGCTTACTGAAACTCACCTAAAATCTAGCCAAACACTGTATAGCAAAAAAACCCATAAAGAACAAAACAGTAGAGAGCTGTGTAAGCTACTGCTTGTGATTACACAAAAAGTTAATCACAAACTTATGCCAGCCTCTATAGGAATGTCTTGTTGTTTAAGGATTGTAGCCTATCAGATAGGCTACAGTATTGCTTTATCACAACAGAGGAATGTCAAATAATAATCATCAACTAGCCTACTAATAATCAACTACTGCTGCCAAGTTTAAATTGTACTGAAAGCAATAAAAACAGTAGACAAGTCATCAAACAGTGTAAAAAAAATCATAGCCTATTTGAAGATCATAAAAACAACCATAAAAAGAATAAAGATAACGATGTTAATATTCTTTCTCTTTGTTCTTCTAACAATGATAAATTTGTTATATTGAGGTGTCTTATTTCAGCCGGGATCGTCAAAATCTGTTAAATCAAGGATGTTGTTGATATATGGTTTGTTTGTTATTCAGGGTTAAAAAACACATAGTGTCTACAAAGATATGTGATTGATTATTTTGCCGTGTAAGGGGTTGTCACAAGAGACAATGATGACGTCAATGTTAACGATTTTTACATAACCACAATTGATGTTCTCTTTCCTGCCATGACTGCTAATTTTATGTTAACTTTGTACAAAAATCCTAAAAAAACATAATATTGGTCGGATTTTTGAAATAGCGGGGCTCACCGTATTTCTATTAATAGAAAATTAAACATTTCATTGAAATCCTTATTGCTCCAGCGATACTAACATTTCATTATGGAAAATATAACTAGTATCAATTTAGTTTTATATTTCTGAAAACCACACATACTGCATACAAATCTAAAAATGTATTTGCTTGACCTATTTAAGGTGTGCGAGGTGTCCTCAAACAAAAGTGTTGCCTGAAGAAGAGGCAGACTATGGTGAAGATGATGAAGGTTTTCAAGCGTAATCAACCCGAGGATTCTCTGACCGAGTGCCTTAGTAAGATAGTTGTTATGTGCCATGTCTATAATATATATCAAAGCGCTTAATACTACTAACTCCAGATCTGTTAAACTATTTTACTAGTGTTTGCCATAGCATTATCAAATATATTAGGTCTGTTTCTTGCCATAAGGAAAATTAATTGATTACATAGTAGTTTCTATTTTTAGATTAAACAAGTCTTCCGTCCAAATGACTTAAGAAGAGAGTTATAAATTCCTTAATAGGCGACAAAACCACGTTATAAAATCTTGATTAGTTTCATGAATATTGTACAAATATGTAAAGAAACTTATGACATCACATTTTACAAAACAAAGACTGAATAGATAATCTTTTTTAACAGACATGACCTTGTAAATGGTATTTTTATTAGGAATTTTATTTTTTATTTATAGATTTTTTTATAGTTGTTTATAGGCTACTAATATTGTATAGAATGTAGTTATATATCACTTTATCGGTAAATACTATAAATATTAGTCCTGAGCAGTTTAGAACATGTTAACATGCGATGAAAATGTAAATGAATTCATACTCTGAACCCCTACCAAAGGTGTGTAATCTCTAAAATTGCTACAAACCTGTCTTGAACCTTAAAGTTAGCTTTAAACTAGCCTACATTGTTTCCTCCAGTTTGTATAAAAAACAGATTGATTTTCTGTGGAATTACAATTTCAGCCTTGCCATGCTAACTAAAATCGTAAGTTATGAATTCATGACATTTTATATTAAGTTAATTTTATGCTTTATTCTTAGCCTACACTTATATTTATATCCTAATTGGGAACAAATATTTAGGGATAGGCCTAGATAGTAATAAGGGCACCATTTATTTTTGAGAATAAGTATATGTCAAGGTACTCACCTTATCCAGTTTAGTTTAATTTTAATTACCTGGTAGGCCTATACTTTACTCCTTGTTTGTACATTTATTCTATTTTACCTTTTTTATTTAGATTTTAAAATATTTCTTTAATTGTCTTTTTATTTTGTAATTTTAAAAAGTTTTAAAGTTTTTATTTGACTACTTAACTGTCAAAGCTTAGTCTGGTTTGTCTTGGATGCCAACTGGCAACTTTGGAATGTTTATGGAATGTGCTTTATTTATTGCTTGCTAATAATATTAGCATAAGATAATTTGTTTGTGGTTACATGAGATAGTAGTCTACCTCACACCAAAGCTTTATCTTTCTTGAAATAGTGTCATGTTAATTAATGAAACAATAGACTTGGTTCCATTACTTGGCCAATGGATGATTGGACTACCATGCGTTTCAACAATGCAAAATTCCATTTATTGTAAAATTCAGTTAAGTGTCTTCTCTTAACGCAGAGATTTTATTTTGTTCCATTTATTGTAAAATACAGTTAACACGTTCGCTGCTACGGACGTTCCGGAACGTCAGCCGTGCCACGGCGCCAGGAGCTAGGAACGTTCCGGAACGTCACCGTTCATTGTTGTTTAACGTTTCCATGGATCAGCCAGCTCGTCACGAGCGTCCTATATTTCTTTACAGCTCGTGGGGACATATTTTTCTGACAATAAAAAATATTGTTTCCCAAAATCACCACCAGGGTCAATAGAACAGGGCTTTGTCCCACCTCTTTCCTGCTAGATAGCGACACTACTTTACCGACTGCAACCTGGGTAGTGCTGCTATCTATCAGAATCACTTAGTACTATATCCAAAGCCAGTTTTATTGCAGAACATTGCCATCCAGTATAACTACTGTTGTTTTTACTGTAATTCAGTGCATCGGCGGCAAAGTTACGCAGCGGCGAGCGTTAGTTCAGCTCCTGGCGCCGTCCCGGCATCTAGCAGTCAGCAGCGAACGTGTTAAGTGTCTTTTAAAGCAGAGAGATTTTTAGCTTAAGTGTGGTTTAGTTTCCCACATACTTTTATGCTAACAAAGGCTAGGCCTACTTATTTTATGCAATAACAAATTAAATTTTGCATTTATTTTTGTGATATAAATTGTATTAAATTTATAAATAAATTATACTCTTATTGTATTTGACTTGTTTACCTTTAGTTGTTTTTACCTAAAAATTAAAAAGATTAAAAATCCAATGTGAAGTGTTGATAGTAGTGTATGTTCTATTCTTTCAAAAGGTTGTCTTTTTGGGGGGTATTTTATTGTATAAGGAAAAAGGGCATACTGTATTTACAATTAGTTTTTATTAGACAAGTCTAGTATCAGCTTGAGACTGTGTGAAATTCTGTGTAAACAACTGTGTGAATTACCAAACTTATAGTGGACAGCCTCGTCTGCAGACTTGTAAGGACCAAATTCCCTACACTTTTTACACACATTTTCTACATCATATCCGTCAGTACATGGTGATGGAGGATTTCATTGTATCTAGTTAGAAAAGTTTATTATAAATTAAAACTGGTATGTTGGTATATTTTTAAGGTAATCATTAATCAATCACGTCAGCATCTTTTACCTTGATTTACCTAATTAATTTCCTAACAAAAACACCAATAAATAAGCTACAGTGATGTAAAGGTAAATAAGACACACTAATTGTATCCTGGAGTTTACTTTCCGAAATCTACATATTCAAGACAACATTGATATTCAAATTCTTAAAGTGACCTGCACATAAATTACAAACTCTCATAACTTTTAGAAATAAAATATATAAGGTAGAGGCTCTACAGTTATAAAACAGAACTAAGTTAACCGATAAAAATATATCACAAATTGTAGAGATAATTTTCAGGTATAAAATTGCACCTAGTTTGTTCGACCAGCGAAACTAAGTATTCCAATAAATTGCATATTTAACAAACTTAAACTCACAACCACATTTAATTGTGCTCAGGCTTACATGCAATCCATAGTAAACAGCACTGGGTTATACATGCAATCATCTATACAACACAGCAACATAACCTCAGTGATATGCTTGTCTTTTTAACTATCAATACTTCTCAGTCAGAATCAGAAAAATGTCAAGCCAATAAATATTCACATAAATGGTATTCTAAACACTATAAATCACAATGTTATGCAATTCATTAGCACAAATCCTGTTTTAGCGATATTCCCTATAGGGAAGTAGCTATTACCGTAGGTCTCATGGTAAGACCTAAGCCCGGGACCGATTTACTTTTTCATTTTGATGTCCCCAGAGGCCAAAAACACCATTCGTTCAAATTTATATATATATGTGTGTGTATCCATCCGCACGATAACTTTAGTAATTTTTGTTGTAACATTTTGCTAATGAACAGATCTAAATATGCATTTCAGCAGAACACGTTTTTCTGAATATGAGACCTACCTACAGTGATAGCTTATTCCATATATAAGAAATCTGCTAAAATTAAGTTTGTTTTTAAAATTATGGATGTTTAACTATTTTATACAGTAGGTTTAAAGAACCCTATTATTCTCTCTTCCCATTGCGAAGCACAGGAATAGCAGCTTGTCAGTTATAAATCCTTTTTTTTCTTTTTTCAAATTAATGTGTTGGATTATTAATTTACCTACAATGTCTGTTCCTCCTTCAATTGCAAAGTTTAACCTATTTTGTAAGAGAATCTAAATTTAAAAATCTGCAGAACAGAAACCAACCTACAACAATCGTTAAACAGGATTTGTGTTGTCAAGTTTTTTTTTTAATTACATGAAAATTTGTAAAACAATTTTAAACTAGTGTCAATGAAATACCTATTATACATTGTAAACACAGTTTTTTTACAAAATTGTGACATTGGTGTTTTCTTTACAACCTATGCTACTTGAGTTGAAACTTGTACAAAGACTACGCTTAGAAGAGCACTCGGATCCTGGTGGTGCTTGCATAGACAAAGCATTTGAATTTTATTAGTAAACATCAGTTCAGTAATACAAAGTCGACAAATGAATTTTCAAAAAAACTTTAAACTAGCTGAATAATTGAATCAATAAAATCTGGAATTTCACTTTCGCAAGACTGTACAGATAATCCTGAAATCCTGCCAATTGCCAATAGAATTTAAATTACCAGATGGTTAAACCTCAACCAGTTTTAAGTTCATGGATAAAATTTCACAAAATACCTATTTTATCCGATTAACCATATGATTAACTACCCAATTACTCAAACCAAAGTTTTAATTTGTTACAAGTGAATATACGGATCAGAGTACTCTTAAGGACTTGGTAAGTATTCTAGATTCTTCCTGTTCCTGAAGTTAAGCTTCTATAAAAAGAGTTCACCTAGAAGCTAATTGTAATTTTTTTGTCATATTTTATAAGCCAAGGAGAATTCGTCAGACTTACTGAAGCATGCATTTCCTACAACTAGATTAGATTGTTTGGACTGAAAAAATCGCGATATTTGTAGTATTAAAGCGATCTTAATGCTTTTATTTTTAACCGTCTTTCTTTGAAAAAAAGGACAAAATGCTTAAAACAAGATTTTAAGTCCAAATAAAGTGCAATTAAACTAAACACAAGAGCCTAGTTTTTGTTTTGAAATTTGAATCATATAAAGAGAAATGTAGTGTGTTAAAAATAATGATATTAGTATATATTTGATATTTCTTTGCTCCAAAGTCTCACTGAGGATAGCAAAGTATGATGCGGCTGGCTTAGTGGTTATGGAGCGAGGGACTTTCATTCTTGAGGCTTAAGGTCAAATCTCTCTCAGGTGGAATTTTTTCTTGAGTAAAATTGTTTTGACCAAGAAAATAGTTTGGATTAAATTCATATTTTAGTGTTATCATTGAGTTAAGCCTACATGAATATTTTACATAACCAATACTCCTTAATCGAGATCAAAAATAATTAAAAAGTTGTTTACTAACTTTGTATTCTTATTGCCTTGGAAATAGATACATCAAAATAAATAGGTACACCAGTAAACACTTGTTTTTTTTTTTTTTTTGTATCTACCCCAGTGGCATTTTTGTAATGAAGTCAAACACTTTTAAGGGAAAGCGGTCCAAACCCATTAAAGTTTAGTGGATGTGCCGGGGATTGAACCCGTCCCTCCCGCACCGAAGTCCGAGACGCTAACCACTAGGCTAGCAACACAAACAAAATATAGGGGGTTATAGGGTAGCGCTTAAAGAGGGAAGCTGTATTATAAAGATACACAGTGTACAACTTGTTTTCCGCATTAGTTGGGTTAAATTAAAGTATTGCATGGAAAAAATCCACCACAAGGGCCAAAGGGTATTTTAATCATTGCTCATTTCCCAGCATCAGTTTTGCCTCGATCGGTAAACTTGTGTCAAAAACAGTCACTTTAGGTGGTAGTGATAAAATGAACTCTTAAGCTTGATGTCCCAGGTCTATGCCTAATCAATCACCACAGCTAACCTGAATTCACAATTCCAGAGAAACTCTAGTTGTTCAATTCACTACACAGGAACCTAACTATGCAAGTAACAAAGGATGATAAATATTAATTTTTGTCTTAGTGCTCTGTTAAACCCACAGTGAAGGTGCTTAAAAATAAAATACATCACACCAAAAACTACTTGCACAAAAATGCCCGTTGCACTGATAAAACTATAGCTATCAATATTTTTGTAATATCAATATATAACTCCAATGGCAACAAACTTTCTAAGACATTGTATAAATATCACTGCCAACACCATAAACATGTTAACAGTCAAGTCGATGAAAGGTGATTAATACATGGAAACGCTTACATTTTGGTAAACTATAAATATGTAAACACCAATTAATTAATAAAGATAACAAATGGTAACACAACATAAAACATCAAAACATAGCATTTACAACTATTTATACAAACGTAAACATCACATTTATAACATGTATCATTTATTTGACCAGTCATATTGAAAACGGTTAGTGCGTACTGGGAACATTCAATGTAAAGTCTGTAGTGTTCTGGTATACTGGTGACTTTTAATCTGCAAAGTTGTAAAGTTTGTACACCAATGAAATACTGGCAGCATGACTACACTCAAGTGTTTGGCCACTTTTTTGTGCCGAGTAAAACATTGTGACAGAACAATGCACAGGTTAAGTTGGTGCATATTCCCAGAACGCGTCCATTAAAATCGCATCAGCCAGGACAATGGAGCACAAATAGTAAACCCTAGGTTAACAAAAACAAGGGATGCCACTTCATTGGTTATAATTGATGATTGATTATAACTAGGAGTTATGTAGATTTTACTGTCTGTCCTCTACAATCTTAACATTATCTTGAACTAATAACGGAAGTCTCCAAAAGTCAATGATATTACCTATTACAATGTAATATTTATTTAAAATATTAATCACAATATTATATTATTACATTTCTGATTGGAGTGCACAATTGCAAGTAAAATTCCCACTTAGATCATACATCTCATTACTACTTTTCTAAAGTAGGACATAATAACTAGTTTAGCTTATCGAAAAAAAATATTACAAAAAGGTGTAGGTCTGGATCAAACTATATGGATGTAACAAATCAACAACTCCAACAAAAATTAAAATTTTCCTTTTGATTGGTAACTTTTTGAGGTTTTAACTTAATCTATATTTAAGTTTTAGGTTGTAAATTACTATTTGATACAAGATGGTTTACCAAACATCTGTAAATTGAAGACGCAATACAAATTAGCCTATATAATGATATATACAGTAGACTCTCAATAATCCATGATTGAGATCTTGAATAGTGCAAACCTAACCTAAAATTCCCTGGAAATAACCTAACATTGACTAAATTTGGAATTTGCTTAAACTCATTTATGTACATTTAAGATTCAATACAGGTTTAGGTAATAATACATTTTTAGTTAGTGTACATTGCTTTTAGTTTTATCTCACACGCATAATCTAAAACAATAATATTGTTTAATCCGCGGTGTGGTTAATCCACTTGTGAATAATCGGGAGTCTACTGTAGTTGTACTGCCTGCCACAGATGGTAAAATAAACAAACATTCAAGGAATACTATTAGTAATACTGGGTGACAAAAGTGATTGAATTTTTATTTACCATTATATAAAGCATCTAAACTGTACCAGTATTTTCGAGTTTTGAGCATAAACAAATTTTAAGCGTGGTTATCATAAGTCAAAGTACTGTACTAATTGTGTAAAGCATATATTTATAAACAAATAAGCCCTTAACTAATCTCCTTATCTAAAATTACATTATTTGGGTCCAGCCCTTTTCAGAAATATTAAAACTCAAACCAATAATATGCTGCAAAAAGTAGTGCAACTCTGAGCAATCTTCCAACAGTACAAAATTTAAAAATACAGCTACTGTTAGAAAAACTAAGCCACAATATGATTGTCTTGACTCATCAAGTGTTTGTTTGCCAAACAAAAGATGGTAATACTTTATCCAACGCTAAAGCAAACAACAAGAATAATTTTGACAGTATTTACACTTTCAACTTTGTTATATTTTAATTTGTGTTTGATTTAATTGTTATATTTTATTTTAACAATAATAAAATATTATTACCCAAGCTTCACAACAAAGCAAGAATACACTTAAAAGATTAATGTGGTTCTTTACAGTAAAAAAAAAAACAGTTTCACACACTTACCAAGCAAATTATACAGGCAAATCTTGTAACTTAGAGCTTAATTTAAAGTTGCAATAACTTTTGAACCCTAATTGTTGCAGCAATGGGGGTTGCACTATTTTTTTAGAACTATAAGGACCATAACATAAAATGTTTTATCCAAACCAGCTTTTTCTAAAAAAAAATCAGATTTTTTGTTATTTTATGGGATTTTTCAAATGGAAAATAAAATAAGTAACAATAATTTTTGAACCGTAATTTTTTATACGGAAATGGGATTTGTATGAATGAATAAATGATACCATAAACGTAGGTTTACACGTTGGTACCAAATTTTATCAAAATCGGATAATTTTTGCTCAAGTTATCGCAATCACGGACATATGTTTATATATATGAATTTGAACTGATGGTGGTTTTGGCCTCGGGGACCTCAAAACGAAAAAGTAAATCAGTCCCAAGTCTAGGTCTTACCATGAGACCTACGGTAATAACTTATTCCTTATATGGGAAATTTTCTAAAACAAATCTAACAGCTGATACGTCTTAAATATGTGATTAATTACAGCCTTTTAATTGATGTCCCTGACCTTGTATGAAGTTGAACGGCTGACGGGGTTTACAAAAGTTTGTGATCTTTATTAGCGTTTATAGATTTAATAATACATCACTATATATATTTTTAAATGGTAACCGCTGGTCTATAAATACTTGAAACGTTTACTTTATTTACTCTTTAACATACATTAGAGTCCAACCAATGTCCTTACGATAGTAATTAAAATTATAAAGATTGTTAGAAACACTGACCAAAGACAAAGATGAAAGAGAAGAGAGCACTAAATTTTAAATTGAAAAAATAATCCAAGCAGCATATTATTGGGGTGTATCTTAATTAACATTAGAAGTATTTTGAGCACCAAAACTGTCTTTGGAAAGAGTAGAAGAGCATAAAAAGGCAAACTTTAAATCCGTATGGTTGGGATGAAACAATATCACATTTTAACCTGGGCTGCTGTCTAATCAAACCATGACATTAAATTTCAAATCTCAAATCTGCCAAGCCTGAACAGGTTGTAAAATATATTCTTATTTAATCCTTAAAAAAGTGTAAAGGTACACTAAATGTTTGTTAAGGCCTTCTTTTTTACTTTTTACCCTCTTCATACAGCCACAATACAATACAAGATTAATTTTATGGGAACAAACGACTCATAACATAAACAGTTTCTTTAAGATAAATCCACAGAATATCTAAATAAAGGAAAAAATGTTATTGAATAGTTAAACTACCTGAAGATAAGATTTTAATGAAATACCATTGAAGATTTTAATGAAATACCATTGGATTCAAAATGCTTATAACATTTTGATTCTGAATTATCTTTGGTACTTTGATGGGAACAGTGTTTTAAATCACTAGCACTATTGCCATAAATACTTAGCGTACAACACAGACTTTTTGATCGGTTTTCATCAAAACCAAGAAATTAAATTCGGTGGTGAAACAGCAAAGAAATGCAATGGTTTCATTCCACACAAGACAAGAGGAACGTTGGTTGGAAGAGCCAAGGAGGATCTTAACAGAATCACGTGTCAGGGTTCGGTGGCTCTGTGGATTCTGGTAGTTTGATGAATGGCAAATCATTGCCACTCCACATAGAGTACAGATGCGACCTCTGACCATGGGTCAACTCCTGGAAAACATTTTTATTAGTTTTCATGATTACCTAAAACAAATCTAACAAAGGGGAAAGTCGTTAAGAGCCAACACGATTTAGAAGACTGGTTTTAAATACATAATAGTGGTGGTCAAAACCAGAAATTATGTTTCTAAAATATGAAACCAAAACTTGAAAATGAAAAGTACTCACATCAGAGCCAGAAGTGGACGTGCGACTGTGAAGGGAGTAACAGGAGGAACAGTCAGTAGAAGAGCTGCTCTTACGGGACGCCAGCATCCCGACATCAGGTTCCTCACCCTCACCCCACCTGCACACAACAGTGGTACTCGTAAAATACCATGCTACCACCACCTAGTGGATGTTATTTAGCACCCCTCTACGCTACTAGCCAGTGTTTTTATATACAGCTCGTAAATTAGCCCAGTGCTCAGTGTACTCATAGACGTAACCAGGGTATTAGAAATAAGGTGCCAGACCTACAGAGAGGGTCTGGGGTCTGTCCTTCAAGAAATTTAAAAACATTTAAACTTGAATAGCAAGTTATGAACAATTTGTAAAACCTTTTGAAAATGTTAAACAAACTCAATCAGTTTACACTAATTGCTTATTGTGATTAAGACATACCGTGCCCTTTATTAGCTTGCAATACATTTATTTATTTATTTACAGAATGCCATTACATCATAAAATGACAGGACATTTTTAATACAGTACTTAATCCTACCAATTTCCACTTTTTTTAAATTTGTTTGGATTGGCAATGTTTCTTACCAACTTCCTCTATGACTGGAACATCGGCTGTGCATCGGCTCCACTGCCCGGGTCAGCGTCACTCCTAGAACAATACAAGTATCTTTGATATAATAAAAATTTATATTTTGATGCTTAATTTTATACCATGAAATCAAAATCTAATATTTAAAAACGTGTGTAATAGTTTTATGATCAAAAGTAATTATTAAAAGTTTGAAGATCCTTAAACAGAAGTTAATTTGTTTGTCTACCATAACTTTGTGAATTTCCCTGCAGGGAAAAAGGTTTTTAGCCATTACTGTAGGCTTCGATGGTGAGGGGAAAAAAAGAGATAAAAATCTGGAACTCAGGTATTTAAAAATTGAATTTTGGATCCAATATATATAAATACGATACTCAATATAACTTACTGAATTACAATTATTTTGATCCAATACTCTGCTCATTACAAATATATAAATCAAATAAGACTATTGAGATTAAAATCACAAATTCGAGTTTTGCTTCAAGTTTCTTCACTTCAAGGTAAGACTACCTTCACCTAAGTGATTTTAGGAGAGAATTAATTCAGAAGAACTACTTGACAATGGAACTATGTACAATTTCAAGAGACTTTGTATTTGACCTCTATCATTGCAAAGTTTTAAATAGCGTTGATAATCTGGGAGGTATATTTTTTTGGCCCACTTTTACATTCTAGGACATAGGTTCTTGGCCGGGAACGTTTGCTAAATTAATTCTTCTAGGCCTAGAGGGTTACGTCATTATCACTTAGATGAAAATCTATTGATGATTGGCATGATTTGAAACTTGGACTTTGGAGACCCAAGTCTCGTGCTCTACCACTAGACCAGCTTCCTCCTTAAGAGTTGTAAGCACAATCTATTATATGTACAGTAGAACCCCGGTTAACCGAAACTTGGGTTAACCGAAACGGTTCATAAAATGGTACAAGGCTAAAATAGAAGTATGTAACCTCAGTTGTTTAGTTTAAAGTATTTTCTAACCGATTGTAACATTTTCTGTAGCTGAAATAAAACACTGTATTGAACAGACAGAAATTTCTTTTGTGTCATAGTCATTTTTCCTACACATCGTTGTAATACATATGCTATTTAGCATATGACGGATTAACCGAAAAATGGGTTACCCAAAACAGCTCTCCCCCTTTATTTCATCAAAACAAACAGATATTCACTTTTTAAATTCAAGTGAATTGTTTTTACTTCATCCATAACGACCAACATTCTTAGTCAGTGGTTTCTACGATAAATAACCCAGGAGATGAAATCAATTTATTCACTATAAAGAACGCTAAACAAGAACAACTCAAAAGTAAGTACCACATGGATTCTTTATCTTTTATATTTCTTTATTTACGACCAATCCTTCAATTTGACATACCTACCAACCATTTCTATGTATTTAAGAATTCCATCTTCAAACATCACCTCTTATCTTTTATTTATTACAGGTTACAGTGAATGGTTAAAATGTTATGTCGGATTTGTTGACAGGAAATGGTTTATATTAATTTTCTATTCGGTTTTTTTAGCAAGGGACGTAATGGTATAACTCTCTGTTGTATCCAAATTTGTTTACTCACTAAGCCCTTTAAGTTCGTCACCTCATAAACCCATGCTAAAAAAAACTCTACTATCATGTTGATGAGAAACCTAAGCCGAGTCCAAGATTGGGTTTAGCTCACTTGGGCACCTACACTATCAAAGCGAAGTTGGCTGACTCCGGTAAAAATGTCAAACCACACTACAGTCCACAATCCTTTCAAACTGACTAAGAAGGAATTTCCTGTATAAGTTATCTTTGCCATGACTTTAAATAAGGCACATGGACAGACGCTGACGAAAAAGTATTGTTTGTGACAGACCCCGTTTTTTTACACATTCAGTTTTCTGACTACAATTATTGATCTAAAATGTAAATCCACATCTATTTCTGTAGTAAGGAAAGGACCCATGCTTAAATCGACGATGCACTTACAACGCAGTATTAACTGTATGTTGTGTACTTCAATCAGTGGGATTTGAGAAGGATTCAGTGTGAATGCTTTTCACAGGTCTGCTAGTAATACATAATCTTTATCGTCAAAGTAAAAAGGAGGATTTGTATATGTTGGTACTATATTACTAAGCCACCAGTAAGCTTTAAATGATCTAGACAATCATTTCATTCATACCTGGTAAATGATGTCCCTGAGGTCCCTGTTTTATGGATAACAGCGCAATCACGTCTTGCAACTCTTCTTGATTGGCTAGAGCCGTGTGCCACACTGCATCTGTGAGGAAAATCGTTTTTAAACCTTGATCAATAAATAATCTAAAGGAAGCTGGTAAGCGTAAGAGTTAGCCCATGCACATAGCTATTTTTGTTACAGCAAAAAAATACCAAATTACACTCCTGATTATCATGATTATTATTTATTATTATTATGATAACGATAATGAATGGCTAATTATTATCTGTCTAGGTACAACTAAAATAATAAGTAAAAATGATATTTGTATGTATTGATTACCTATTATTCCAAGTACGTCCCAACTCAGCCGAATGCGCTACAAACTCTGCCTCTAACTAATTCAAAAGGCATATTCAGTGTAAAATACCTCTTTTGACTGATGCCAGATTATTTATAAATCTCATAACCTATTAATAAAGATCTCTCTAAGAATAGTTATTAAGTAGACGCTACCATAGATAAAACATACTCCCTTAGTAGATTTCTTATCCTTATGGAACAGCTGAAGCCAATTTTATTGTTAGTTCTGTCTGGTGCACTGTAGAGGTTGTGTTTTGTTTACAATTTGTTTCTTGTTATTTCAGTAATTTAAAGCCTCGTTTAACCAAATAAAACAATCTTATCATAAACAATAACTCGTCCCCTAGTTTGATTTGATTTAATTAGTTATATAACCCAACAGTAAAGCACAAATCATGAAGTTGCCCTAAAATAATGGAAACAAAATGTTGTTGACACCTAGCAATCAGTCACCAGACATGTTTTTAAAATGGGATGAGAAGTCTACTTGTGTTTGTTACTCAATGACGCTACTAACCTGGAGTGGTAGAACGGCTTCTGTCGCTACCAGAGCTGGTGGGTAGAGATAGTTTCCAAGGCATTGACCACCTTCGGGCACCTTCCCCCATTCTACCTTCCCCTCCTGCCCCTCCACCTACCTCCGACCAGCTACAACAAACACACACAGATCAACAATACAGTACAACAACTATTGAACATGATCAGCTACAGGAGATAAAACAATTGAGTCACACACTCTCGTAAATGTTTGATTTAAAGTAAGCGTTTCATCGACAAGATCGAGCCACTCATCCTACACTCATCCATCTCCGTTCATACTTGGCTTAAAATACCAACATCTATGGTTCATTTAGTCATATTGGAGTTTGTATGGTCACCATTTCAAGTAAAAGTATAAGCAGCCCATGCACTGTATCTTCCACATTGTGCGTGGAGTACAGCATTAGATGGTGCTTTTTTACTAACCATCTACAGTCTTGGGACAATCTTCTTTTTCCATAAAAATAAAAGAGGGATAAGCTTGATAGTCGTCCTCAGTTTGTGTGGAGCCTCAAATAACTGTACTTGGAGCATATAGTATTGGCTGGTGCGACAGAATTGTTTTGCACTGACGTAACTGCTGACTCAATGCCCGAGTCAGGTTTTTTGTATGTATTGTTTTGTATGGCGTTAGGATTTTGATGAATATCAGTTAAACTCTTCGCCCACCACTTACCGCCGCTGGGGTGGTGGTGGAGGTGGCATCCGGGTGTAGCAGCGGGCCACAGCGTGAGTATCCGGCTCAGGGTGCGGAGGCTGGCATTGACACTCGACCAGGCCACTCAGACACTCACAACAGGCCAGACTCAACTGGTACTGCAGATTGACCAGGGTCACCAGCCCACTGCACACCACTTGCTGTACATACAACACTATCATTAGATAGAGACGGGAACACCGGGTTAGCATTGTTAAGCCTACTAATAAATACCAGCTGTTTCTATTATTAATTCCCACTCATCAAGGAAAGCTGACCAGTTCCAGTTTAAAAATATCAAAAATTAATGACTTCTCTCAGGATAAAACCAGTGGTATTCTGACTATCAGGCCAGTACCTCAGTAGAACTCCAATAATTATCCTTTGAACTATCCAGTTTTTTAAAAAATGTTTATACTATAGCCTTATGTGATTTCGCCCATAAAATATCACAGTTTTACTCCAACCGCTGTGAAAGGGTTGTTGACAAGCTAATGGGAGAAAGTATGTGTCAGATTGCTGATACAGTTTATTTGAAATGTAGCAATCAGCTAAATTGTTACTAAGCAGGTAAGTTTATATTGTGGAGTAAATGTGAAGGGGATTGAGATGATAACTAATTTGAGAATGAGCAATATTTAGTTCAACAACTATTCCAAAGTTAAAAGGAAATTTAAATTCTTCCTTAGATAATAATAATCAATGAACTGTAAAATGTTTTTGTATATTATATATAAATATTTTTTATTATTTGAAAAATCTCTTGTATTATTCTTTCCTTTCCCTTTCCTACAGATCGGTGTTGTCAGATATGAAACATCAAAATTAATAGATGGTTCGTGCTTCCTCTGCGGTGTGAGCATTGAGCGGTGTAGGGTAGTAGATCCATCCCATCTACTGCTTCGAACGCTGCGGTCTTCATTATAGGTGGCAAATGACTCACCTCATGATGGACACTATTTGCACACATAATATGTAAATGGATTACAGTACTGCAAACTACAAAATATGTAAATTGTCTTTATTCTTCTTGCCAATTTCATTAATTGTCTCCATTAGGTGATCTGGATCATTGAAGATCAGGTTGATTTAAGTTGAGATGGTTGAGTTATAACATATATAGGTATACTCATTTACTACTTATGCTGTTACTTGTTTACATGGTAACCTAATGTGGTACATAGGTTACATCATTATCAAGCTGGTTATACCAGTTTAGGTTAGGATATTTCATTGAAACCTTGACCTGATTAGTTTCTGCCTGGTCAGTGTCTATGTCCGGCCCGGTGTGCGCCTCTTGCAGGCTAGCAATGGCTTGGTTCCTCACCACCGCAGTGGCTGCGTGTGTCGCACTGCTGAGCTGCTCAAAGATGGCACGACACTGTGCCGCACGTGCCCGACACGCCGTGGACTGCCCTGCCAACTCTCCCAGACAACCAGACAACTGTGCTCCGGCACTACACAGCCCCTTCAACATCTATCAAATAAGAGGTATTTTAATGTTTTCGAACATTTTCATGAAATGTACAATAGTGAGTCTGTTTTCATACTAAACAAGGATGTGTTAGGATTGTTTTACGAGAAACAGAATTGATCATTTAAGCCATCAGGAAAGATATACAAAATACTAATTTTTCAGTAGTTTTTCGTAAAAACTATCTATTGTATCATTTATAATAGTGAATTATTTATACAGGTGCACTGTGGATGCGATACTCCCTGGTGTGGATTAACATCCGCACTAGTGAGTACAACTATCTGCAGTACTATCCTGATAATTAGACCAATTCGTTAATACCAATTACCAAGGAAAGAATGTGGTTCGGATTCCACAATAAACTGTAGTTCCCTTAGTTGCCATTAGCTGTTTGGGCTATTAATTAACAGCTGTGTCTAAGAAATCTGTCGGCCTTAGTCACTAACAAGACTACAAGATCGCGCCACTCATCCTACACTGATCCTTCACTCATATTTGAGTTGAAATACGCACATAGTGGCGGCGTTTCCATCTTAAATAATTGATATTGATTGATTTTGTAAGTGAATTTAGACTAGAAAAAATTGTATTTACATTATTCGATCGGCTGATACATGTAAATTACATTAATCAACAGAAAAAATCTTTATTTCTCAAATCCAAGTGTTTTGTTTTTACTTCATCCATGATGTAAAAACCAGAGGTGAAATCAGATTATTGACTTTAAGGAAGTCTAAACAGGAACAACTCAAAAGTAAGTACCGCATGGAATCTTTAGCTTTTATATTTCTTTATTTAAGACAAAGCCTTCATTTTGACATGACCAACTATTCTATCTATATTTAAGAATTCCATCTTCAATCATCACCTCTTATCTTTTCTTTAAAGCAGGTTTCAATGAATGGTTATTTTGTAAGAAATCTGTTACTGACAGGGAAAGGGTTTAAACCCATGCTAAAAAGAACTCTATTATCATGTTTATGAGAAACCTAAGCATGGTCCAAGATTGGTTGTAGCTCACTTGGGCACCCCATTTTGCGAACACTATCAATGCGAAGTTGGCTGACTCCAGTCAAACTGTCTAAGAAGGAATTTCCCTTAATTTACCATTGCCATGACTTTAAATAAGGCACATGGACAAACGCTAACAAAGGAAGGATTGTACATGCCAGACCGAGTTTTTTTTTACACATTTAGTTGTTTGTGGCTTCGTCAAGGGTGCCCTTTTTCAGTGAAAACTATGTCTGTGTAAAAACAAAGCCATCAACACAAAAATCTTATACGGCCATATTATTCCTTCAACAATGGGGTTCAAAGAGGTTCTGTAAACATGTAAAAAAACGTAAATAGCTTAATATGATATTTTGAAAAAGATAATTATTTATCTAAAATATAAGCCCACATCTAGGGGTTTGCGATGCAGCATATTTTTTTTTTTTTAATTCTATGTGATTTGATTTGATGCAGCTTGTCATGATTTTCTTTCAAAATTATTTACAACTTGCGATTCTGGTATGGATCATCTACATTAAAAAAAGGTTTAAGTAAAATAATGTATTAAATAAAATGTATTATGAGCAAGAGGATAGTTGCTGATCTAACCTCCTGCTGATGGACACTGCTAATTTTATGGTTGGCCTAATTTATAAGCAAATCCAGATTTCACTAACAATTAGAATAAGCCTATAATAAAGCAATTGTTATTAATTATTGACCTGCATTAAATAAAATTGAGTTTATTTTACATATGATGTAGCTTTATTTCCAGTTTTATATTGCTGGCTTTTAATACTTTGGGATCACAACTGCATATACCGACAGGAATCCTTTCCAAAACGATATTCCGCAGACGCTACCAACCCACCTACTATGCATCAAACAGTGGCCTATCGCGACTTCTGCGTACTGGGATTGATCTCGCAATGCACCTGGACTTCTTTCATGACTCATTGTCCTTGTTCCGGAGAAAGGTCGCCTCCCTGCTAAAGTAATAATAACTCTAGTCATTACAGTAGAATCTTACCTTTCACAAGCTCAAGTCAATTAATCATTCCTGTTGTTGTTGGCAAATATCACCGCTTTAGGTTATGTATCTGTTAAATTTAATTTGTTGCCAGACCACATTGTATTAATTTATCAAAAACAATCTTTCGCTGCTTCTAATTATTATTGTTGTTGTTATTCCTTGTCACTTTTGTTATCACTGTTATTGTTATTGTTATTTGTTAATATTGATATAATATCTGTTAAATTTATTACTTGTTATTCATTTTATTATGTTCTTGCTGATACCACTTTTACTGTTGTATGATGAGCCATCTAATTACATTGTATCCATTTTTGTAAACTGGTGTAAACCGTTGGGAAATAAATAGATAAAACTGAATAAATCATAGAACTGCTCTAATAGGTCAGTTATTTTCTTACTAACCTGAATAAAAGTGAGCCATCCACTCATACACTCAGTTACTTCTTTCGATGATGCCTTTAACGCACAAATGCTGTCCACAGTATCAGGAACTTCTGGATTTTCTGACATACTTAATAACCTAAAATTAATAATTAAAAGTTTAAGTTGTAATTATTCTGTTTAATACACAGCAATATGAAAGAATTGTTGTTGACATTTATTCGATCGTTGGGCTCTTTGGAATTTGTATCATATATTTTAGAGGTCCAGATTTAGGAAAGTATACATACAGAGTGAGTTTTAATTGTCCCCCCCAACTTTTTTCTGCATTTTTTCAACTATCAATCCCAGACCACTTCCAAAAATTGTTGGGTAGTAAGTAATTCATTTTGACAAGGTGGTCGTTTCCAGCTGCCATCTTAGATTCGCCATATCGGATGCGAAATTTTTTTTCTTCAAATGTTAAGGTGAGGTTGTGACCCATTGTTTCAATTGATTGATTGATTGAAACTAGATTTTTACACTGATTACAATGCCACAATCCGTTTTTTTATAATCTTGATCCATTCCAAAGCTATGAGGACTTCTTATAACTTTATTTTTAGCCCATTTTAGCCCTGTGCATTTACAAACTAAGACCACAATCTCAAAATAGTGCTGGATAAAGATAAGTATACACCACCAGTCATTGTCAACCTATTTTCACTTGGTTATGACGGATGTAATTTTTTCGGCCGCCATCTTGGATCCGCCATTTTTGAAATGTGATCAATTATTTTAGGTGGTGTTGTGACACATAATTTTGAATGAATTTTTTAAGCTGACCTCAATGCATCAATCAGTTTTTCATTTTAATATTTTGTTTTTGAAATATTGACATTTTAAATAAAAAAATTGAAATATTTCATAAAGAAAACTTGATAACAAAAGTGGCATTGAGTTCAGCTTAAAAAATCACAACACCACCCTCATATTTAAAAATAATTGATCACATTTCAAAATAGTGGATCCAAGATAGCGTTCGAAATAATTACATCCATCATAACCAAGTAAAAATAGGTCGACATTGACTGGTGGTGCATACTTATCTGTATCCAGCACTATTTTGAGATTATGGTCTTAGTTTGTAAATGCACAATGTTAAAATGGGCTAAAAATAAATTTATAAAAAGTCCTCATAACTATGGAATGGATCAAGATTTTAAAAACGGATTGTGTCATTGTAATCAGGGTAAAAATCTAGTTTTAAATAATGGATTGCAGCCTCACCTATACATTTGAAAAACATATTTTGCATCCAATATGGGGAATCCAAGATGGCGGCTGGAAATGACCACCTTGTCAAAATGAAGTTACTACCCAACAATATTTGGAAGTGGTCTGGGATTGATATTTGAAAAAATGTAGAAAAAGGTTGGAGGAGAGGACAATTAAATTAAAACTCCCCCTGAATAAAAAAATATACAAGTTACAGCTTTTGTATAGGGCCTATTGCATATACCTTGTTCTTAGAGTAATTTAATTCTGAGCATTTTAAACAAGAATATTTTTTTAAACAAACCAAAAATGAGGACCGAACTTGGTAAAATACTTTACAGAGGCTAGTTAAAATTTGTGACAGTCTTTGTACAAGTATTTGTAGGCCTATTCAATAATTTTCTGTTTTATTTTATTTCCATTCCACCGGCCAAAGATCATTATAAAAATGATAGGTAATGATTATTATTACAATCTTATACTAATAAATAAATATGCAGTTATACAATTCAATAAATAGCTATTTAACACACAAAAAATGTATGATAAATAACAGATAAATATATAAATCAACATTTTAAGAGTTTGACAAGACAAGAAAACAACACCGCTCAGTTTACATGCACATTGATTAATAAGTATTCTAACCTATCTAATACATAACAAATATAACAACTTATAATACATTTTGTTGCTGGTGCAGGGAAGTCAACCGGACTGTAGCCTTCCTTAAGTTATTCCTATTATAGTCCTACCACTTAGAAAAAACCCACGGACCTTTTTGAGTCGCGCAGGTAGGAGAGTCAGAGTGGTGGGAAAAGACCCCTCACCCCTCGCCAATGACTTATCCCAACCACCGCTCCAGGCCCTTCCCCGCCATCACCCCTACGTGCCCGAGACAGCTGTGGTTCTGCACAGGTTCTTTTTAAAGTGGTAGGCCTATAGACTTGGTGCTCAACACTTACTGGTTACCTTCTAACTTTTAGCCTAAATAACAGTGGATTTTTTTGTTCTTAAATTTAAAATCACAAGTAGTAAATCAAATGCAATACTAACCTGTTACTGTTATCCATAGCCGACGCAGCATGAAATCCAGGTCTATCAACAGTGAGGTGATTTCTCAACTTGCCACACAGATAAGAGCTACGAACAGGTGGGGGTTTGCTACGATTGCATGCAGGGCTCTTCTTCATATTAGCCGATATGGGTTCCATTGTTATTACTTGCTAATATTACATGTTCGTTGTAAATGTTTGTCATGGTTTTCTCAGACTGTGTAGGCTAAATATATGTCATCCTGCAACACCAGAAACATAATTAACACAACGTAACAAAGAATAAGGATTCATCAAAAGTGTTTGGCTTAATTACACTTGGTACTGGGGGGGATACCTTAAATACCTTCCCTGTAGGGGATGATAACACAGTGGTGAGCCAGAATGTGCTCAATAGTCTGACTCTGGTCCTGCTTAAGGAGAACCTGGGTGATTTTGAGACTCGAGGTGATAAGCATTGTTAGAAGTACTGTATGTATATTCTCTACTGCCTGCCATTTGAAGATAAAACCATATGTTTTATTAATTGTTATGATCTATTTATATTACTTGTTTACATTTAATCAGTTTTGTTCTCAACTATGTTATTAAACCATCTATTGTTTTTCTTCTCTTTTATTGAGTAAAATCTTATCAATCTTACAATCTATCATTAACATTATTGGTCCTAAATCGAGCCGGAACAACAGCATATCAAAACAGAACTGTGTGTATCTATATCACTGGGATTTTATTTACCAAAAATTCTTTTATGTCTACCTAAATAGTAACATTCATAATCATCATGGCATCATTAAAATCAAAACTCAAACTCCAAAAATCAAGAACACCTGGAAAATGCTTCAGCCTTTTTTTCAAAAACAAAGATTGTTTGTAGGCTCAACTACAAACACGAATTGAAGTTTTGGAAGCAAATTGGACAAAATTTGACAAGGATCATGAGATGATCTGCGAATCAAAGGCCGAAATGCTGGAAAATCTGGAATATATTAATAAAGATCACTACACAGCCGAGGACAAGAAGCTTACCTCGTAAGCAAATCGGAAATGCTGGACCTCCTTGACATAATCTCAACATCATCTCACCAAAACGCAAGTGTTACTGAAAGTAATAAACTTAAATCTTTTCTCAGACTCAAATTGCCTCAAATATCTTTGCCACAGTTTGCAGGAGATTATCAATCCCGGAAACCATTTAACGACATTTCCAACTCTTTGGTTATTTCTAATCCTGACTTAACTGATGTAACAAGATTACATTACCTCAAAAATAGCTTGGTAGGCGAGGCTGCTCAGTTGATATCTAATTTTCAAACCACTGGGGAAAACTTAGTTATGAAAAAAACGGGTCTTGATTAACAAACATCTAGATGACATTTTCAATCTCCAACCTTTAAAACAAAAATCTGCCAAACATCTGAATCATCTGTAAATGAGAGTTTGGGTTCACTTAAATCTCTTGGCTCGTCGATCGATCAATGGGATCACATCTTAGTATACCTGATTGTTCATCGTCTAGATCCTGATACACACGAGGCATGGGAGCTTCACCAAGGCGTCTCAACGGAACTATCATCGCTGCAAGACCTACAGACCTTCATCGAGGGACATGTATGGGCTTTGGAAAACTTTTGAAGCCAGGGAAGTGTCTCACTCGAGTGGAATGGTGAATCTACCAAAACCTCAAGGTAATCCTCAGCATTATCCAAAAATCAACATAGCTTTGGTAGCTGAATCTAAAGGAAAATTAAAATATGTATGTAAACTGTGTAGTAATGCTCATTACATAGCATATTGCAAAGAGTTCCATGCTAAAACACAGCTAACGTAAGGACTTCTTATCAAGTAAAAGGTTATGTTTCAACTGTCTTGGCCCTCACTTGCTCAAAGAATGCCGATCTCAAAAATCATGTGTGAAATTTGTTAATCGCCACCATAGTTTGATTCATGACGCATCTAGTCAAATAAAACCACTAATCGACCCCCAAATCCACCGAATTCGGAAAGCTATCAAACATACCACAAGTGTCCTCAAATCACTCTCTTCCCACTGGAAATCGACACACAGTTCATTTAGCTACTGCTCAAGTTAGAGTAATCGGCCCGAAATGTAACAACGTTGTATGTAGAGCTCTAATTGAACAAGGCTTCAAAACTTCCTTCATCAGCGAGCATCTAGTCCAGACACTTCATATCGAACGATCCTCATCCTCACTTTCTCTTATCGGTATCGGAGGAAATCAATCATCAACTACTCGTGGAGTAGTGTCCCTTAACATTGGGAGTCCATCTAATGACAAATTCATCTGTCCGTTAACAGCACATATTCTGCCAAAACTCAAGTTACTACTAATGACATCGTAAGTTACCTACTATGACACCAGGTGAACCTAACTGCCATCATATCAAGGAGCTTCAACTAGCTGATGAAGATTTCATGACCCCTGGGTCTGTAGATTAGATACTTGGAGCTGATGTTTATGGAAGTATCATCCTTCCTGGACGTATCAAGGGTCCGCCTCTTACTCCTATTGCTCAATCAACCATCTTTGGTTGGGTGTTATCTGGGCCAAGTGGATTTATCATCAATGACAATAAATCACCAATGTATCATTGCCTACTGGAGAACAAAGTATATGATTTAATTCAGAAGTTTTGGGAACAGGGGGATTTTGCCAAAGATCCAGTTCAGGTTTTATCTCCTGAAGAACACTTTCAATCAACGCAAAGAGGAAGATATGTTGTTAAAACTCCCACTAAAAGAGTAGGCCTATGCCAAAAATCCTGGAACTGACAACCTCATTTGTTGGGTAACAACAGCTACTGGAACACCCAAGCTCTCTTCCTGTCACAGAATAAAATTGCCCAGTTCCCTGTTGCAATTTGGAGGGGAGTATGTTAGAAGTACTGTATGTATATTCTCTATTGCCTGCCATTTGAAGATAAAACCATATATTTTATAAATTTTTATGATCTATTTATATTACTTGTTTACATTTAATCAGTTTTGTTCTCAACTATGTTAATAAACCATCTGTTGTTTTTCATCTCTTTTATTGAGTAAAATCTTATCAATCTTACAATCTATCATTAACAGGCATGAATATGAAACACGAAGGGCCCATGACCTCGATATGCCATGCTGCTGCTTAAGCCACACCTTAAGGAGATACCCTCTTTTGGCAATAAAGATCTAAAACTCCCTGCCAAATAGCGTAAGGTACCTCGACTGTACAGCGTTTAAGACCGAGTTGAAGCGCTTGCTCACAAATAAGCCCCTGTACAACAGTCTTAAAGAGTTTTCTAACGATCCTCTAACGTCAGGTTGAGTATACAGACACGCATGCCACAGCCTAAGTTTTAAAATTTTTAGAAATTTTGTATATTGCATGTTTTGTAAATTGTAAATTTTGTAAATATTGGTACTTATAAATAATGACACAATCTATCCGAGATACTTTGGTCAAGGATTAAGACAACAAGTATTACATGTAGCAGCAAACCTAGGTACTCATTAAAATTTATGTTATTAAATAGGAAATAAATCTGACAATTTTCAGGGAACCAATGATCGGACTTATATCCAAACACAAATCCAGCCAGTACAAATTATTACTATTATTATTATTATTATTGGTATTAGTACAAATCCAGCCAGGTAAATAGTAATTCGCTTAGTTATACTTGGTTCAATAACCTAGTTAACTTAATGAGTTATAGCTCAAATTAGAGAATAGGATTAAGAACTAATCTTGTTTAGGCAAAAATAATAGCCTATACCAGTATATTGGATTAAGAAATGAAACTATTCTAAACTAACCTAACATAACTAACCAAACTTGCTGTAGGCTAAATTACCGTTTCAAAATTCCGAGCATTTCAATTTCAATATAATTTTTTTTATTTTTTGTTGATACTGAACAATATTTATTTATCGTAGTTGTCAGCTGATAGGTTTCAATTTGTTAATTTCAATATAAGTTATCGAATAAAATAATATTGATCAATTATATTGAAAAGAAATCATTGATAACTTAATTAATGAATGTTCCCTTTAACAGGAAAGTACCAATTTTTGTAACTTAAGTATATTATTGTTTTCGTTGATTATCAATAAAATCGTAAACATATCATAACCCGAATAGAATGTTCAACATAGTGAAAAAAAAACTAAAGAACGATAGGCCTACATTGAATCAGATAACTATCGATAGATAACATTATTCACCCAATAACATATCGCAGGTTCTCTGCAGAACTATACCCGACCGTTGATAGTTATCATTCTACAACATATCACAGGTTCTCTGTGGAACTGTATCCGCCCAAAATTCTGATACGTACTAAAATATGAGTTCCGATCACTTGGAATAATAAAACACGAAGTTAGTCATGAAATAAATGTGATAGGTAGGTCTTAATGCCGATACCTTAAATATTAAGAATGTCATGTAAGTTAGGCCTAGTAGCCTAGTGTTGTTAACTGATATTGGAAAAAAAGTTCATTTGGGTACAGTTTCTTAACTGGGCTATGCTAATATCGATTGAAACTATCGAATTGAAAATATTAATTAATAATCGATATTTTAAAATATATTTATTATCAAACTAAACCATCATAACATAACCTAACCAACCAAACTTGCTGATGGTGAAAAAATCGCATGAAGGTTTACTAATAGAATCGATAGTTTCAATCGATATTAGCATAGCCCAGTTAAGAAACTGTACCCATTCATTTTTATGTTTTTGGTAGATAACACCATAGATAAAACATACTCCCTTAGATAACACCTATCCGTGTATTTTTATCATCAGCTATCTAATGCAAAGCCACTAGCAAAGAGTATACTTACTTAGTCTAGGTATAAAAGGTTATGTAAACATTGACCAGGAAATTGTAAATTATTAGTTTGCTTGTCTAACAGACCTCTGAAAGTCTTCCTGCAATCCAAAAACCATAATATTTATAGTTTGATAGGACACATCAACATTTATTCAGGCATTACTTTCCTTACCTAATGTAAAATGCAGGGGCGGCTTAAAATCAATTATTTTGGGCTGCCTTTAAAGGGCAAAGGTTAAACAGCACTATCTTGCATTATAAACGTGAATTAACGCTTAAATAAATTAGCATGAGTACTACAACAACTGGTGAAATACCCACAAAAAACAAATTGCCGATAAAAACCCCAAACTTGTATAAATAGGTAAATAAATATAAAGGAATTCAATTCAATTTACATTATTATGTCCTATATAACCGAGTGACAATTGAGGGAATTGACAATAATAATGAATGAACGACAATGAACGAACAAACTCTTCTGCTTGTTCCAGTAGGGCCAACTGAGTGATGATAAATAAAAATAATCGTAGAAACCCAATGGCTTGCACTTTATACGATTGCAATATATAAATACCGGTTTCTTATTTTCAAGCAGTGAGTTTGAAAAGGTCTCAATGGGTTTAACCTAAGGGAGTATGTTTTATCTGTGGTTTAACCCTCCAAAATATAAACTCATTTTTGCTTCATTTTACCCATCTTTCAAATCTATTCAAAATCTCTATTTATTTATTTTACAAAGAAACCCACCGACTTAAAGAGCAATTTATGAAATAATGGATAGTTTTTCGCAAGGTTTCTCGTCATGACGAACATTTTAAGTGTGTGATTTGGGGAAGGGACTTGTAGTTTTCTCAAAAGTGCATGGGTACTTTGGGAATTTTATATGGATAACAAGGATTTAATTTATTATACTCTCTCATTCAGTTTGTTAATTAGTATTGTCTAGCTAAAGTAGTAGTCTTGGAGTAGACAGGTCTCAGGTACGGCCACCTTAAACTCCAGGCAACGGCCTGGTAGAATTGACAACGTCGCAAGTAGGGTTGTTTAGTGTCAGACGTCCCATAAGATAACATGGCAGACAGGTGACATCACTATATAGTGGTTTAAATTACCTTACTTGTCAAAACGGTCCTTTGTAGTTAGTAAGACTACAGCTGTTTCATGCTTCGAATGGAGCACATCATCAGGTCAGAAGAATGTCAAGTAGTCTTCATATTCCTCGCAGTGGAGTTCGTCAAAAGTTTAATAAATAGACAACAAAACACATAACACACGGAAACACGAAACATTTAATATTGGTTGACCAGACGACGGTAACAACACCCTCAACCGGTGCTGTATTACGTGTGTTGTTACCGTCGTCTGGTCGACCAATATTAAATGTTTCGTGTTTCGTGTTTCAGGATTGTGGGAGCGAGCTGACCAATTTCTTGAAACATGTGGCACCGCAGTTGAAGAGAATGAAGAGATCAATGACCCTGTGCTGCTCATATAGCGTTGCGCGGTGAGACCAGTCAAACAGCTCCCTCGATCTGGTGCGTAGGGACATGAAAGCTAATCCACTCAAGCAGCTCCGGGCAGAGACCCTCCCCGTTTACCAGTCTATGTAGGAACATTAGATAAAAGATTTTCCTTCTAGTCACCAGGGAATGAAGATCCATGTCAGCTGATAGTGGTGTCCAAGGCGAAGACCCACCAGGAGGCTAAACCAAAACTGGACTGATGGACTGAAGCCTCTCTTGAAGATAAATTTGGTAGGGGGTCCACACTAACTAAGCAGTATTCTAGATGGGATCTGACGATGTGGCAATAGAGGGGTTTCAATGCCAAGGGAGACGAAAAGTGCGTGAATATCAGGTTATCAGACATTCGACTTATAAACATACTTATATGCAATGGTTTACAAATTTAGTTTTGTTTGGTTAAATAGTACACGTTGGTTTTAAATATCGCGAAATAAAAATAACCAAACATTTGAACACTCTCTTCATTTAGTGGGCAGAAACATAAGTATATGTATTCATCGTATTTACAAGAAAGAAATCGGGAGGAGGAGGACTCAAAATCTATGAAAAAACATAGTGCAGAATGCAAAATGGGGATCAACATGCCACCTTCCCACCACCTTTCACGCTGGTGACTAGGTGTCACTACCACAACTTGACACAAAGCCATTTACAAAATTTGTATCTGAGTTAGCGGGTTGACGTAATGACGGGTTCACTCTTGTCCCCATCTGGGTGCTACCACGACCTGTTACAACTACGTACAGGGAAAACGACCAGTTCCTGTATTCCCGTGGGGGAGGTATGGCCGCAACAAAAGCTCTCCACCGTACACGGATCTGGGCCAGCTGCTGTACTTCTCTCCAGTTCTTGCCTTCCTCCTCTACCTGTTTTTCGATGGACCTCCTCAAAGCTATCTTTGGTCTTCCTCTTTATCTGCTTCCTTTGGGGGTTCCACTCTTAAGCTTGTTTGCTGATGTTACCATTTGGTCGTAGAGTGTGGCCTATCCAAGCAAACTTCCTTTTCTTGAGGACTTCACCAATAGGGGTTTACTTGCGCTCTTCTCATTAGCTCTTCATGTGTTACTCTTTGTGGCCAATGGATGTTGAAAATTTTTCGGAGACATCTGTTTATAAAGATCTGCAACTTGGCTGTAGCTCTCTTGGTGGTTTTTTGTTAGAACAGGCCTGTACTACTGATCAACTCTACATATTATGGTGTTTTAACACCGAAACATGTCCTGAATTGACATATTTTATTGAGCTGTGACGGGATAACGTAAGTAATTTAGTCTTACATTATGTCCAACTGCTCAGGGGCTACACACATGGATTTTAAAGAATCAGTTTGCTGATACCGTAACGAATTGGTCTAATTATCAGGATACCACTGCGGATAGTCGTAGGACCCAATAGTGCGGACGTTAATCCACACCAGGTAGTTTCACATCCACAGTGCATGCCAGCGTGCCTAAATATATCCACAATTCGTGACCTCTTAGTAGCTGGATTACAGGACGATGCCACTGTCCCAGTCTATGAACGTATAGTATAAGTAGTTCGGGAGGAGTCAGGCAGCACGGCCTCCGGTCCGGAGTTAAAGGTAAGGTAAAGGGAGGGAAAGGTGGCCGTGCCGTGAGTCAGAGGACTTTTTTTAGAGGGATGGTTGTAACACGGCCACCTTCGGCCATTGTTGTGGTGACTACTGACTAGACTAGCCTAGGTTGACTGACTGAGTTGAGTGCCCACTGCGCTGCGAATGCCCAAATCCCGAGACCCGAATCGAACGAATGGAGTAGGAGTATGGATTGAGTAGATTGACTGTGACTGATTGACTGAGTGAGATGGATGAGGGATGAGGTAACTTCAATTTTAGGTTACATCTACTTAATTTACCTATTTTTTATTTCACATTTTCAGTAACTAAACTAAGTTCAGTTGTTTGTTGTTGTTAGATAGACCTTTTGGTCAAGTAACTGTGTGAGAATGGAGGATGAAAATGACGAAGAAAAAGTAATAGAAGAGGATTACTATACTTTTCTGAATATCCCAAGAAATGTAAGTTTGACTTTCAATTTAATAATATAATTTACCTTATTATAATTTAGTTCTAACAGGGAATAGGGTTCAGGGGTAGGCCTACCCTAGTACTAAGTTATTTCTAGATGTTTTGAATTTTTCTTTTAATGACAATCAAACTGCAGGTACACTTCCATATCTGTTGGCACAAACAACTGAATGAGTAATATATTGTTTATTCAATTGTTTAATTCGATATATCCTTTGGTTAGTTATGTTAGGTTAACCTTACCTAACTAACCAAACGATATATCGAAAATAAAGACAATTTTCGATATTTATTTGAAGTTTAAGGTTACTTTGGATTAAAGATAGATATCTATACAAAAAGTTGGGTTTAGGTTATTTGAATTGTCACTCAGTGGCAGCTAGCCCATAAGGACTCTGGGACGCCGCCCTCCCAACAATACATGTTAACCCTCCGAGTGTTATTTGTTGCTGCATCGACACATAACACACTTTGTGTAGTGTTTTGTGTCGATGCAGCGACTCGCGACTCACAAACACTGTTTACGGCGAAGGCTCTATGACTGACAAAATCGGATTGAACTGGATCGAGTTAGGTATCGTTTTATTTGACAGATTCAGCGCTTTCACCGGAGGTCTGTCTCTAAGCGCTTTTCATTTTAGTTCCGAAAATATTGTAGCAGACAGCTGACTTGCGTATTTGTAAACAGCTTGGTTAACCTCGGACCGATGACTGATGTGTTTTATTACGTTTATCATTGTTTTAATGTTAAAAATCAAAAGTAGTGATATACGTGGTTTAATTTGAAAATAGCCACTTTGTTCTAAATTTTATGAGGATTACAAATATATAATAATATAAGGAAGTAAGTTGTTAGATTTGCAAATAAATAAATTATGGGCAAAAAACAGATTTCAGTACTTAGCGTTTAGCTAAGAATGCATAGCCTAACCATAGCTAGGAATCTGGCTGATAATTTACATCAATATCACTACCTACTTCTTCAGGATCATCAACCAGCCCTTCAAAATCACTTAAATCTTCTTATAATGCACCACGTATATCACTACTTTTGATTTTTAACACTAAAACAATGATAAACGTAATAAAACGCATCAGTCATCGGTGCGAGGTTAACCAAGCTGTTTACAAATACGCACATCAGCTGTCTGCTACAATTATGATCGGCTCGAGAAAAAAAAGCGCTTAGAGACAGACCTAAGGAGAAAGCTTAGAATCTGACAAATAAAACGATACCTAACTCGATCCAGTTCAATCCGATTTTGTCAGTCATAGAGCCTTCGTCGTAAACAGTGTTTGTGAGTCGAAGCTTCGACAAATAACACTCGGAGGGTTAATCTATGGTAAGGCACTGCAAAACACTATTTTAAAAATGCTTATAGACAGTAAACTTATAACTTACTTGTTGAGCAAAGTGAAGCTCTGCTGAATTAATACACTCCTGCTTTTGTTTTACAAATACTCCTCCTGAACGGCTGAAGCGATCTGCGGCACGAAATTTAGCACAATCATAGTAACCAACCATGGGAAGGTATGGTACAAATTGGACCACAGGGCTTTTTCCTAAGTGAATTTAAACTTTTGGAAATTTAACTTGGGTCTTATGGGTTATTTGGTTCCATGACATTATTTGTGAGAACAATGAAAATGTAAACAAGAGTCGAATTATATGTTGGTCAAGGAATTATCTAATAGCACATTACAAATACCGTAGGTAGGCCTACAATGAAAAGGGGAAGAACAATTGGATTGATATCATTGAACATAATTTACTACAAAATACACAACCAATAATTATGGACGCCGGAATAAGGCTGATGCACCATTGACTTTAAATAATCCAAATAGCCATTCCATTTATCTGAACCAATATAGGCCTACAATAATGCATTCTGTTCGCATACTGCAAATAGACTTTCCATTTATGTGAACTTGACGTACCATTCAATACTGCAGGCTTGGGAGACTGCAAGTAGACATTCCATTGACGTCAACCAGACGTACCATTATCTTACTGTACTGGATACTGCAAGTAGGCACTCCATTTATGTGAATCAAATGAACGATTGCATTGGATCCTGCAAGTATACATCTCATTTAAAATATGTACCATTGACTTAAGAAAAGTACCTATTGGAGATATGCTAGCTCCTGCAAGTAGACAAAACATTTACGTTAACCAAAGGTACCATTGTGTTTGGATACGGTACTACAAATAGACAGTCCATTTAAGTAAACCAGACGTAAGGCTACCATTGACTTTGGGTACTGAAAATGCATCTTATATAGCCTACTGCAAGTAGATTTATCTTTATGTGAAGCAGGTGCACCATTGATTTACTGTAAGTAGACAAATCATTTTACATGAACCAAATGTACTATTAAGTTTGGACTCTGCAAGTAAACCATCCAATTAAACGTGAACCAGACGTGCCATTCACTTTAGAACCTGTAAATAGACATTCCATTTAAGTGAACCATGCGTGACATTGACTTTGAATACTGCAAATAGGCATTTTATTTATGCAAACCATATAGGTATGTTTACGAGGCGAAGAATCGACTGCGATTTGTAGCGCCCCAGCAGTAAAGTATATAGGTATGTTATATTGATATTGGATACTGCAAGTAGACTTTTAACTAGATGAAACATAGACTTTAGTTCCTGCTAGTAGGGAATTCATCTACTGTACATGAACCAGAGACTTACAATTGACTTTGAATACTGCAAATAGACATTCCATTTATATAAACCAAATATACCATTGACATTGGAAACTGCAAGGTATTTTTAATCTCATTTACGAGAAACAGATTTAGCAAGGACTTTGTATTAATATGCTAGCTCCGCTCAATATTGAAAGCAGACAACTGCATTGTACACCTAGTTTAACTAAATTTTTAAAGATGCTAAGAAAAATGTTTGATAGGCAATATATGAGAACTGTCACTAAGATTAATGTTGATAATAATCTTCTGTTGTCTAATCTTTAGAAGACCATAAAATATCTTCTATATTAGCCCATGATGAAATTGTGTTGTTTTGATAACAATAATGAATTTTTAGTTAGGCCTATATCTATTCAAATACTGTAATGTACCTATTTATTGGTCTTGATTAAAAAAAATAAAGCACTGTGGTCGATAAAAAATTATTATCAGCTTAAACTTATTTTATTAACTTTCAATTTGTATCAAGGCAAAAAATTGTTTAGTTCATATAATTGCTAATATCATTTGCATGGTAAGTAACAGTGCCTGGAAAATCCCCAACTCCCCATGATAATTACTAATATCAGTAATCGTTTTTGGGCGAATCATTTTAGGGCACCGTTTTGGGAAATTATTGTGACGAGGGTGACCAAGAGTACTATAGTAATTTATATATCATTAGAAACCATATTTTTACCTGAAAACAATGTTGCAAAAATTTGTCTGCTGTCACAAAAACTAAATTAACTACCATTTTTTGAATTTTATTACTGTAATGCCTCTTGTCGGCTGGTCTCTGTCGCTATTACTGTGAACTGACTGACTAACACAAACGTGAATGATTGAAATTATCGTCTAGGGAAGAAGAAGAAACCTAAGATGACAAACAAGAAGTTTATACAAAGAGGTAGAGGCATTTGTAAATTAAACTGAACATTGATTATGAACTACCGTACTTCAGTTCTTATTTAGACATGTGAGGATGATAGGTTGGGTGTTATTTGGATTCCTAGTTAAACTGTAAGTGTTTTAGGTTAGGTTAGATTAGGAAGTTAAAGTTTAGGTTATAATGAATCGAGTTGTTGATTTATATTATCTCCTGTTTTTGCACTTCGTAAAAGTATTCTAAGTGTGGGTTTTGAGGGTAATATTTACTTTAAAATGGCATATAATCAATCAATAAATGTGACTTGGGCTATTAACTTAAATTTTAATTTTATTTTAAGTACAGATTCAACGTTCCTAATACAACATGAAAATAAAATTCAAAAATCGTCAGTTAATTCAGTTTTGTGACAGCATACAAATTTTTGCACCATTGTTTTCAGGTAAAAATCTAGTTTCTAATGACATAGGCCCCTATAAATTACTATAGTACTCTTGGTCACCCTCGCCGCAATAATTACCCCATTTTGTTACTAGTGGGCCAATTATAATTTTATTTATGTCAATTGTTTAGTTTCATCAAGACCTGTAAAATGATGGGTACCAAAGTCGACTATACTTCCCATTTGAAATTGTTGAGCTTACCGCTACCCCCATTATCCCCAAGGGCAAAATTTTCAAAATGAACCATCCCAATTGGAATTTTTGAGCTTACCCTTACACTACAACTGGGGGCAACATTTTCAAAATCAACTAATATTATTGTAGCCCCCATAACTAAGAAGGTTGCTGCAAACCGATTTTAAATCTCTCAAATGGTTATAAAGTTAGGGAGGGGTGCAAGTTACTTTTCATCCACCCTGTATGGATACCTACTCTATTTATACAAAAACATTAAAATACATAGGGTCTAATATAAAAAAAAAACATTTTTGTTTTAGAAGTTTAGGCTGGCCTATATGATTATGGTGCTGCCTCACACACTGGCTAGTGATGTGGCAGTTAGGTATGCATTCACTTGGGAGGTGAATTTCACAATTTGTTTCCAGTTCTTAGCATTAATCGCAATTCATGGAATACATGTCTAACTCGACCTTTGAATACATTCATTCAAAAAGAGAAGGTTGCAAAATGCTCTGGGTAAGTTCCCTTTCCGGTAGAATGGGCCTACTGGCGAAAGTGGAACTAAAAATGTCTACAAGATCGTTCTCCGCTCCCACACGCTAGAAAAACAAACGAGATTGTTCCAAAGTTAACCGCTGCGCTACGCTCACAACAGCTGTTTGTGTGCGCGTTACTACTTGATTGTATAGGTTTGATTTTGTCGCTCTAAATTGCTCCGCTCCGCCCCGCTCCCAGTCGGTGTATGTGTGTTTCTACCCTTAGTCACTTACAAGACTAAAAGATCACGCCACTCATACTACACTAATCTCCATTCATACTTGGCTTAAAATACATAGGTACATTCGTATGGTCGCCATTTCAAAGTACATTCGTGTTACTGTAGGTATTATGATGTTGGGTTTACCTGCAAACTCCCGACTTAACTATAGCCAGCAATATGGAAGTGTGTTTAATAATTAATGTTCTTTTAGCAAAGGTATTCTGTTTCTAGGCCAGCAGTGAAGAGATCAATTATGCTTATCGCAGACTCAGTAGGCTTTACCACCCAGACAAGCATACCAGTGATCCCTTGAAAAAGAATGACGCTGAACTTTTGTTCCATAAAACTAAAAAAGCTTATGAAGGTATATGCTATGATATATTTCCCCACAATTTCCAGCATGTTCCAAGTAAAGATCTCTTTAGGAAATGCATTATTGTTTAAGACTTTTCTTTAAAAAACTTGGAAATTTGCAGCTATACTTCCAAACATTGCAGCTTTGGTGAATCGTATTCGATTTACAGTTGATTGTTAAGGCAAATAAAGCCAGATTAGGTACTGTGCTTTTCACTTTTGTTCAAACAAATTATTTATGAAACATGTAAATCTACTTTCAGAATGAATACAGAATACCACCACTGCCAATCTGCATACAAGGCAAATTAATTGTTACTTTTGGGTTTATAAAATATTTTAAGCTTTTTATATTTAAATATAAGAGGTTTAATTTACCTGTTGCGTCAATTGATCCTTAAGTTATGAAATAACTACGGCCGTTTCGTACTGCTAAACGAGTACATCTTCAGGTTGTCTATGAACGTTAAAATACGGCCTTCTCATCCGTGGGTGGAGTCGTCAGCACATTTAGGACACATAACACGAACACATAACGAAACATTAAAATATTTACAATTAAAAACTTGGCCAAGTAGTCCGAACACGAGAGTTGTGTAACCGGTAGCGTTAGATGATGAGTCATGACTGACCCGTGTCGGGAGTTGGGACCCCCTCCCCTTCTCTTCCTTTATCTTTGCTCTGGTTTCTTTTGTTTTGGTTGATAATGTGGATAGCAGTGTTGTAAATTATATTTGATTTGAAGACTGCTGTTCATTTAATATATGGTCGGGTTGTTGTTTTGATGCTCTGTAGATCTCGAATTCTTCTATAGTATCCATTTGTTTGCCTTTATTACATAGATGCATGATTTCTAAATTAGTGTGTACGTCGGTGTAGTTATGGTTCGAATTAATGAGGTGATTGGCAAAAGCAGACTTAGAGTTTCTCCTTGGTAGATGTTCTTTGAACCTTGTAGTGAAACAGTTGACCCTAAGATTAACCCTTAGTTATTTCATAACTTAAGGATCAATTGACGCAACAGGTAAATTAAACCTCTTATATTTGCATTACCTTGATCCAGAGGCTAACCCATCATTTTTATATTTTCTATAAAAATTTGATAAGTTACCTAGATTAAATCCCTAGGTAAAAATAACACCACTTTCATCTAAAATATCAAGTGTATTGCTGCAAGAAGCAAAAAAAATGTTTAAAAATTGCAATGATGATTGTTGGAAAAAGATTTTCCCATTGGCCAAACAATACATTTATTAAAACCTAAAAGAAAAGTTGATATTTTCCAACTACACCTTGAGGAAGAAGTCATTTAATAAAGAATTAGGAAAGGCAACCTTCTCAAAATCCTCAAAAAAGTGACCTACTAACATTGAGTAAACAATCTCATAACAATGATGTAAATAAATATGGCAATTTTTTTATTAAGACATGCCAAAAACTGTAGATATAGGCTACAAACAAGCAGTCTGTTGCAGTTGATTTACTCTCTATACGCCAAAGTATAGACAATGTGTTGTATGGTCGCCATTTTAATGGAAAGTATTAAAGTATTGTGTTTAGCATTTTTGATATCTAAGTAACGTATAATGATAGATGGAAAGTGTAGTACAGTAGAACTCCAATTATCTGAATCAAATAGGACCGTACCACATTCGGATGGTCAAAAATTCTGAAAATTGGATTTTTATCAAAATGTGGGATATTTTACAGATGAAGAGTTAAACCTAGCTTTAACAATAATTGTGATCGCAGTATGCGTCTGCAGAGATTTCACAATCGAAATATTCACTATTTCGCCGCGATCATAGAGTACGATTATCATTTTCCATGACCATGGGAGACGAATATGGTTTTTACCACAGAAGATGTTTAAGATTTTACGCCATACCGGACAACGACGATAATGTTTCTATGACCATGATCTTGTCTACACGGCAGTGGGATATGTTTTATATTTTGATACAATCACGGAAACTAGGATGATGTTTCCTTGACCGCAGGAGAAGATGATAATGTCTACAAGACCGCGGAAGGGGGTTTGGATTATTCCGTGATCACTTCTTCCTTCTTTGATAAAGATTTTCATTAATTGTGGTTTAAATTTTTGTAAGCGATTCGGATATTCGACAATTTGAATAGTTGGGGTTCGATAATTGGAGTTCTACTGTGGGCTTTAGTGTGAAAATACTAAAATATAAATTGTTTTGTTTTCTATACCAAGCCTTTCAAAATCTTTTCACTATTCATTTAAGTAGACATCCCATTTTCCATACAAGGTAATCTAAAGGCTGTAACTAGTTTTTGAACAGGAATTGATGTAATTGAGCTGCCAACAAAGTGCTGCCATTTTCTTATTTCTAGCAAATACACCAAGCAATGGACAACTTATTATAAACTATAGAATTTTCATGTCACGTTAAACACCTAGTTTTAAAAGTGAAAAAAAAAATAATATTGTCAGTGTCACAATGGTGAGAGGTTCATTGGAAGTTGGCTACAGATGGTCCATTATAAATTATTTTACTGTCTACTAAATTATGATCGATTGTCAACTTCTTCAATGTGAATCTACTTTATAATAAATTAATAGCCAATTGGTAGTTTAACCTTTTTACTTTTTTCAAAAAGAAACAGAAATATTTAATTTTAATGTTTTATTTGATAATTTTGTAGAATCTCCAATAAATTAATTTGGTTATTAATTAGGCTCCCTGTTATTTTTAAAGTTTTGAACGACCCACACAAAAGAGCGATCTATGACAGTCTGGGCACAAAGGGGCTAGAAACTGAAGGCTGGGAGATTGTCCAACGCACCAAAACTCCTCAAGAGATCCGTGAGGAGTATGAAAGACTCGCAAGGTAGGACAGAACTAACAATAAAATTGTCTTTAGCTGATCTATAAGGATGAGAAATCCATTATGTTTTATCATAGACTAACCAACACAAGTAGACTTCTTGTCCCATTGTAAAATTTAAAACTTGTTTTTCGAGTCTGGTTTATGTCTGGTGACACTGATTGCGAAAAAATTTTGTTTTCTATTATTTTTATTTTAGGGTTGATTACATGATTCGTGCTTTACTGTTTGGTTATTTAACTAGGGAACAAATTTTTTTTTATGATTAGGTTTTAAATACTGAAATGACAAAAAAAACAAATTTGTAAAAAAACAACCTCTACAGTGTATTTGACAAAACCAACGATAAAACACGATCCTTCAGCTATTCCACGAGGATGAGAAATCTATACAATGGAGTATGTTTTATCTATGGTTTTATTCTATGGACTACCTATCAACTTTAATTTTATGTACTTTTAACAATCTTATGAGACTGACAAAATGTTGCAGGTATAGCCTACAAAACAATTAACTATTTTGTTACAATTTCTAAAGTTCTATGTTATTAATCTATTATGTTAATTTCTATGTTGTTTTTGTTACAACATTAACCATGTAAAACTATCTATCCAATCGCAACTAGAATAATGGAAGATTTAGATACTATAACAGAAGATGTAGATAAAGCAAAGAAATCAAAATCATTGCGAAAAAAGTCAAGTTTGATCTTGGAAATGTAAAGAAGTACGTAGACTTGGGAACAAAATTTTCTATCAATGAAATTAAAACTAGCTATGTTAGCTAATATTAAATCAAAGTAAGAACTAACTAAAAAAATATTGACTTGTATACAGAACACAGTTAGATGTTTGATATTAAACACGGCTGACTAGACAAAGTACTATTAAAACATGCTGGTTGATACAAAAGCGAGATTAATGGATGCACAAATGCGTCCTACGGCAAGTATATAAAACATAACTCTGTTCCTAATCAAAATTATTGTATCAATGCAAATCCACCAACTAATGTACCGATTCCAGTCCTTCCTACTTTTAATTTAAACTTTACTCCTTACGATGAAAGCGACACTGATGTTGGTCACATTTCTGTAGCAACTGAGTTTTTATGTCCTCGTCCTTGTCGTTAAGTCCACATATGAGTTGTATTCGTAATAGCATGTCTAATACAGATTTTCCACATGCTTCACAATTAAGTTTACAATTTGTCGACAGCGTTTTACTTTCTCCCCCTATACCATAGTATATGGAGAAAGTATTGTTTTTGTCAACATTTTCGAGTGTGAGTTTTGAGTGGATGTATCTGTTTTGGGTCCCCCTGAACCCAAAAAATTGTTTTCGAAGTGATGTCTGGGTGTATAAATGTGTACAGAGCTACAGACCACACCTGTAGTCCGATTTTGATGGAATTTGTTATGTAGGTACTAATTCATAGTATTTCTAGGCGATTTTATAACTTTTTTGTATTTTAATGGTGATTTTTTTATAAAAACCCGTAAAATAAATGATTTTTTCAAAAATGGCCTGAACGTCTTTTATAAATAATTATGTTATAGCCCTTTAAATTCTAAACAAGTTGGTACAAATCCCATTTCCAATTTTGTATTGTGTCTTAAGTTGCTCTGTTCTATTGTAGGGAGAGAGAAGAACGGAGACTACAATCGCGAACCAATCCTCGGGGAAATGTTACAGTCAAAATTAATGCCACTGAGATGTTCGCCCAATATGATGAAGATGAATATGAATATGAGTGAGTATTTTCTCCTTATCAGCCTAGTATTACAGTACTATTGGGAAATAGTCTTAAAGTACATTTTAGTAAATTTCCAGCGTGATTATAATTTTCTACCATTGCAATTGGCTGTACAGTGATGTGCTAGTGTGAGATATTGATTTTTAAATTTATATTTTATATATAGAAATATTGCATGACAGTGTGTGCTTGTACTGTCCAGCCCTCTTGCGTCCTTTGCAGTAGAGTTGTGTTTGTGCAGAGGATCTCAAGAATAGGCTAGACCAAAGCCAAAGTCAAGACTAGCCTTTTATATAGTTTATATAGAAAATTGGCCCAAGCCAATCTTTTATTCTTATGATACTATTGTGATTGTTGAATAGGTCTGTGAAAATTGAGCGATAAAAGAATTTACGATGTCGCCAAGATCTCAAGCTAATTTTACCTCATGATTAAACTAAATACTGTCATTTTTTTAATCTAGAGGTTTTTTATGTACAGCATACCCCTGGTGGAGATCTCTGGTATGTCTATATCCCAGTCAGTGGAGGCTCCCCTCACCACCCGCAACCTCATGACAATTGGGGGAGAGATGTCTACGCACAATGGGACAGGTATGTTGTACAGGTGTCCTTCAAACAGCTACATTATAATTATTGTGATGTCAGCAATTAACTTTGTTCTGTTTGAACAACTTTTGAATGATTTAAACTAAAAATAAACTATTGTTTATTGCCTTATTTTCAGTGATACATAAAATCGGAGCAGTAGTAGTTGCTTGCTCAAAATCGTGCCTTTTCTTACATCACATAATTATGTTTCTCTTTTGAGCATATTTGTTTGCTGGATTTCTATTAAATTTGAGAAAATTATAGAATTAGTTTAAGACTTGATGATGGTACTAACAAGTCTACAGTAAAAAAAAAATCATTCATAAAGCCAGATCATAATTATTATCAAAATAAAGTGGCAAAAGTTTTTCTGTAGATGATGGACTTAAAATTAGTTTTGGGGCCTATTTTGTACATTTTATATACAAATAGTATAACTAAGACCTTCCCTAACTTAAACATAACTATGTACGCTGACGATGTAGCCCTCTTGTTTGAAAATAAATCATTAGATAAACTAGAAATTGATAGCTTTGTAAAACTATCAAACCTTTATCAATACTTTAATAGCAATAATTTACACGTTAATCCAAGCAAATCAAGCTGTATACATTTTTCAAAAGCCAACCATTCTGAGCCCAGCCCAGTAATATTTATGAACGAATTTGAGTTACCCTTAGAAACAGAAGTTAAATATCTAGGATTGATTTTTGATAACACTTTTTCTTGGACACCTCACATTGATGCACTGTGTTCCAAGCTGTCGTCTCAATTATTTTTAATGAATAGATTTGCAAAGTATCAAAATTTATTACTTATGCGATTAGTTTATTTTTCACTCATAGAGTCAAGATTAAGGTATGGAATTATTCTCTGGGGGTCTGCGATACAATCAAATTTTTTACGCGTTTTTAGGTTGCAAAAAAGAGCCATTCGTATTATGGCAGGTGTGTACAGAAGAACACCTTGCCGAAATTTTTTTAAATCCCTTGAAATTCTAACGTTACCTTCGATATATATTATTGAAATTCTATTATATTATAGGTTTAAATCAACAACAAAAGTAACCGGTGCAGATATCCATAATTATAATACCAGGCAAAGACACCATCATAGACAAACCTCTCATAGATTGGAATTAGCTGCATCATTACCTCAAAATCTCGGGCCAAAACTGCTTAACAAACTTCCAGCCAATCTACAATCCTTAACGTCAGAAGCAAAATTCAAAATTAAATTAAAAGAATACCTTTTAGAACGTGCATGTTACTCTGTTGCTGAATTTTTTGAACAGCCCAATTTATAAAAAAAAAAAAAAAAAAAAAAAGTCTGAAGCTAAGTCCACCTGCTCTGTAATTATTACTTTCATATGTGTTATCAGTGTTATAGTAGGCTACCAGTTTTGTTATTTTATTATTTGCATTATATTATTGTTTATATTTAGAAGTAATTTAAGTTGACGTTTGTAATACAATGTATATTGTCTGACTACAATAAATGATTTGATTGATTGATTAAAAGCAATCGTTGATTGGAATGTAAGGATTGTTTAACCTCAACTGCTAGACTACTGTTCTGTGTAATGGTTTAAAGACAGTGAAGTAGCCTATAATTTACATTGGCAAGGTAGTGCAGGGAACCAGCAATGTCTGTCTTATACTACCACTGAGCAGGCTGTATTGTTTGTGTGTCAAGAGATTCAGCTGGTAAGACTGGTGTGATCTGTGTGCAGGTTCAGGAGCGTTGACATTGACTGCTAAGAGATTGCTGCAAGACAACAAGTGGGTCGAAGCTGACTTGTCAGTAGGCAACGGAGTGGTGCTCGGACTCAAGCATTTCCGCTACCTCACACGTCGCATCTTCGGCACTGGCACACTACAACTGCACTTCACAGATAGTGGCATCAAACCTGGGATCGAGGCCAGTGAGTATCGTTATTCTATGTGATGTTTTGCTTCTTCATTTCTCTGTTTCTTCAGCAATACAAAATTGTACTGACTCCTTCTGTAGATGATATTTTTAATAATGTACCGTATTGTGGATTGCGTATTTGTAATATTTTTCATAGACTGAGAGAATCAAAATGGGGCCCTTGTATGAATGCTATCGGTTGATAGAAGTTCCCTATAGCACCTTTACCTACATCCTGGGAACTTTTTTGAATCTGTTCTGCAACATTCAAAGGCCAATAAATATTTGTTAACTAGAGTTTTTAGTGACATAGCCTATTTATCTTTATTTTTTAGTAAAGGTGCGGTACTAAAATGATATGGATATAAAATAGTTTCTTGTAATAATCCTATTGCTGGAAAATAACGTTGCCAAATCCCTAGAAGAAAATTGTTAGTGGTTGGTGGGTTCAAGTCAGAGCTTTCTGGTCTAATTATCTCCGGTAACTGATTGGCAATAGTCAGCTGATAGAGAAATGTTCTTGTTCCATTGTTGTAGTAGGATTTAAAAATGTTTTGCCAGGGGCTTTTTAGGGATAGAGTTCAGGAGATAATAAATAATAAAAGGTCACAAAACATTTTTCGGACTCTTAATTCCCTCACTTAAGCTAGCTGAATTCTATCCCTTTTTAACTTCTATCAACCTCTCGGCTTTCCCTTGAAATGTCATTCAAGATATTGAGTGTGTGTTCCAGCTCTGGCCACACAGTTGAGCGACAACACGATGGGTTACCTGACATACCGCGTTGATCTGCAACAGAGCTCCATGACGACCTCCATCGCTCACAACACGGACCGTCTCAGTGCAGGCTGCGGCATCACGCTAGGAATACCTCACTCCTTCCTCTCAGCCAACTGCTCTTATAACTTCAAACAGAAAAAGCTCAAGGTGCATTCGGCAATTAAGTGAGTATGGGTTTATTTTTAGTAGCCAAATATCTGTTTTTGGAATTCACGTTTAGTACCCTCGTAGACCAGCTGTAGCCGATTTGTTATTAAAAATATAGTTGAATGAGCCATCCACAAAGTGTGCTATAGTCTAAAGTTATATTTTTGTCCTTAGATGTAATAGTAAATGTGACATTAACAATAATAGTTTTAAATTACTTTCTTTCAGTTTGGGTTTGTTAAAAAGTTGAAGTATTCTAAAAAAATCAGTAGATTACTTCAGCTCATTCTGTCGTTGGCTCAATGTAACTAAGTTCACTTTAATTTTAAAGCTGGCTAAACTTTTTTACACAAGAATGGAGTATCTAGAAACTATATTATGAATAGTTTAAACCATTGGTAAAGGTTTAAGTCAAAGAAGTTAATAAAAGTGATTTAACTATTTAATAAAAGCTTTGACAATTATCTTGGTCTTGTCTTCATCTTGAATCCAAAAGTTTTATTGAAACACTAAACTGCCTGATGTTGTGATTACTTACTTTGGCTGAAGTAAAAAGTGATTTATACTTCAGTGTTATTTTAACTGAACATATGATAGAGAGGAGGGATAAAGCTACGATAAAAATATATATGAAAGAAAAACTGAATACGAAGTGACCACTTGGACACCCTTAAAAATGTGGAAAGAAAACATTTGAGACCAGCAGAAGCAGTTAGTTAATTAACCCAAATATCCTCTAGCGCATAAATTAATAGCCAAGGTGCGAGTAAGATTTGAATTATTTTAAATTTAAAAATATTACATTTTCATGACTATGTCGTGTTTGGCAGAGGTGGGACATTTGGTGCATTATTGGAGTACTCGGCTGAGAAGAAAGTGTCTGAGCAAAGTTCCATGTCAGCTATGGTCAGTGTTGGAGTGCCCTCGGGGGTGAGACTGAGGATCAAGTGAGTTACAGAATCAGTATTATACTTTTTCGGTTTAGTAGTTCATGATATCTCTTCTACTATATCAACACTGTTTGAGATACAAGTATTTGATTAAGTATGTTTTTGTTTTGTGGCTAGCACAAAAATAGTTGATTTAACATTAGCAAATATACAGGAATGGTGGAAAGCGTAGCCACATAGAGTAACTGAATACAAGTTAGGATCAAGAATGCACATATATTACATTCTGATAGCCTACACCATCATCATACACTCTTGTGATGTGTTGTTGTTAAGCGCCACCCACTCAACTGAAAACCTTCTAACGAATTTTGATAACTTCGCGGAATAAACTGGGAATTTTGCACCCAAACCTTAGAATAGGGATGTGCTGATTTCAGCAATTTTTCAATAGCCTATCGACAATATCGAAGGGATGTCGATTCTTGATACTTTGAGACGTTAGATTCACGGTAAAATTAAGATCACATGACTCAATCGTGGCGACATGACAGTATTAATAATCTGCCCTCTCAGTTTCAGTAACATCAAGAATTTTCAATCTTACGAATTTCACATGTGGCCGTTGCAATGGCTTTAATATCCCACAATTTCCGCTTCAAAAAAGTATTAAAAATTACTAAAATCCCCAAAACATAAATAAAGATTCCTTTAATTTGCTGTCTTCAAAATATCTACCTAAAAAAAATCAGTTACATTTGAAATTAATTGAGTCATTATTCATTAATAAAACGTTCATTTCAACTTCAGTGGTCACAAAGACATCAATGGTCTTCCGCGATCATTGTGTAATCTTGAATTTTGATCTCAGATGTATTCTGCTATCATGAGAATAAAAGCTCTGTTTGGATTGATTGTATGCCTTGGCGCTCGGTCACTAAGTTTTCAGCAGAATTACCTTCAATCTGGCCGTCATCATATCCTGTAATCAATCATATCAGAAGCAGCAACACCAATGCAGTGTCCCTACACTGTCGCGGTCCGCTAGGACACGCTGAGATGCTGCTAGGCTTCTGCCTGTACCCATCCTTAAACCCTTTATCCCTTTTAAAGTTACAAAAATATGCAAATATGACTGTAAAAATAAACAATATGAATAAACCAACACCAATGCAGTGTCCCTACACTGTCGCGGTCCGCTAGGACACGCTGAGATGCTGCTAGGCTTCTGCCTGTACCCATCCTTAAACCCTTTATCCCTTTTAAAGTTACAAAAATGTGCAAATATGACTGTAAAAATAAACAATATGAATAAACCATTAATTTTATTTTGACGTCATATCCAGAGTGACAAGAGCTAGACAGACGTTTGTGTTTCCCATCCATCTCTGCGAGGAGCCCCTGCCTAGTCCAGTGTTCTACGCCACTGTTGTGCCTCTGATAGCCTACACCATAATCAAATACACGATCATCGACCCGATTGTAGCTGAACAAGAGCAACAGAGCAAAAAGAAACAACAAGAGGCAAATAAAAACAGGTATTTGTTTAAAAGGTTACATTTATCCATACTCAACTATACTGTAGTTAGTAAACAATTTTAATTAAATATAACTTACATGAAAATTATGCACATCAAGGATTGATTTGATTTTTTACCAAACTGCTACCACTTAAATACATAAGGCAGTTTTAAGGATTTCCTTTTCCTTTTTTTTATTCAGACCAATTTCTAATGGCTCAGATGTTCTGCTGAGATAAATATTTTTGGTATGTAGGCCTAACAATTAAATGAAGTCATGAACATTTTTCACAGGATGGCTCAGATGAAGCGGGAGGCAATGGCAGCTGTTAACCTGATGGGAGTGACGTTCTCACGTATCCGTGCGACAGAGGAGGCTAACAAAGGAGTGGTGATTGTTAAGGCTTTGTATGGCCGACTGACGACGCTGACGGAGGGAGAGAGGAATGTTAAAGAAGACTTGATTGACGTTACAATACCAGTGCAGTGTCTGGTCAAGGACGCTGTTCTAGTACTGCATGATGCTTCAAAGGTGAGTTTGTAGTGACAGGCAGTTTGTGTATTTTAAGAAAGATAAACAGTCAATTTTGAGGTAGATGGCCTCCAGATGACTGAGAGAGAAATGTTTAAGGAAAGGCTCTAGGCCAGGATTTTGAATTGTAGAAAAAGGAGGATAGCAGCTAGCTTACCTTGAAAGTGTGGGTAGGCCATAGAACAAGAAGAAAAACACTATGCACACAATATTTCGTCCCCTAAGGGACTTTGTCAAGTGTAGGAGAGAAAGAGTTACAAAATGGCTGCTGTCAACTATGCAGCAACCGAATGACCTAATGACAACCTAATTACTCTATGATTAATAAACACAGTCTGCATAGTTGACAACAGCCATGACAGCAGCCATTTTGTAACTCTTTCTCTCCTACACTTGACAAAGTCCCTTAGGGGACGAATTATTGTGTGCATAGTGTTTTTCTACTTGTTCTATGGCCTACCCACACTTTCAAGGTAAGCTAGCTGCTATCCTCCTTTTTTTACAATTTGAGAGAGAAATGGTTTAAGTACCTGTATTATTGGTAATCCTTTGTGGATGTTGGTAGATACAAGTTTCGGTTCATGTAAAACCATCTTTAGGCGTCAGAAGGACAGAAACCTTGCTTCATATGAAGGTTGTCATTTTTTTTACACACATTTACAAAATGAACACTCAACCCGCGTGGCTATATTTTAAGACACAATGGGTAAGAGTTAGGTCTAGAACTAACCTAAACTAGCAGTTTAGACGTAAGCTTAAAAAATTGTAAAAAAAACTTAAAAATGGTAAAAACGGTAGGAATAAGATAGAAAACAGTTTTAAGTTATAATAAAGAATCACTTTTCAACACTGTTCAATGTACTGTAAATATGTACTAAAAGAATAAAGATTGTTTGAAATGAAATGATACCGTCTGTTGTCGACTTGAAAAAGCATGACATTTGAATAGTTGCACGCATCTTGTAAAACACACTGGTGCATACCCCAAGTTTAAAATTCAGAATTTAACATGTAGCCTATATCATGTTTTTAAAAGGTGTTACTTAAGTGTGTTATTGCTATAGAGTGCGTTTTCCCTATTAAACTTTGCCTTTCTATTTTAAGCGTATCTGTTCTATTCTACATATAATAACAGTATTTGTAAATAGTAAAATTTCAACCTGAAAACATAGTGGTAGGGACTAAGTATAACAGGTAGGTTTTAAAACTTTTTAGAATTTTCCTATGTTTGTAAAATAGTACCTAAATAACATGTGTGATGTGAACCTGTACTGTTCTCCAGTGTATATTGAAATGTGTTTGTTCAGAGCCAGTTGCCTGGGTTCTATGATCCGTGTGTGGGAGAAGACAAGGGTCTCTATATACAGTATCTGTTCCACAGCCACGTCTCTGAGGTCTTGTGTAGTGATACTGAGGCCCTCAGGATACCCAAGCTAGGTAAGTCACTGTACTGTGGACTATGCCAAAGTATACAGGGTGGAAAAGAGTCTCAGGACAGTTAAATATTTCAAAAAGTAATAAAGGTAGAGCCTTAAAACTTAGTACACAGTTACCGGGCATTAAAATAATTTTAACACATGATTCAGTGATACACTACCTCTTCATGGGGACTACCCGCTAGGAGTCAGAAGAAAATTTTAAACTTAATCATAGGTTGATATGCACATGAAAAATTAATGGTCTTTACTAGTAGATTTCAATGCAGTAAATTTGAACTCAAACGGACAACCGAGTCAAAAATGGTAGGCGTTCAAAGATTTCTTAAATTTGGCATTTTGAATCTTTGAGCGGCTGCCATATTTGACTCAGTTGTTCTCTTGAGTTAAAATTTGTGACAATATATTCTACTACAGTATTAAAGACCTTTGTGCATATCGACCTATGCATACGTTTGTGATTTTCTTCCAGCTCCTAGCGTTCTTCACTGAGGAAGCGTATAAAAGCAATGCAAATTCAATGCATCTTTGAATAGCTTTAATTTTCTACTCCATTGTCCGTTTGAGTTCGAGTTTGAGGCATTTTATTTTACAAACAAAGACTTAATTTGATGTGAATATCAACGGTATGCTTACATTTAAGATTTTCTTCTGACCCCTGAAGAGGTACCGCATCTTTGAATAATCTGTTAATTACCTCAATGCCCAGTGACTTTATACCAAGTTTTGAAGATCGATCTTTGTTACTTTTTGAAATATTTAACCATCCCCAGACTTTTTTTCTACAATGTATAGGTACTTTAGGTTAATAATACATTACATCCAATACATTTTTAAAACACACTAAAATGCAAATTGAAAATTTTCAAGGTAATTTCCACTATCAGCTGATTTGGATATGATGTAAGCTGCATTATGCTAGTATTAGGCTACATAACAATAAGGGGGCAAGTGAAGCACAAAGAGTTATGGATGAAGGGTGTAAGTTAAACTTTAAGTGGATGAAGAGTGCAAGTGAAGCACTTACCACATTTGCGTGCATTTCCTGTACTTTACCCCTAAATTACAAAAATAGCTCAGCTGTTATCATACTTAGGACTATGGGAGTCAGTGTACTAAATATAACATCACTTGCACTCTTCATCCACACTTTTTTCTTTGTAATTGACGAATTGATCTAATTATCAGGATAGTACTGCAAATAGTCATAGTACTAACTAGTGCGGACGTTAATCCACACCATGGAGCATTGCATCCACAGTGCATGCCTATAAAAATATCCACAATTAGTGACCTCCTAGTAGCTGGAGGATTACAGGACAACACCACCGTCCCATTCTGAATTTAAGTTTACAGATATTGAAATTCAGCAAGCTTCGGCAGTATCTAGTTATACAGAGTTAGTAAAAAGTGTGGAGACCCTCTGTTATTTTTTAACGGCCCATACTAGAAAAACTAAACTCGGCACACCTTTATGACATGTTATGAAGTACTTTTTGGGCATAACCGTCACTTGGTGTACATCCCCAAAATGGGGGATTTTGGGTTAAACTCAAAAATTTCAAATACAAAGACCCATCGAGTGACCCCTCATTTTGAAGGTCCTGGTAAAAGAAAACCAACAACGCAAACTAGAGGTCTTTATCTCAATCCAGTAAAAAATGGCAGCTGATTGAAATTCTCAGAAGTTAAATTTAACTTACAGCTTTCCAAGTCTGGAGACCCGCTGTAAATTTTTTAACGGCCCATACTAGAAAAACTAAACTCGGCACACCTTTATGACATGTTATGAAGTACTTTTTGGGCATAACCGTCACTTGGTGTACATCCCCAAAATGGGGGATTTTGGGTTAAACTCAAAAATTTCAAATACAAAGACCCATCGAGTGACCCCTCATTTTGAAGGTCCTGGTAAAAGAAAACCAACAACACAAACTAGAGGTCTTTATCTCAATCCAGTAAAAAATGGCAGCTGATTGAAATTCTCAGAAGTTAAATTTAACTTACAGCTTTCCAAGTCTGGAAACCCGCTGTAAATTTTGTAGCGGCTCACTATAGCATAACTAAACTCTACACACCTTTTTGGCATGTTATGAAGTACTTTTTAAGCCTAATAGCCTCTTGCTTACCAAACCCAAAATGGGGGATTTTGGGGGAAACTCAAAAGTTTTAAATGATAAGCCCCATCGAGTGACCCCTCATTTTGAAGGTCCTGGTAAAAGAAAACTAACAACGAAAACTAGAGGTTTCTATCTCAATCCAGTAAAAAATGGAAGCTGATTGAAATCTTTAGAAATCGGAAATAACTTGCAATATAATATTCAATTGGCTGCCATATTTTACTGTGTTAAGATAGATACATATAGTTTGCGTTGTTCGTTTTATTTTATTATGACCTTCAAAATGAGGGGTCACTCGATGGGGCTTATCATTCAAATTTTTTAGTTTCCCCCAAAATCCCCCATTTTGGGTTTGGGAACTTATGAGATTTTCAATTGGCTGCCATTTTGTACTGAACTGAGATAAAGACCTCTGATTTGCGTTATTGGGTTTCTTTTACCAGGACCTTCAAAATGAGGGGTCACTCGATGGGTCTTTGTATTTGAAATTTTTTAGTTTCCCCCAAAATCCCCCATTTTGGGGATGTACACCAAGTGGCGGTTATGCCCAAAAAGTACTTCATAACATGTCATAATGGTGTGCCGAGTTTAGTTTTTCTAGTATGGGCCGTTAAAAAAATACAGGGGTTCTCCACACTTTTTACTAACCCTGTATTGTCTACAGTTTTATCATTATACATCCTCTATTATTTATGACTAGCTGTTTACCCGTTCTACGTACGGGAATCTTGTAGTAAGTTGAAACCTTATATTCAGAGCAGGAGTTGGTTTGCATATTTAGTGTGCATTTTTCCAGGTATGCTGGCAAAACTATTACTGTATAGGAATACATATAAACCTTCGCAAATACAATATCTGACAGTTTCAAAGCCAAAACGAATGCTTTGCAATTAAATGTTACCCGATCGTGTTAGTCCATATTTTATATCTAATGATAAAAGGAATTGCTTTATAGATCTATGAGGCATAGCCCTAAGGTAGGCCTGTAATTGAAAGTTACTTTTCACACTGGTTAAAAGTAGTTAAAAAACTACCTCAACCTCACTACTGCACACTTTATTCGGGTTGAAATTTTCATTAACAAAGGTGCTCTTTTCTTTTCCAAGAAACACTGAGAAATAAGGACATTAATGCGTTACCAACAGACATACACACACAATAGCAGAATTGAATTAGGGGATTCGCTACCCTTTAACCAAAGCAAATTACAAACAAAATAATTATTTGAAAGTTTTGATTGTGTCATCAAATGTTATGATAATCGTTTTTAGGCCTAATCAAACTGTAAAATTTGTGTAAATCCGTTGGCAAATATATAAATGAGTAAATAAATACACAGTCCACAAACAATTTATTCGTTAACAACGCCAAGCTTTAAAAATTCATGATGGTTTGCTAAAAAATCTTTCAATAATGTTTTATCATTTCATAGCATAAACTAACATTTTGGAGTCCAGACAGAAAATGCAAAAATTATACAGTAGGACATCAATTAAATTTAATAAGAAATAAGGTGCAGCACTAACGATAACTATAGTTTTAAATATTGATGTGTTTCTACATAAAAATGATTCTTACTGCTACCACCGGTTCTAAGGAAAAGTAGCAGTACCATAAACCAACGTTTACATTTAAGAAAAGAACTATAGTACTTACAACCAATTCAAACTGTCCTTCTAATCAAACTGTTTTATATAGGTGTTAATCCGTTGGCAAATATATAAATAAATAAATACACAGGCCACAAAACATGTAACATGTAACGTTAACAACGTAAAGCTTTAAAACTCACTATGGTTTGCTAAAAAAAACTTTCACTTGATGTGGTGCAGTACCGAAGTTATTAATCTCCCTTGGTTTTAAATGTCTTTTAAGTTTTCAAGAATCAAAGTTATTTCCCATTAATAGCATTATTTGTAAGCAACTTTCAATGTTAACATATTAATGACAGTTTGAAGAAACCACCTTTATCCAAACAAAGGTTTCTTATGTAAAAGATTACGTAATCTCTCTCTAAACGATAATTGGTACATATATCTAGCAAACATTCGGAGGAAATGTGACAAAAAACGCACAAATCTGGGGTTTTGGACATTTGTAGTTATACTTCCTAAGTAGGAAAAGTACCGATATCGTTGTCGAAATGTAAGTAGTAAAAAAACAAAAGTGACACATTGGAAAAGCGAGTTTAGCTACATCTGTAAGTTAAACCTCTGTTACGATCACGGCAAAATCAGAAAGATCTTCCAAGATCGCAGCAACATCCACGATCACCCAGTCACCCACTGCAGTTGTGATTTTTTACTTTGCACTTTACACAACTGTCCTTGAAGCGCCGTCAATGAGTGGAAACCTTTTTTGTAAGGCACAACGTTTTTAATCTCACTTGGTTTGGATGTGCTAACAAAACTTGATCGGAAATGGTTGCGGTATTTGTAAACAACTTTTACTGTAAACATAATCAGTGACAGCTAGAAGTGAGAACTAATCCAAACAGCTGATCGTTATTTCATCAAATGTAATAGTAAACATTAGGAGAAAATTTGACAAAAATCGAACAAAATTGGGTTTTTGATAACACGTTATTTTGTTTTCAAAGAAGCGAGGCCAGGTTTTTATAGCCAAAGACACTCTCACCTATCCAGTAAATACAGACAAATGATTAGAACCTTCATCGGTACTCTAGTTTTCTAGGAGTAGGCCGCGTAAAATGACATTTTGGCGTTACAGACGCAACCACAGAATGGACAAACAGACAAACAGACAGAAATTGAGATAAGACTCGTTTCGGCTTTCTTAGGCTATGAAACCTAAAAATAACCAAAAACTGCATGATTCTAAGCAATGTACAGGCAAAACTGTAATTTTATTTGTATAGATTAGAGTATTTACTTGACTTCTAAAACTTCAGATACTAACACTCGTTGATGTTTGTTTCAGCTCATCGGATTACCCCGACCTGACTGGGGGATAGTCATTTCTAGTACTTGTTATGGTATTGTTATTAGTTATTGTCTTGTATAAAGTGTAAAGTAATGCATCAATAAATATAATTAATTTGTGCTGAGGCTGATGTTTACTTAAGATTTTTCACATGTCCTCGGTATAAACAAGGCCACACTAAAAAAACAAGCCGTAATGCTCGTCAAGCATGACGTCACGATAGAAGACGGCAATTACGTAATGTTTGCCGTCTGTGATCAGCTTCTTGTTTTAATCTTTCCTTGGAAAATAAATAAATAAATACCTACGTCATTGCCTTCTTCTATCGTGACGTCATGTTTGACGAGCATTACGGCCTGCTTTTTTAGTGGCCTTGGTATAAAGTGGTAGACACAATCCAGAAAATATCCATGTAAAGCAAAACCACATAAAGGAAGGATCGTTGATTGACTACTGCATTAGGTTTAAAATTTATTCTGCAGCGTTTAAGTTTGTTATGTTATTTTGATCAAAGTAGGCTAATTTCATTATACATTGCAATTGTTAAACTTACCGGTAATTTTGGTTTGAAGCCAGATAAATCACCTGTGGTGAATACTTTTCTCTCCATTCACTGAGTTGTACTAGGCTTGTTCATAAATAAACTGCTGGTCAGTTGTGAAGAAAATAAACTGTATCAGCATTCTGACACATACTTTCTCCCATAAGCTCGTCAACAACCTTTATCATGGGTAAGCGGTAATAGTAGGCCTAAGTTGTGTATTATTCCAGCTTCAAGAACAAATTATTAATAAACTAGTTTACCTTGTGGTTGCCAGATTCTTGAAATGAGTATATATCTTGCTCGATGTACATTTACTGAACTACAACCTCAACCAAGCCGAGTACACCAAAGAAAAACAAATAATAGAAAATATAGCAATTAACAATGGATACGACCCTCATATTATCGATAAAATGATCAATAAAATACTAAAGAAACTAAAACCTAACCCTCCAACAGACATCATAGATGACAAAAAGACAATAGAACGAACTAAATATATACCAATCAACTATACTGATCAAATAACATAGAAAATTGGAAAAGTCTTCAACAATGCAGGATATAAACCAGCATACAGTGTAAAAACAAATCCCGTCCCAAACTACAGAATAGCTGAGAAAACTGACATCCCAATAGAACAAGAAAGAGGCGTATATAAAATAACATGTGCACCACCATGTCAAAAAGAATACATTGGCTATACTAACAGATCATTTAAACAGCGATTCAAAGAACATAATGCCAGCCACCACGCCAATCCAGAATCATTAGTCGCCAAACACCTGAAAAGTAATCAGAACCACCACATCTCATTTCCAGAATCATTAACAATCCTCAAACGCACAAATTCTAAGTCAATAGCGAAAGTCCAAGAAAGCTACCACATATATAAACATACCCATAGTTCAAATGCAGACACCCTGTTAAACAAAAAAGAAGATTACAACAATTCAATAATTTTCAAACTTATAAACCATCTAGAAGATCAATGTGGCAACAGCGCAGAGACTTGGCAACGTCGCAGTCCAAGAAGAGAAAGCTCTAACATCATAAACTCACCCCCATCCCCTGACCGAACCTCCCCAAACAAAGCTCCTCAAGCCAGTTGTCAGTCAAATAGTGACACATGTAGTGCCTCCGGTCCGCGCACGCGTTCGCGCGCTGTGTTCCTATGACTTTACGTACCGTAAATCGTCATCCGACCGAAAATGTAAATATTTGTAAATAGTGTTTGTGTTAAATAGCCTAATGTGACAAACTGTGCTCCTGACGATGCTACACATGTAGCGAAATGTACATCGAGCAAGATATATACTCATTTCAAGAATCTGGCAACCACAAGGTAAACTAGTTTATTAGTAGGCCTAAATATGATATTTTATAGTTAAAAATCACAAAAGTTGCAATAATTTTTGAACCGTAATTGTTACAGCAATGGGGTGTTGTACCATCTTTTTAGAATTTTAAGGACCATAACACATCTTCCTCTGACAGTAGAATCAATCCTACTCCTTCCAAAGATGTACAGAATTTAAGTATCTAGGAATGATTATTGATCAATATAACACAGAAGAAACTGAAATTAGATCACGACTGCTCAGTGGTGACAGATGTTACTGGTCCTTGCAAAACCTATTGAAAAGTAAACTTTTATCCAGAAAAACCAAATTAAAAGTCTATAAGACTATTATACTGCCTATAGTTACCTACGGATCTGAAACGTGGGTACTAACCAAACAAGATGAAAAGAAGCTAATAATTTTCGAAAACAAAATTCTCAGACATATATATGGCCCAATTGAAGAAGAAGGAATTTGGAGGATTAGAACAAATAAAGAATTACGTGAGGTCTACAAAGATCCGGATATTACTGCACTAATTAAAAGCCAAAGATTTCGATGGGCAGGACATGTCTACAGGAGACCTGAAGAGTCAGTCTTGAGAACAGTGACGGATGCTGTACCTGTAGGAAGAAGACCTTTAGGACGTCCAAGGCTGCGATGGTGGGACCAAGTCCGGAGGGATATGAGAAGGATGTCCGTTACAGAGGAGATGATGAAAGACCGAGAAAGATGGCGCAAAGCTGTTGGAGAGGCCAAAAACCTGCTTAGGTTTGAGTGGCCAGCTAGGTAAGGTAAGGACCATAACATATTAATTTTGATCAAAACCAGCTTTTTCTCCAAATATCCGATTTTTGTTGTTGTTATTTTATGGTTTTCATGGGGAAATAACATAAGTTTCAATAAGTTTTTAACGGTAATTTGTACAGAAATCGGATTTGTACCATTGTGTTCAAAATTTAAAGGAATACTAAACTTTTAAGAAAATCGTTACGGTAGGGCCATTTTCGAGAAAATCCAATTTTCCGTTTTTTTAGGTGGTTTTATGAGAAAATCCAAATCTAAATTTAAAAAAAATGAAAAAACTCAAAAGTTTTAAGGACCATAACATACTAAGAGCAAAACCGCCTTTTTTCTAAAATGCAATATTTGTTATTTTATGGGGTTTTTATGGGAAAACAACATAATTTACAATAACTTTTGGACCGTAATTTTTACAGAAATGGGAGTCGTTCAATTTTGTTCCGAATTTAAAGGGCTACAACATACTAAATTTTTATCAAAATCGTTCAGGCCATTTTTGAGTAAATCAGATTTTTCTGTTATTTTATGGGAAAATCAACATTAAAAATCAAAATTTAAAAAAAAATTAAAAAACACCTGGAGATACCATGGATTAGAACCTACACACCTAAATTCATCAAAATTGGACCACAGGTGTAGTCTCTAGCTCTGTACACATCCAGAATATGCGAGTAGTGAGTGAGTTGACGAACGCTACAGTTGCAGGGCCGGGCAGGATGGTGGTGGGGGGAGGGGACCGGAGCGTGAGAGAAATGATGATGATATCTTTAAAAAACGATTCCGATACGACCATTTGACCGAGTTAATATCTGAAAACAGCAAAATTCTTTACAAAATGACTACTTGCGATTAAAAAAAAATATCACAGCAACAAAAGTTTATAAAACTTTTTTGTAAATATATTTTTTTTTTATCATCACACTATCGCGAATGTTTTATTTAGGCTAAATTATTAACAAAACAAAAATCGGACAATAATTACGGAAATTATTCGTGCAAATTTGCCGCAGAGGTGCTGCTATCTATCGGACTAGAAACACAACTTTTTCAGGGACATTTAGCCTTAATAAGAAACTTTGATACATAGTAAATACAATAAAACTTCTAATTACTGGCATAATTACAAAGCGCTAGTGGAATTTTGGCAAATCACCTGGAACATTGATAATATGATATCAGGTTGACTCGTTGACTTCTCCCTACCATTAACCACCCAAAACGCCCCCTCCCCCCCCCCACACACACACGCCCACGCACACACAAGCACACGCTGTATCAGCTGTCTGTATCAGAGGTCAACCGTGTTCTGTCTAAGTAACATGTCGACCTTAGTTGGTAACAAGACTACATGATCGCCCCACACTCATCTCCATTCATACTTGGCTTAAAATACCTACCTTCGTATGGCCGCCATTTCAATTAAAAAAATACAACGTACAAAATCAATGAAAAGGAAAGGATATATTTGTAGGTATGTATAATGAAAAAGTTATAATAAAATAAACTTTATTTTTAACAGTGATATAAAAGTATACAACAATATTCAGTACCAAAAGGATATTTAATTCTACATTACGTATAACAAAAGAATACATTTATAATTTTACAGTTGTTAAAATTGTTACTTTTAATAATATGAATAAATACTTTATTACCGTACTTACAAATCGTAAATTAATTAATACAAAGTACATATCAATAAAGTCGCCACCTGGACCTACTCAAACTTGGCTCAAAAAGGGTGAGTTAGAATTTCCAGTTTCATAAAATGCAATAAGTAGCTTTTTTGAATCTAGCTAAACAATTCGTCGCGTGCAAGTTGAAGGGGCGTGAGTACATTTATCATATGTACTTACGCCCCTTTGTCTTGCAAGCATCAAATTGCATGGCTACATTTTTAAACTGGAATTTCAAACGCATGTTATGCTTGTATGAATAGACTTTCACTAGCAAGTGGCTACAAATTAATTGCATCAGTCTTTGATTTTTGGGTTCAAGTTGATTAATTTGGCAGTAATAAAATCGAGAAATTATATAAGAATTAACTTACTTATAGTAACAAAACACAAAATTAATACTAAAATACTTTAATAGATTACTGAGTTGTAGTGGTCGATTATAATTTTTTCAGCATAAAAAATCTGGTAGTTTATTTTAAAAAGTAGAACACTAGTAATATGGTAAACACAATGGATCCGATTTGTCAATTACTTATAAGATTGAATGGTTGAGCCAACATTAATTATTTATTTGTTTGCTTCCACATTTTATTGATTTTTCAATTTAAATTCTAATTCATTGCATGGATAAGTATTTTAATTTAACCTGGCATTAATTAAATTATGCTTAATCAACCTCAAATGTGACAGCACCTTCAGTATACAATTGAATATTATAAGAAAAGGGAGTAGAGCGTGCACCATGTTCAAATTCCAAATCACAGTTTGGATTTTAAAGACGACATGAGTTTTTCTAACTTCATTGCTTTCTTCAGATCTCCGTGTATCTTCAGTTTTCCTGTCATAAACGCTGCTGCTGGTTTCAAATTGCCTGAAAGTTCATGAATTCTTTATAGTGTTTTAAGGAAGTAAAAGCACTTAGGTTACAACTCTGATACACAGATCAGATACAATACAAAACTATCGATCCTTTGGAGAAGGGCCTCTAAACTCAAGTGTATAAGAACCAACTAGCAATTAGACAGTTTAAATTGTTGATAACAGCCTCAAGAAAGGAATGGAAAAGAATGCTAGGCCTACAAGTTATAAGCATACTGGAAGGGTTGTTATCAGACCATGGACCAAAGAGCAAGCACCTTAGAAACAAAGGACTCAGCCAAAAAGACGGATGCATATTATGTGCTTTTACAGAGGTAGAATTTGCTGAATATTTGTGGCTAGATTATCTAACTCGAGCCCAGAAAAGGATGAAATTCCTAGAAAATGCCAAATGACCACGTGGGGTGCTATAGGGGGGGGGGGAGGAAGGCTTTGGCCCCTCCCATTGGACCCTAGAAATATTTCCACCATAAATACGTAACGGAGGTGTTTGGTCACAATTCTAGACCTTTGAATGGCTTTAGAAATAGCGTGTTTTTTTTGGGCAGGATCCCTGATGTGGAACAACCCTGACAAGGTCCTAGAACCATCACTGGCAAGGAGCAAGGTATGGCCATACCCCAATCCACCACACCAAAAATGCCACTTTTTGGGTGTAATTTAATACCTGGTACTAAACTACTTCTTAGGTAATACAGTTGAGTTGCGATTCCTTTATGAGACAATAACTGCAAAGAAACAATTTCTCTAGGAATGAATTTTTTTAAGAGAACAAAGATATAAGTGTATAAATCTTTACATAAAAAACTGCATTTTTTATTATGTCATATTCAAGAGTAAATTTCGTGACTAATACAAACCAGAGAAGAGTTTGTGAAAGTTGACGTCTGTCATTGCGAGGGTTGCGTCGGGAGTGGAAGGAGCTTTGCCCTTGCCACAAGACCCGACTCCGTTCTTGAGATCAAGAAACCAGTTTCTCTCCTCAGGACCAGTCAGGTTGAACTGATAAATGGACTGCACCTGTCATACACACCATTCCACATTCTAGAAACTTTGATCATCATTACAATCTTACTACAAGTATATATGATGACTATGTCATTATTACCAGTAAATATTTATTATATATATGCCAACTAGAGATCTGTGAGTGACTACATTTTTGAGCTCAGTCGAGCTATTATTTTTGTGATGGTATCGTGATCACAAAAAACACCTGCAAAGATAGCAGGTGAGATTTATAAAAGATTTGAAATTAACGATTAAGCAGCTCGCACCAGAAGATAATTAATAATTTACTGCTTCCATTGTAAAATTTGTTGTTAATACTTGGACCTACATCAACAACTCCTAGGTGTCTTGAATTTCACATTATAAAGAATGCCATAACTAATCATTTTTCAGACAATTCAGTAAAAGCACAAGATAATAACTTCTATGTCTGGAAGACATGGCAAGAAAATAAACAAAGATGGTCCAGGTAGTTAAGCGTGTTATGGATTTAGAAACTCTACATGCTTCCTTAGTCCTATATTTTCTGACCATCAGACTTACTTTCTTCACTAATTCCTCGTTAAGGCTGTTTGATATGGCAGTAAATATCTTCTCCACATCAACGTCAGACTTTTCCCCAGCTGGTTTGGCTTCCGTCTTGGATTTATCTATCTTTACATTGTGTGATGAAACAATTGTGTCTGGGTGAGTGTCGAGGAAAAAGTCCGGCATCAGATTGTCCTTATTTGCTGCAAACATAAGTTAAATCAAAAGAAGGTAGAGATAGATCACAGATCTTGTCGAATGATAAAATACTGACTACATTGGGTAAATGATTAGTAGTAATAACAATGATTTTTGGTATATGTATTTAAATTTTGGATTTTCTCGATAAAGGTACCATGTTCAAGTTCCAAAGGTTTTTGAATATTTCAGAAGTTTATTTTTGGTTCTCAGGCAAGATCACATTAGATTAAGGATTTTTTAGTATAAAAATCTCACGGTATTATTGTTATCACAGGAAATGATCACAATGTTGCCACAATTGTAGGAAATGATTACGATCACAGGAGATGGTGTTTGCATGACAATACTACGATTCTAGTGTAGAGTTTTGAAAATTAACTATAAGTTATTCAAAAGAAAGCATACAATGGCGAGAATCGATTTTTACATTGGATTCTTTATTATCATACAAATTTTACCGAGATTTAAGATTAAAAATTTGGGGATTCACATGGAGTTTAAGAAATGGATTGTCTTTGATTGAACACTGGCTTACAACTTACAAGGTTCACAGGCATACTGGTCTATCTGGACCTGGCTGACACCTTCTGCTCTCAGCACATCCTCGTCAATACAGAACTGACCGGTGAAGCTGCGTGAGTCCTTGCAGAGTATTGCGTACGCAGCATCTGCGACAATCTCAGGTTTGCGTGAGTGTCGCGCAGACTCCTGACCCGTTAACATCTCTATTGCTGCTGTCAGGATCGCTGGAACACAACAATGCTTTAAAATCATGATCTTAACAGATTTGCTAATTAAAGGAATCATAGGTTAAACTATCTTTTGTCAAAGGTGGTACTCATGTCCTACATAGTGGTCCCTAACAAACGTCAAAGATCATTGTTCAGAACAGAAAGTAAATTAATTTCATTCTAGGCTATTGCATTGTAATTGCATGAACGGGTTCATAGTTTTTCAAATTTATAAAATGAAATTTAGTTTAAAACCCAATAATGAGTTGTAAAATTTTGTAGTAAAAAAATTAATATATTAATCACCGGGATTTTGATTAGTAACAACATTTAGATAGTAACAACTTATAAGTGCCACCTTAGGAATATTTAAGCGCTTTGAAGCATTGAGTAGCCTATTAGAAAATTTGTTTTGTAAGCTACCTTGAAGCAGTAATTGCTACAAGGTTTAAATTGTAGAAAAGTGAGCCAGTAATCAAAAACTGTAATCTGTGTGTCCCAAAAACATTCCTCTTTGATTTATTCTGTTCAGTGGCGGTTTAGAAATTACTAACATCAGTGGCAATACAAATCATAATGATTACATTGTAGTTTTCACTCTTGCCACTAATGGTTCAATGGTGTTTCTTATCAGCCTAATAAGGTAGTTTTGAAGGTTCATGAGGCAGATCTGCAAGTCGATATCAAATCTAGGACACCATAGGCTCCCATAGCATTCTGATCTGCAGAAGAATGATACAGATCTACAAGAAAAAATCACTAACCTTATGTTCAGGGCATCTCCTAAACTCCTATGCCTTTTTACAAACGTAAAACTAAAGTAGGCCAATGAACCATTCTTGTAGTTCTGTTATTTTTTAAGAGGAACTAAACTGCAAACTTATAAAAACCTATTAGGCCTACTCATTTTTTTGCTGTCTATCTTTTCTAAACCCCTTTAATAAAGTTAAATATTTGTTGGCAATTTTCTTTCAAGCAACATAATTATTTTAAACCTAAATAATAAATAATGAAATCTAAAATGTGTAAAAATACCGGTCTTTGGCCAGAGAGCATTGACAGCGATCCCTTCAGCCCGAAACTCCTCCGCCATGCCGAGCACACACATGGACATCCCGTACTTGGCCATGGTATACGCTACGTGGTTCTGGAACCAGTGAGGGGACAAATTCAACGGGGGGCTGAGGTTCAGAATGTGGGGGTTGGAACTCTTCTTCAGATAGGGGATGCATACTTTGGATCTGCAATATGCGGTAGAACAATGATACAGACCCATCAATCTTTTATCCTAAAGGAAGTCTACTTACTAGTTCCATTTAACAAAAATCTACAAAATAATGCCATCAAGAATTATAAATAAAAATTATTTTTTCAAGCGATTCTCAGTTGAACTGACTTTTACTATGACTTTGTTAATAGTTACAAAAGATTGTACTTAATTAATCTCAAAATCAAAAGAGTCAAAACTCAAAACAAAATAAACCAAAACCATTCTGATCATAACTGTATTTATTCTAGTTTAATATTCTATTTTAACGCATTTATAAATCTCTTTCCCTAAACTAATAACTCTTTAAGCAAGAGTCATTCCATTTATTAATATCTTTTGTATAATAATTCCATTATGATTTGGTAACCTTAGCAACCCATCAGACGCACAGGCAGCACCTGCCTATGTATGCTGTATTTCATAAAATCGTCAAATTAATTAATACAGAAATGTTCTTTTTTATTCTTAGCCTTAGTTTATATTTTGTAATTGTGATTATATTTTGTATTAAAAAGTATGTTTCTTTCTGTATACATTATGTGGAAATAAACGTATATTTCATTCATTCATTCATATACCGGTATGATGTTTATTTAGCTTAACGTAGCTTCTAAATTTACATTAAAAACCCAAAGAAAGATCATTGAAGCAGTTTAGAGTTTGTTGTACTGTTTTAAAAGGAATCCAAACACATCTAAGAGGTGTTTAAATCCCCTAAAATTAGAGATACAGTACAAGTAGATAAACAAAAATGCATTCAAAATATATTTTATCAAATAGTTAAAATATTTCCGTCCAACATAAGAATTTTAAAAACAAAAAGTATTTGGTGATGTTTCATGTTTTGTAGATTGTGACTGGTTGGGGACCACTTGTTGTTGTTTACAGTCTTAGACATAAAACTTAATCAATTAGGCTTAAGTGATCCGATTCAGCTCAAGGGCATCTTAAATTTTATGTTATCGATTACATTTGGCTATAAATAGCATTACACCAAATATCAATTGGTTTCTATGCATCATTCACAAAAATGAGGATCAAATGTTTTACAATGAAAACGATAATATTGTTAGGCCTAGCACAATGTAAAAATTGTAAAACTATCTTGAGGTGTGGCATTATGGCATGGTTGAATTCAACAAACACTACAAAGATATTTTAAATGTGAAACAAATTTAACGGAACTACTGTATTTAAAGGTCCCTTGTACACAGAGCCTGCAACCAGATCAATATAAAGAATGTCTAGTTGTATCCATTCTATAAGAATAGCAACTTACACTAGGAACGTCCCTCGAGTGTTGATATTCTGCATGAGGTCGTATCGCTTCATATCTGTGTCCAAAGTGCTGGTGAGGGAGATGGCGCTGGCGTTGTTGATGAGAATGTCAATCCCTCCGAACTTGTCCACTGCCTGTTGTACTGCCGCGGCAATCTGTGCCTCCTCCCTCACATCCACCACACATGGCAGCGCAGCACCTCCGGCTGCTTCCACTACCGGTCGCAAGGAAAATAATTATATATCAATAACTCATCTAAGCAAAATGTGTCAAGGATTTTCAGAAGTATTTAATTTGTATCATTAACTCTTTGAATTGTTTAGATTGTTTGACTTGACTGTGTTTATCTGTGTTATAAATTATCATCTTCTCTAATCTAATGAAACATAAACCAATACTATAGTTTATACATATTTACCATCTTGTTAAAACAGTATAAGTGTGTAAATATTATGTTTCAAGTGTTATTAGACATATTTTTATTTACTCTCTGTGTCTGTATGTGTAAATAAATGTGTTTAATTTTGATTAAATTTGGTATTTGGGCATTTTTTATGGTGTTGTTCTCATTAAAACCCATAAGATAACGGAAAATAAAATATTCTAAAAAATAGCCCAAACTATTTGATTTTGATTAAAAGTTAGTATTTTATCTGTGTCATAGTCCTTTAATTTTAAATCCAAACAAAAGAGTACAACCCCCATTTCTGCAAAAACTACAGTTCAAAAGTTATTGCAACTTTTCTTTGTTATTTTACCCATAAAATAGAAAATACCAGTCTTTCTCCCACCGCCCATGATAAGGGTTGTTGGCTAGCTAATGGGAAAAACTATGTGTCAGATTGCTGATCCGGTTTATTTGTTTAGCATTCAATTAATTTTCAAAGAATACAGGATGTGTTCTTTATAACAATAATGCCTATAAAATGGGAAATTGTTTTAAAAACAAATAAAGGTCAAGGGTTTATTTTTTAGTGGGTTATAACATTTATGTTAGTTAATCGTAATGATAATATTATTAGATGACCTGAACATCTTCAGTCGACTAAATCTTTATTCAACTAGGCTACAAAAAAACTGTAGAAAATACAAATCTACAAAATCTTCATCTGGAACAAACTGAAAGTGAAGAAAACACAAGCATACTGGTTCTATAAGCACAAGTAAGACTTGTGTATTTTCATTTGGAGCAGTATCACTGTAACAATTTTGAGATGAGGACGCAGCTCAAGCGTTATTTAATTGGAAGGTGAATGGGACTATTTGTCTAGTTTTGTTACTAACTAAGATCAGATAAGGACAGCTGGGCCCAGCTTAAAACCATTTAAAAGCTGGTGACTTATTAGAATCAAACCAGCAGCAACCTTCCAATCATTAGGTGTGCACTATATCCACTTGGCTAACCAGTTATTTGTCAGGTCTACATATGGTAACACTAACAAAAGGAAACCAATGATATTACATTTAATTTGTCTATAAAACTAAAACACAGACCTTCTTTGGCAGCAGTGTAGATAGTTCCCGGCAGTTTTGGATGAGGTTCCGCTGTCTTGGCAGCAATGACGATATTCGCACCATCCTTTGCTGCCTTGAGTGCAATTGCTTTGCCGATTCCTCGACTAGCTCCTGTGATGAAAATGGTGCGACCAGCAAGCTTCCTGCAAATACAGTAGTTACAAACTCCATGCATCTTGGTTACAAACCACCAACAAGCTAAAGGGTTTTCTTGATTGAACTGCTGACCTTTGTATTGGACACCATAACCACTAAGCTACCCAGACTCTCCATAAATTATTGTAACATTTGCAATTAGTGATCGTCAAAACCAGAAATTTCAAATCTCGAAAACAAAAACAAAACTTAAAAAATCTACCTAATCCTGAATCTCGAATTTCAAAACCTGAATGCGAAACATTTTAGTTACCAGGTCAAGGTTGCTAAAAAATAAAAAATAAAAATACAGGAAATGATAACATTTTCATTATGATTATGCGATCGAAACTGAAAGAGATTGACTCCTGATCCAGACATAATAACATAAATGTGAGAGATAAACTTCAATTTAAAAATAACATATATTTTTTATAAACAACTAGCATTAAATTAATGAAACTTTTGACATTGAAATAAACATGAATATTACATTAATTAGAACATTTAGTGGTCAATATTTCTTTGTGTTTAATAAATATCGAATATCGATATAAAACTGAATTGTAAGTTGTTTAAGATACCTTTTGCAGTTCAGAATACAATTGACAGTACTTGTTTCTGTTCTATTTCTTATTTAGATTAAAATTAAAAGATCAAAAGAAACTAAACTGTTTTTAATCAAGACATTAATACAAGACAATATTATTAAAGAAAGTAAATAAAAAACATATGGTTAAAAAATAATTAAATAATCATAGAGGTTGAACATCTTTCCCTTTGAGTTTTTTTTTTTCTCAAAGTTTATTCAGGAAATCGTTTGGTTGGTCTTATAATTCTGCCTCTTGATGATTTTTTAATTGCAGCTTCTTGATTGGGAATTGTTGATCGTGAAAAAGATTTACTGTAATCTTGGGGTGTTCTAGATGGAGTAGTAGTTGCTTTTTCAGTAGTATTTGATAGGGACGAGTTGGTTTGAGTAACAGTAGTAAATGGCAGAGTATCTGGCATTGTATCTTTAATGGATAAAGGAATAGGATTGTTCGGTTTGGTTGTATTACCTTTGTAAGGCAAAAGGTGGTGTCGATTCCTTCTCAACGTAGTGTTTCCTGTCTTAACCCAGTATGACCTTGGCTCTTGTCCTAAGCTGATAATAATCCCCTCTCTTTTTAGGTCTTGGATCCATACTTTTTTACCTACAGGCAGCGATGGAAGTTCTTTTGTAGCGTAGCGCCTATCGTAGTTTCTCTTGTAAGATGCTCTGTAAGTATCTTCTTTTTCCTGTAGTTGGGAGAGATCGGGTTTGATTTCAAGTTTTTTAGGTAAAACAGGCAGATTATCTCGCAGTGATCTGTTGTATATTAGCTGAGCAGGACTGTATCCACTTGTGGATAGAGGTGTATTGCGGTAGGTTAGGAGGGCCAAATATGGGTCGTCTTTGTTTTTCTTTAGCACACTCTTCGCTATTTTGACTGCAGCTTCAGCTGCACCGTTACTTTGGTGGTAGCTTGGACTGCTCGTCACAAGTTTAAAGTTATAGCTTTGAGCAAACTTTTTGAATTCAGAGTTTTCAAGACCAGTGTATCTGGTAGCAAACTGTGTACCACAATCAGATCGTAGCTCAATTGGTATACCGTGACGGCAAAATACAGATTTACATTTTTCGATTATTTCAGCAGTTGACAGGTTTTTTAATGTAGCTATTTCAAAATAACGTGAAAAACAGTCAGTGATTACTACGAACCATGTTCCTTCAAGTTTAAAGAGATCAATCGCTGCCTTTTCCCAAGGACGAGATGGAAGCTCACTGGGCAAAAGGGGTTCATGATGTTGTGTTCTATGTTCAGTACATTTAGGACAATCATTAACAAATTTCTCAATGTCAAGTGACATTCCTGGCCACCACATACTATTGTTGGCTCTAAGTCGACATTTCGTTATGCCTAGGTGGCCTGTATGTATTCTTGTCAACATTTCTTGTCTAAGAGTTGTCGGGATTATGAGACGTTCTCCTCTAAGCAATAGTCCGTCACAAAAAGAGATTTCATCCCGAACTGTGAAGTATGGCTTAAGATTATCGGGAATCTTAGTTTTATCAGGCCATTCAGTTGAGCAGTAAGATTTAATTACCCTGAGTTCTGAGCTAGCCCGCTGTGCCGATGCAATTCTATCAAGAACCATGTCAGTTACATAGGCAATGTTTCTTGTTACTGTGTGGATGGCCAGTTCAACTTCCTCATCCAAATCATAACTCTCATTAGTTGCTACAGGGCTTCTTGAGAGACAATCAGCAGTTGCTAAATGTTTGCCAGGAGTATATGTAACATTGTAGGAATATCTCATCATTCGAAGTCTGAGCCTTTGAAGACGGGGTGTCATATCATTGACCTCTTTAGTAGTCAAAATACTTACTAAAGGTTTGTGATCTGTTTCCAACGTGATGTGCTTGCCCACAATATAGTCTTTAAACTTGTCACAGCTCCATGTTAGAGATAGAGCTTCTCGTTCAATGTTAGAGTAGTTTCGTTCAGTTTCGCTCAGAATACGTGAAATATAAGAAATAGGTTTCCAATTTCCATCTGTTTGTTGTTGTAAAAGTACTCCACCCAAGCCTTGTGTTGATGAGTCAGCAGAAATCATAGTTGGTTTATCCTTGTCATAGAATGCTAGTTGAGGTGGAGATGCCAATAATTCTTTAAGTTCATCGAATGCTTTCTGTTGTTCAAACCCCCAACACCATTCGTTTTTTCTACTTAGAAGGTCGGTAATGGGTTTTAGTAATCTACTTTTGTTAGGTATGTATTTGCCAATAAAGTTAACCATGCCAAGTAACCTTTGTACACCCAAAATATCTGTTGGAGGTGCCATTTTTCTTATAGCTTCGACTTTCGTCTCATCGACTTTGATTCCTGATTCGGATAGATGGTGACCTAAGTAGGTTAAGGAGGTTTGAGAGAACAAACATTTGTCTCTGTTTAAGGTGAAGCCTGCACGTTCAAGTTTGGTAAGTACTTCTTCTAAGAAATAGTCATGTTCTTGTTGAGTTTTCCCCCAAACAATTATATCGTCCATGTGCGCAAGTGCATTCATTTGACCTTTAAGGGTTCGATTCACGCATTCCTGGAATACTTCTGGTGCAGATGTTATTCCAAAGGGTAGTTTCAGAAATTTAAAGCGTCCAAACGGTGTCAGGAACGTTGTCAAATCTTGGGATTCTTCGTCCAATGTGATCTGCCAGAATCCATTATTAGCATCCAATTTAGAGTAGCATTTTGCTTCTGAGATTTGGGCAAGTGTTATGTCGATGGGTTGAATAGGATAGTATCTTCGTTTGACGCATCTGTTTAATTTAGTAAGATCCACACAGATGCGAACTTTGTTAGAGTCCTTCTTTGGTACAACAACCATTGGAGAGCACCAGTCTGTGGCATGGTGTACCTCAGCAATCACCCCCATTGACACCATTCTTTCAAGCTCTTCTTTAGTAGATTCCCAAAGAGGAAGAGGAATCCGACGAGGTGTGTTGATTGCAAATGGATTGGCGTTATTTTTCAGTTCTACTTTGTATTTAACATCAATAGAACCTAAGCCTTCAAACAATTTAGGGTGTCTGTTATACCAGTCATTACAGGATGGCTGTATTTCATTGATTCGAGCAAGTAACTGCAATTTTTTTATTGCAGGTTTACCTAGAAGGGGTTGGGAAGTGCCCTTTGAAACATATATAGTCTCATAACATGTTTTGTGATTATGGGATAGTTTGACTGTAGCAGTTCCCAAAATTGACAAAGCTTGGCCATTTGCGCCGCTAAATGTTTTGGATGTGGGATTCAGTTTGATTTTCTTGTTCAATTTAATGTCGGAAGGCAAAATCGTTACGTCTGCTCCTGTATCAATTTTGAAAAGAACATCATCACTGTCGTTCATATTTAACACTACAGACCAAGGATCATCACGTACGGTTTTGTCAACAGAGCCAATTTGAGGGTCTATGTACTGAGAGCAAACATTTTCGGTGGGGTTTTCAAGGGGAGAATCATCATATTCAATTTGACTGACTTTGTTTGATTTGCAAACATTTGGGAAATGACCGACTTTTTTACAAAACCCACATTTGTATTGTTTAGCTGGACAGTTGAATCTTTTGTGTAAAACTGTCGAGCCACACCAAAAACATCTCTTTTCGACATTGGACAGGCTTTTATTGTCATTAATTGGCTTAAAGTATCGATTATTGTTTGATTTATCAGGAGAAATGTTTGATTTACTTAAATGTTGAGTGTTTTGGTTTATTAATGCTATGTCAGCCAAGTTTAGTGTTTGTTTCTGTCTTGTTAGTTCTTCAGATCTACGGATAGTGTTAATAGCTGTGTTAAGTTTTAATTCGGGTTCAAGTTGAAGACGATCACTTAGTGATTCGTCCTGCATACCAATAATCAAAACCATCAGAATCATCTCCTCTTCAATCTGACCCCAATCACAGTTTTTTGCATGATTGTGAAGGTCTGTGATGAAGTTCTCAATCGGCATGGAACCCTGTTTAAGTTTTAGAAACCTAGCCCGTTCAAAAATTAGGTTCTTTTTTGGAAGGAAATGATCGTCAAACTTCTTTAGAACAACTTTGTAATTAGATTTGTCATTGTCATTTAACCTGAATGAGTTAAGTATATCCTCTCCCTTTTCCCCCATACAGTATATAAGCATGTCAATCTGATGCTTACCAGAATGTAGAGCTAAATTGCTAAGGGAATAATACCTCTCAAAGCGAGTCTTCCATGTCTTCCAGTCGTGAGGATTGAAGGAAAAGGCTTCAGGAGGCTTAATGTTCAGGGATACGGGTTCTTCATTCGACTGCGCCATGTTCTATTTCTTATTTAGATTAAAATTAAAAGATCAAAAGAAACTAAACTGTTTTTAATCAAGACATTAATACAAGACAATATTATTAAAGAAAGTAAATAAAAAACATATGGTTAAAAAATAATTAAATAATCATAGAGGTTGAACAGTTTCATTTAGTGTTAATATAATCGAGATGTGTTTGCTCCATTGCTACCAGCTTGTGTGTAAACAATGTTATAAACAATAATAATGACACAAAAAATGTCATCATTTTCTAAAATATAAGTGCCAAAACTTCCTGATTCGAAACTTTTGAATCTCGAAAGTCCCCTATCAAATCTCAAAACCGAAACTTTTCCAAAGTTTTGATGGTTTTGAGATTTGGTTTTGACACATCACAATTTACAATGTTCTTTCTACTCTTTCTGCTTTTCTTAATCAGATTACATAATGCTTTTTAAATTGACAGAAATATTAGAACAGGAAGTAAATAAATAAATGTTTAAATACAAACCTTGTATCCTTTTATATTGAAAATTTGTTTGTAAATGTAAGATAGGCCTGGTAAAATTATTATTTGGAATGTTTTAACTATGGATTCAGTAGATTAGTCTGGATTTTTACGCAAAATAAAAAATATTTACCTAAAATCAATGGTTAAAATACTTAATGACTAAAATTGACTTTGAATCTTAATTTAACCTTGAAATTATAGGTAACTGGGGTTAATACATTTGACCATTTAATATATTTTTTAGCTACTTGACTTAACAAAAATGTCTAAATATCCAGCATTGGTGATGAACATTATTTAAATTATATATAACCTATCCTAGTCCTGGCAGATGAGATTATCTTTACCTTACAACACTCATGGTCGAATCCCTTTGACATTTGAACAACAAAACTATAATGCAAAATTTATTGACTTAAGACAATTATTTCCTGAATTAAGTGACCTTTGGCAATGAAACTGAACTTTGAAGCAAAGGTCAGCTTGTGATAATAGAAAATGATACTGTTCAACAAAACATTACAAATTAGTTAAGTTATCTCCTGCAATAAATCTTCAAAACATTTTATTCTAAAACCAAACAATACACATCACTTCCTTCTTGAATGTAAACATTTTTCTTTTAATTATAACAAGTTTTGTAAAACTAATATCAAAAATAACGAAACAATGAAATACCGGAACTATGCTTAACTGAATTTTAAACAAACTTTTCAAGTGTAAGACAGGTAGTTCAGAAACAACTTTTGAATTGCAACTTATATTGGATAAGCTACTGTCATTTATTTTTGATTATGTAAAAGCCTAAACACAAAGATTGATTGCTGTTGAAGATATAGTTGGAAAGATTTATTTGTTGGGATACTTAAGTCTTATTCCTACAGTTACCTGACAAGGCAGGCTAGCATGCAAAGTAGCTAATGCTGCATTTACTTACTTTTGCCGCAAACAATATACTTTGCCACACTCCAGTATTCCAACCAAAAAAACACAAACAATGTGCTCTTATATGGCACGTAATATGTACGTACGCTTGAAAATAAGTTTGCAACACTTAAAGATACTACGACTACGTTCAGCATTTCACTGCCTTTGTGTATTGATAGACTACGACTTTATCAATCAATCAATCAATCAATTATTGAGATGGGGACGCCACCTAGGTGCGTATTTTAACCCAAATATGAGTGAAGGATGAGTGTAGAATGGTGTGTGATGACCTGTGTAGCTTTGTTACTGACTAAGATCAGCGGTTTCATTAGTCAGGATCATTTATTTAAAGCCCAATGATCAGGAATGAGCTTTAACCTGTTGTTACGTGTTAACATTCTATTTTCCTTTAATGCTTTGATTAAACCTAATCTAAAATGTGTAGGGTAGTTAAGTGTTTGACCTCAAAGTGCCTTTGCTGCACAAGAGAGAAATGTTTACTCACGAGCCGCGGGCAAGTTGGAAAGTTTCTCAAGTGGTAAAGTTTCCCGCACTAGTTACAAAAATAACTATTGTGTGTAGGCTACCTGTGGCGCAAAAGCTTGTTTTGTATAACTTAAAATGTTTTTTTTTTACCCAAGCAGCTTTAGGAAGGCTAGGGTATGCAAGCCGTCTTACCACAGTAATGTAAAAAATTTTAGTTTATTCTGTAACAAACTCTGTGAGCCCCACGGACATTTAGTGACATTTGCAAGGTTTTATTAAAACGGATCTGAGAAGCTTGAAAACAATGTTAATTATACTGTTCTATATACCATTTTGTTTGGAAAATCATGGGCTTCAATATTATACATAGAACATAAGGAACATTTGTTTCAAAAAAAATTTTGGAAAATAAAAAAAAAAAAATAAGTTTGCGCTCAATGAAATTGTATAAATTATAGGCCTATAAATATTTGAAAATAGCCACTTTGTTCTAAATTTTATGAGGATTACAAATATATAATAATATGAGGAAGTAGATTTGCAAATAAATAAGTTATGGGCAAAAAACAGATTTCAGTACATAGCGTTTAGCTAAGAATGCATAGCCTAACCATAGCTAGGAATCTGGCTGATAATTTACATCAATATCACTACCTACTTCTTCAGGATCATCAACCAGCCCTTCAAAATCACTTAAATCTTCTTATAATGCACCACGTATATCACTACTTATGATTTTTAACACTAAAACAATGATAAACGTAATAAAACACATCAGTCATCGGTCCGAGGTTAACTAAGCTGTTTACAAATACGCACGTCAGCTGTCTGCTACAATATTTTCGGAACTAAAATGAATAGCGCTTAGAGACAGACCTCCGGAGAAAGCTCTGAATCTGTCAAATAAAACGATAGGCTACCTAACTCGATCCAGTTCAATCCGATTTTGTCAGTCATAGAGCCTTCGCCGTAAACAGTGTTTGTGAGTACCAAGTGTGTTATGTGTCGCTGCAGCGACAAATAACACTCGGAGGGTTAAAAGTAACTTAACTTATGGTACCATATTTATTTGACTTAGGCCAAGCAATAACAAGTTCAATCATGTTAGCCTCAGTTATTTAACAAAAAATTAAGTTAGTTTTGTCGCCAACTTATGCCTTGTTAATGTTGGTCCATGGCTTACTTCGTAACTTAGGATATAACTTTGGTTACATTATTGATGTCTTTATCCATTAGTAGTAGTTATGTCAATCTTTATCCAGGTATTCATTGAATATGTGACGCATAACTTACAATTGTATGAAAACAACTTGACTAGACCATGCATGTAAAAATGACAAATAAACGTCACGTCTTACCTATGTCTTATGTCATGATATAAAAAACCAAAAAAGGGTTATAATAAACACACACCAACTCTTTTTAAAGGAGTGGATCAACTAACGAATCAAGAATTTTCAAGAAGAAACTGCTAATTTTACCGAAACAAATCACCGACGTGGAACCCACATCAACAGTACCTATATTAATGTATTTAGGCCTAAGGGTTATATTCCATTAGACCTACAACTAAGTTAACAACCAAGTCGATCAAATAGTCCTTACATTTGCGACAAGCTGTAAAGTGTTAACTTACACGTTGGTGTCAACATTAGTTGACATCGGTCCAGTGAGTTCAGACCACACGTTAACAAGTAATTAGTTGACACCAGTCTGTGGCAAAAGTCATTACACATTAACCATAGATGACGTGGTCTGAAGAAAGGATTTTTTTTAATGTTGGTAGGGAGATTGTTAGGCCTAATCATTTTCTACAAAAAATCTACAAATTAGGCATAGGCCTAATTTTGAGCTTTAAGTTAATAAAATAAGTATTTCTAGATTCTATAAATTAAAATATGATTAATACTAAAATAAAATAACTACTAACTACTAGGCCTACTAATCATAAAATAGCCTACAGATATACGATAAAAACAATGACAAAAAGGTTAGGTTATCATAACCTATAAATATTACCCTGTATTAATCATTGTCAGCACGTATTTTTGCAGTTACAATGAAATATGTAAATAAGTTACGATAATTTGTATCAATAAATTTTGATTAAACTGATTAAATTTATCAGAACTCAAACAAAAAACAATTAATCAGCGAATCTTCAAGTCACAGGACATTTCTTCTTCACTCTCGCTCACGTCACTTCACTTTCTTCACTTCACAAAATCAACATCTCACATCAACATCAACAAAACAAAAACCTATCTATCTATAGATAGTAAAAAATGAAAAGGATGCTCCATCGGGTGGGTTCCAATCAAGGCCCCTCAACAATCGACCCATTAATACAAACTGATTTTATATGTAGCAAGATATCCACTAATATTATGCTATTGAAAATCCAAGAATTTGACTTTATTTTCTAACTTTTCAAGATGTGTCTTGACATTAATTACATTCTTAATTAATGGCGAGAAATACTTTCAAGAAAGACGAATGATGCTTCTTGGCTAGGTTCAAATTGGTTCAAACTAGGTTCAAACCAATTAAAAGAAATGTCTATAAAGACATGAAAAATTCCAATCTTTTAGCGAATTTACCTGTAGGAAGTGGCTGTGGCTATTACCGATGTGGCTAAGACCTAGGCCACGGCCACCTTTAACGGGTCGCCGGAATTTTATCCCCCTGGAATTTTACCCCCTGGTCAAAGCTGGAGTCACTATGACGTAGTAACCTGAGCGCTCAAAAGTTTGTTCGTGGGCGGAATTTTACCCCCGCGGATTTGGATGTCTAATAAAAATAGACAGAGCGTGATTGATTAGAATAGCAATAAAAACCGGAATTTTACCTCCTGTCCATATAACTAGCGTTTAGACACTATGAAGATGTACGGGCCGGATTTTTACCCCCGGAATGTTACCCCCGGATTTTTACCCCCGTAATTTTACCCCCGGATTTTTACCCCCCAGATTTTACCCCCTAGACGAATATAGAAGTTATTAAGAATGATTGATTTTCCTATATCTGTTTTTATTTAATTTGAAACATTTTATTATTAAGTATCACATTTAAACTTTTAAGTATTTAAGTATCACAGCCTAGTGCCGTAGAGTATGGGGGACTGGAAAAAAGCAAAAAATGCTAGCCTGACAATTTCAGAAGGAGTGTCCAATTTTAGGCGTCTCAGAAGGTATATGACCCTGCTAAGCTTCACACACAGATTGTCTATATTGTTCACCCAAGTGAGCTGAGGGTCCAGGGTGAAACCCAACAGCTTTACAGGTTTATTTCCATCTAAGTTTGTACAGAAGCTAAAGATTCATTAAGAGACAATTTGTTTACTCGAAACCATGCTGAAGCAGTATCAAGCAGGTTACGAACTGAGGACTTAGCTTTTCCCCAGTCTGAATGACTTGAAAAAAGAGTTGTATCATCAGCGTAAAATATAATATTACCTGATACCTTGTAGTAGTACAGATCGTTTGAGGCTACAATGAACAAGAAAGGGCCAAGCATTGGCCCTTGAGGCACTCCATCAATTTCATTCAAAGGGAATGAAAAACAACCACTCCAATCCACCACCTGCTTTCTTTGACACACATACGATTTTAATAGATTCAAGGCAGTACCTCTGATTCCATATCTCCCAAGCTTTTCGGCCAACATTTTATGAGAAACGCAGTCAAATGCGCGTGAAAGATCACATAGGAGAACCGCTGTGGAACACTTCTGCTCAAAGGAACCCAACACGACCTGGAGGAGGGAGTCCACTGCCGAAATAGTGGACCTGCCCCCCCCCCCCTAAAGCCCAAGTTTGGGACTTTTTAAGTCCTTGAGGAGTATGTTTAATCTATGGTTGTAAACAGGGTAAATGATTTAATGATGACAGATAGCGCCATTGTTCGAAGAATTTAGCCCTTAACTGTACTTAAGTGATGCTCTTTCTTAACATTCTGAGACGTATTTGCACATCTACGTAAGAATACCTTTAATTTTACACATCAAATGTTAAAATCCGTCCAGCCGTTTTCAAATTATGACTGTGAAAAGAAAACTGCTTGCGTATTAATATATAGATTGTAGAAATGCTTTTATAATCAATGACTTAGTTAAACATCAAGGCGTATTGATCAAAGACTTTGCACAACAGACAGAATCAGCTGACCAATTGATTTTGTGATGCAGATGACAGAAGAGCTGATCACATGATCACATTCAGACAGAGAGGAATTCTGTCAAATCAGAAGCAGAAGGTAAGGTACAGACAGGAAGCAGGAACAGGAACGTCAAGTCAAGTCCAACCAAGCCATCGCGTCACCAGCAGGAGCAGGAGCAAACTGATGTTAGGCTTACAACAAAGTTTTGAATCATTCAGAAATAGTTTACATTATAGTGCTATGAGTGTTATGCTATGAACATTGGAATAGAACTGTAAGCTAAACCTGCAACTTTCATCCACTACATAGATCTAGCCTACAAGACAAGATTACAAATAAACCTAATCTCATCTAACTTTCTCACTGGAATAATGGAATCACCACTAGAATCTTGCCTGCAGAGTTTGTAAGTGGAATTTTTTGTTTGTCTAAATTAGAGTAGATCTATAATAAGAACTAAATAAAAATACAAGGGATTAGGGAAAATATCTTATCTCTTTCTTGGGAAGGGTAGTTCCACACCTTAACTTAGTCTATGATTGGATAACATTTGTATTAGATATAAGTTAAATATCAATTGAAATCTCTCATTTGATAAATATCAATTTTCAGCTGCACGTTTGTATCTGTCCTACACTCATTCGAATAAAAAATATCTATATCCTAGGCTAGATTATTTCGTTTGCTACGCTTACATACTCACCTTTAGGTTGGAGCTCGTTCGCTGCGTTTACTTGCCTTCAGGTTTAGCTCGTTCGCTACGCTAACTCACCTCCAGGTTGTAGTTCGTTCGCTACGCTCACTCACCTCTTGGTTGCAAATTAGCTGTTATAAATTTTAAAAATAATAGTGCTGCACCCTGTTGGTTCCACCAGCTGTTAATTCCATTTAAAAAGTACTCATAAGGTTAACATGGGGAAACACCAGAGCCACTGGGGCGGAGCCGATTGGACGGATCACGAAATTGATGGTGTATTAAACCTATTCCATGAAATTCTATACGTATGCCTATGTAGGCCTACTAAGTTTCGTGGCAATCGGTCCAACGGTGTCCGAGCTCATAACGTTCAAACATACAAACTTCCTCTTTTATAAATATAGAAGATTTATAAAAATTTGAACGAGTGGTGTTTTTGGCCTCTGGGGACATCAAAATGAAAAAGTAATCGGTCCCGGGCCTAGGTCTTACCGTGCCACCTGCCGTAATAGTTACTTCACTATAGGGAAATTCGCTAAAACTATCATTATCACATTCGACCGCGTCCTTAGGTTAAGTACACTATGTACAGAAACTACCGACGTTTCGGCCACATAACAGTCAGCCATCTTCAGGGCGAGTGAGCACTATCACCCGATAGTGATAGTCGAACCCCGAAGACCAAGACTGTATATATATATATATATATATATAAGTGACGACTGTGGAAGCCTATCCATGAAGTTTACTTATTCTCCATAAGGATAACATAGGAATTTTAAATTTACAATATTTTGTAGATTTCTTTGTAACTATTAGGCACATAACAACGCTTCAATAAACTAAATTATTTGTTTTTTTTGAGCTCTACAAAATGGTTTGGATAGAAATTGCAAAATTTTATGTTTTTAAGGTAAAAAATGGGAAAACCTATTTTTACCCCATAAACCACCATAGTCTGATCATGGTGGTTCGCGAACTCGTTTGAATAAATGTAGGTTTACACATTTGTACCAAATTTAATCAAAATCGGATCATTTTTGCTCGAGTTATCATGCTAACGGACACATTTATATATATATGGATTTCAATGTATGGTGTTTTTGGCCTCTAGGGACGTCAAAATAATAAAGTAAATCAGTCCCGGGTCCAGGTCTTATGATGAGTAGGCCTACTACGGTAATAGCTTATTCCCTTCATGGGAAATTTGCTAAAAATACGCAAATTTTTAGCACTTTTTGCGATTTTCAAACGAGATTTTCAGGGTAATAGGCGTTTGCCCCAAAAGTGCCAAATGTAAAAATTGTTCAAAATAGGCCAAATAATGTGAATTTTTTTCTAAATTCTTTAGAAGCCCCTTTTTATAAAGTAAACAAATACCGATTGAAATTAAAAACATGTTTATTTCAGGTATTAAGTGGCCTTGTACCTCAACATGATTATCATAATGATGGCTGATCACCATGGAAAATATACTAAAAACCATGTAAATTGAATTTTGTTATCAGCCAATTGTGACAAATGTCTAGGACCTTAATGTGTCTGATACTGACAGAAGCAATCACACTTCTTAGCCTGTTTTGTACAGTTCCATGTTCATTGAAATTGCCTTAATTTTATTTTCAGAATGAAGGATGAAGATGTTACTGGATGCATGCTTGCTGATAAACATGGACTGTGTTTAGCAGGTATTGAAACTCATGTTATTTATAATACCACTTTGTCGCGGTATATTTAAAACCCCCTAAATACAACTAAATAAGTTATCTCATCTCTATCTTCCTGTTTATCACTCTACTTATGAACAATATTTTGATTTGACTTGATACAAGTTATTCACACTAAATGTTGTAGTGTCCATACTAACACTAAATTAGGGTAGCTGAGTGGTTACAGTGCTTTATTAGTAATCATCATTCATCAACCCTGAGAAAAGTGTGTGAGCCCTCAAGATGTCATCTACATTTTCAATGCTTGGTTCATTTTGCAGCATTTGTTTAAGCTATTAAAGAAAGTAATTTTACACTTAGCAAAGGATGCTGCCAGTGGTTCAAAATACTTTTTAGTTGCTTTAGAACAATTCTCATAAAATTGAAATACTTTACAGATTGACGTTTTTTTGTACTCTAGCAAATTTGGTTTTTTCTTGGTTACGGTGCCAGTGGCATTTTTAGACAGTAGACAATGTTCAGTGTGTACTGAAATAAAACTTTTAGGGAAAGGGGTCCAAACCCATATTTGTTGTGGATGAGCCGGCAATCAAACCCGTCCCACCCGCACTGTATTCTGGACCCAGAATTTACCCCTCCTGTTGACCTCTCCCACAGATAGGTAAACTTGTGACTTGCACACCAGGATTCAAACTGTTGATCCACAGTCCTATCTCCGACTGGAGACACAACAACTTATACCGCTCAGTAATTGATCAGACCTAACTGTCTATTGTGCTTTACTCAGTTCAAATAATTTAGGCGGTTTTAAGGGGAGAAATCTATGCCCTCCACTTAATAATCCTACCATTAAAATAATAGCTCAGCTATTTTTGATGTTTGCCAAAACATCGATAAGCTTCTGTACATATAATAAGTAAATAAACTAACATAACATATAAAATAGTGGTGGGGGAACTTTAACTCAATCCGCCAAAATTTTGTGAACGGAGTATAACAGCAAGATTGATCATCTAAAACCATTAATAGTAGAAGTGTAGTATATAAACTTGACTCTCAGGCTGTAACTCATGTCAGGTATATCTTCCAGCTTTGTGTTGAGTCAAGACTCCCATATACTGTCAGTAAAAAATTTGGTTATGTAACTAACTCTTATAACAGATTTATCAGCCTTAGAGCTGAAAACTGAATACCTACTTGGGCTTGTTTAAGATTTGCAGAAACAAACATTATCCCCCATCTGTTTTTAGTTGAGTTGAGTTAGACTTGCATGGATCGTCAGTTGAAATTTGGTTATGTTACTCTTGTATTACATTCATGTGCCTTTGAGCTCACAGAGCCTGATGAATGGTCTCATGGTTTACATTATATTGCAGCGGCAGGAAAGGCACACCCGGAGGCTACTGGCCTTGTAGCCGCAGTGGCTCATCAAGTGGCCAAGCTAGAACCCTCTCTCCCTCCACCTGTCATCCTGCTAGAGGCTGACAACAGGTATGCAACAACACAAGTCTTCAGCACTTTTATGAAGATGTTTCCCCTGTTGCCAATTTGTTGTAATTTAGTATCTGACAACCCAGTTGTAGGATGACAGAAACACTTTTTTTTCAATTAATAAATTTTGTAAACAAACAATTTATGCAGGTTATTTTGTGAAAGAGTAACTCAGATGATAGAGATGGGGATGTTTCAGAGTTTATATTGTAACCATTGTCAGCTTCATCTCAGTTCACTAGTAATACTTAAAAATTCTGTTCCTATTTAAGTGTCCTAACAGTGTAAGTGCCTGGTCAACTTATTTTATGTTACTTAGGCCTATTGTTTTACTACCACATCAAAAAAAAAATTGTATCGATGCAGCCCTTCAAATGAAAAAGAACAAAGAAGGACCACCTTAAGTCCAACCCTTTGAAGTATTAATTAAATAAAGACTAGGATTGCTTTCATAGCGATGAAAGCCAGTTGAGCGGAGAAATCATGTTTCATAGTTTTTAATAAAGCAATAAACAAAAATGTTAAGAGATATAATGCAAAATATAAATGTTCCCACATTCTGCCTTGCTAGCCTTTACTACTTCCTTCACCACTTCCAATGTTGTGGAACTGTTTCCCTCCCTTCCCATAGCATTTTTATTTTAGATACAATCATCTAACTGCCACGCCAAAAACGTTTCCTACACTCCGCACTTCTACCTATACTACTTCCATGTATTTACACACTTCCTACGTCGTGGACCTGTTTAAGTTTGCCATTTATGAGATGGATCCCTGAATGTGATTTACCGACAATTGTTTAAGATATAATGTTATTTGTTATAACCTTATTTAGCTACAAAAATCAAATCTGTTAAATACTATACCTAAAAAAGTATGTTTTATCTAAGAATGTACCTAGGTATTCGACCAGTGGTTGTTTCCAAATCGGGACTTAAATTTAAACCTAAGACTTTCTATGTGGTATTTGATCAGTTGTCATCGTCAAAGTTTTTTCCTTTGTACAGTAGAACCTCGCTAATTTGAATTTCAGACGAAAGACAATATATTTCGAATTATAGGTAGTTTGAAATATAGAGAGTTTGAATTATAGAGATCAGAATAAATAAAATTTGAATTATGGAGGTTCCAGTTTCAAGTGTAGAGAGTTTGAGAGAACGGAGACTAATGAAAACGTTGTGGAACATCAATAAGAGTGTCAGTTCATGTTTCAACAGGCATATTTGTTGTTCTAAATTCGAATTACAGAGGCGTACGGTGACACAGTTCAAATTGTAGAGGTTGACTTCGAATTTTGGAGGTAACAATTCAAATTATGGCAACAAAATTTGAATTTTAGAGGCTCAAGTATGTACAAATTCGAATTGTAGAGGCTACAATAATAGAAAAAATCACTTTGAATTATCGGTATATTATTTTTTTTATTTTAGAGGTTTTCTGAGGGTAATAGACAAACATTACTAATTATAGAGGTTTTTGAATTATCGAGGTTCGAATTAGTGAGGTTCTACTGTACTTTGTTTAGGTCGTGGCTTTATTTTAACATATGCTATGATTCTTTGTTTTGTTTACATTTACGTTGTTATTTTGTAACCATCGTGGCAACCCATAAGACCAATGTTGAAATTTAAAAAATTTAGTTACTTTGCAATTATATAGGCATTATCAAAAATTGAAATTGGTTATGTCCAAACCATCCAAACATTTGACAAAACAATATTGGTAAGTTTGGCTAAAATATGTTCAGCCGTTATTGAGATTAAGTAAGTGTTATATAGATTGCATTAAAGTTGATTCCAAAGAGCTTCGCTTCGCTCCGCTCAATTAATGTTTACCTTCCGGCGTTCCTGTTCACTACTAATTTGTGACGCATTGCGTCAACATGGTGACATCAGGAAACCACCGGAGCTTCGTCCAAATTAGCAGCAAACAGGAACGCCAGAAGGTAAACATTAATATTTGACGTTCCAGTATGCATTAACACGATGACTGCTGAAAACAACGTACAGGCGGGAGGCGCTCCCCAGTGGCGGGCGAAGTCCCGGCACGCAACCGAATCAGCGAACGCAATTGGCATTCAAACATTTCAGTCTGACGAATCACAAAAGAGCAGTGGTGACTGTGCTTCGTTACCCCGAGAGTGGATGTAGTTCACTGAAACACCCAAAGGTAAAGTGGATATATAACACCCAAAGGTAGCAGCACTGCACGGATCCGTATCCAGTGTCTTTGTAATGTGGGTTGAAGAGAAAAAATACCCGAAACCGGGACAAAAGCATTGCCAGGCAGGATTTTACGGGAAATTTTAGTACCAACCTACACCAAAGTAAAGCTCGCATTCTAAGCTGGCAGGCTGGCAACGATTATAACGTCTCTGTCTGAGGCTAAGCTCACACTGACTCAATATATTTCTGTTGGTCTGGTGCCGACTTTTGTCGGCGTGCGCCTCATTGAAGTGCTAGCGACGCCGACTAGAGCTAGCGTTAGCAGTCAACATGTTAAAGAAATCATGGGGTGAATCGGTTCAGCACAGGAATCAATTAACTGTACTGGTAAATATTAGTGGAGACAGGATAGGAATAGGCACCCAAGACATTGTAGTCCTGGTTTCACAGTCCGCTGCTTTTGGCTGAGCCACCGACTCGCCATATGGTTGAACAAATAACAATGGTTGGTTGAACTATACAAAGATAATGAGAATGAGGCCCTAAACTAAAAGTATCAAGATATATGGGTGGTTAAATAAATCGGAAATAAAATTACTTATTTATTTTTCAAGGAACATAACAGTACATAACAGATTGTGCTGATATTTTACATATAATTTTAAAAGGCATGACAATCGGAATGTGATATTTCTGGAGAATTTGATTGGTAGAGGTTTCAATGCATTAGTGAAAAAGTGCTGTTTCGGTTAAAAATTCTAAGCTAAAATTTTAGTTCTTTGAACTAGCATACTCTTATTCTTAATCAATAAATACCTCTGTAGACAAGCTCAATTATACTAAAGGTTCAATCATTGTTGCTTGTAACTTTTTTAGCCACACTATTTTGTTCTTTTTACAATAAATACAAAAATATATTACAAATAGATATGTGTTCATGTATCAACATAGTTTGGCAAAATAGATTAACTATATATACATCTTCAACAGAGTTCTGCTTACTTTAACAATTTTAAGAGGTAGGCCTACAATAGAATGGCTGACTATATAAACTAAAGACTAGTCCAAGCTAATGTACACATAGCACATCAAAATGAGAAATAAAAGTACCATACATTATATTTCTGATATCATTGGCTTTAAAAAACATGCACTTTTTAATCAGCTTTTAAAATTTTCCAAAAACTGTACATTTTACATTTAAGTTTAGCTAGCAGCAACATTTCCCCCTTGTTAACTTAAATGATTAAAAAGGCTTTAGTTTTATAAGAGTTAAACCTGTTAAATTCTTATATCCAACTTAAGTAGTTTTATTTTTCTAAAGCTTGACTTGGTGTATCATTACTTTAAATTAAAACAGAACAAATAAAACCAAAATTGTGATGAACAGTCTCGTTATGAATTTGTACAATTGAATTTAAAAAGTTGTTAAGCATGATACATTAATTTTGAATAGGTCTGTTGTCAGTTGTGCTGTATGATAAGTTATCATTTTACATAAATGCTGAGACATAACAACAGGCTATTGTTGTTTTGTAAAATTGTACACATGTTACACCTAAACTTTGGTCATTGCACTTTTACAAAATGAATTAACACTCACAACACTAGGCATAAAAACAAAATACACACGTAAACATCCCTGATATTACAATCACAAAAATGCAGAAACATGTAAACTTTAAAATCTAGACATCTAGGAGGCAGTATTTTACCTTAATATTGTAAAAATGTAAAACTATTAGGGTTAGTTTTGAGGCTGATTAAGTTTTTAATGGAAGATTTCAGAGATTTGTTGATTTGTTTGATGATTATAAGCTCAATGTTTATGTTAAGTTACTTTTTATTTTCACAAATTAAATGGTGGATTTTTCATTAATGCTTAATATAATTGATATTTCAACCAAATAAAAGAAATACCCCCACCACAGCGAACCTGCTGAATTTTCATTTACCAGGATAGATTCCAACTAAAATATTCCCCTAAAATTTTCAGATTAATTGCCTATTAAAATAACATTCATTTTAATGAGTACTTAGGGAAGGTAATAAGGTGTGTTTTTTTTTACTAAGAACATTGGTAGCTAATTATGAAATATACTATTTCGCCAAATTGTATTAAAGTTTATCCATAAACAAGCAACCTACAAACGTTTATTTATTCTCCATAAGAATAACATAGAGAATTTTTAATTTAAACATTTTTTAAATTTTCTCTGTAACTGTTAGGCATACAACAACGCTTCAATATACTAAATTATTTCTTTTTTAAGCTCTACAAAATGGTTTAGAAAGAAATTGTACTGTCGATACAATTTATATTGTCAAGACAATAAAGTATTTATTTATTTATTTTATAGAGTTAAACATGGAAAAACTGTTTCTACCCCATAAAACCTCCCATAAACCCCTATTCCTATAGTTCGATCATGCTGATTCGCGACCTCGTTCGAATAAATGTAAGTTTGTACCGAATTTCATCATAATCGAATCATTTTTGCTCGAGTTATCGCACTAACAGACACGAATATATATATATATATATAGGTATATGAATCTGAACGGATGGTGTTTTTGGCCACTGGGGACGTCAAAAACAAAAAAGTAAATCGGTTCGGGTCTTACCATGAGACCTAAGGTAATTTCCCTATATGGGAAATTCGCTAAAAAAATGTGTTTTCATATCTTTAAACTATAAAAATCTAAATTAAACTTAAACAGTCCAGAAAAGTATAATGTACACCTATAATTGAAAGACTAAGGTAGGTAAAATTATGTTGAACAATCATTTTAAAATAATAATTGTTTTGTTAAAAGTTGTTATTTTTAAAGAAAATTATTATCTGGTGTTGATATACAGACAGCCTATAATCCAGTAAACTATGTATTTTATGGCAAATTATATTACCTTCTTTAGTGCTGGGGGATTAGGCAAAATGTTAGCAGCAATTTACCATTTTAATCGATTAAAACAGTTGTTAGACTTTGTAAAGATACTGTTTATGAGCCTACTCAGTAAAGATCATTGAGTAAAAAACTAAAACCGTGCATGCTGTCGGGAGGGATAACACTTGTGAGAAAAGGAAGCGAGAGGAAAAGAGATTGAGAGAGCAAAAGGAGTATGGTTGGTGCACATATTCAACTGCCTGCATGCCATAAACTCAACCATTCAAGAAAGCATTTTTGCTCAGGAATTGATTCAGGTTGGACTAAATCATTAAATTAGCTAGGTTACAGATTCTTAAGCTGGCTGGGATCAGATGAGATTACAAGAAGAAAGTTTGGGACAACAAATGTGAAGATATGATCTAATCTTGTGTATGAGTTGCTATAAAAGGCTACGTTACTTCTAGAAGGATGTGGGCACAAGTTTTTTACCACGGATTGTAGTTTATCACTGGCTTGGTAATCTGTATCATTCAGCTACCGGAACTTCACCGAGCATAAAAACTTAAGCTCTCTTGTATTCAAAATACTAAATTAAGCTCACTGGGTTAAAATATTGTTATATTAAATTTTAAACTTAAAGATTGATATTTATATGTCAAAATTTGTTTAAGGACATTAAAATAACTTAATCCAGCTATAGAAAAGTGTCTCAGAAAGGTATACAACTTTAAATTTCAATAAAACTAGTTGAGCTAAAAATCTGAATTTTACAGTATAACTGGATAAAGGGAGATTGTTAGTTATTGTTTTAAAATATACAAGGTAACACGATGATAAACACAACATAAACTCAAATAACGATATGATTATTTGTAAAACAGAACTATTAATCAAAATCAGCGGACCAAGTTATAAAAGGAAAAATGAACATCTAATAAATATCCTTGACTCCAGCCCAGGAACAAAAAGAGCTAATTTAGCCCTGCAACCTAAAGGATTAAAAACAGCCTTTTTGGCTGCAGTATGGGAAAAAATTTAATACTTTTAACCTATAACCGGTTTGTTTCAGGAAATGTTTGATCCAGCAAAGCTCAACTCTCACAGCCGCCATTTTCAAGAACAATGTCACAGCTTGAACTTTCTGTACACTATATACAGCATATTACACTTTTGTAAATAAAACTTTGATTAAATGTTGTGTGATCAATCCACTTTGAGTGACTGTCTGCGCCACCGGTCGACCCCGAAGGTCACGAGATCACGCTCTTCAAAAAGCCAAGTGAGACAAGTAACTGCAAGACACGTTGCACCCACCAGGAAATGAGCCAGTTTGGACGTCTCATAGAAATATACCTATGGACACGTTTTGTCAAATCACATTCTACTTATGACAAGTTCGGTACCAAATATGAACATAGAATAGAATATTTTCAATACGTACATATTTTTAGTACGTATCTCAAATGAAAGCTTTTATTTCTAGGAGTATTTTAAGACCAAGGACATATAAAATAACTAAAATATAAATGGAGTTACGTATCTTTGATTGCGGATAAGTCCCAAAATAATTATAATTATTGTTGATTTGTGATTCAGCTGCGTGCTTCAGGTATGTCCGATCTTAATAATTAATATCTCAAATGAAAGCTGGTATTTCACTGAAGGTTCTTAGGTTCTTAGATGGCAAATTTGTGCGTGCATACCTTTCATTTTAGACTAAAATGATGAAAATCGGTCGGGTAGAAGAGCCGAATTGACTCAGAAAATAAAAACCAACACTTTTAGGGAATAAGCTATTTAATAATATAGATTCTTAACAAAAATCATATGGTTCAAATTGAAGCATTGAAATTAAACTAGTGGGCAAATAGTAAACTAATTAGGAACAAGCGAAAATCAGCTTGCTCTCAATTTAGATCTTAGGAACCAATAATTTTCATTGACATCAGCTGTCATAGAAAATCTCTACTTCCTAAACGATGGTAGTTTTTTTTATTGTACTGGGATCATTATAGATGATAACTTTCAATTTGGAAAACATATAATTAAATACCCCCGCCGAAGCAAACCTGCAGACTAAGAGAATTTTCATCTACTTGGCTGGGGTTCCACAAAATTATTCCCTTAAAATTGTCAGATCTATTTCCTATTTAAATATTCTTAATTATAAAGAGTACTTAGGTCTGCTGATACAGGGAAGACAATAAGGTGTGTTTTTTTTTAATTAAAATATTGAAAGCTTATGTATGAAGTAAAAATTTCCAAATTTCATTAAAATACGCCCATAGACAAGCAAACTATAATAGGTTATTTATTCTCTATAATAAGAATAAGATGGTAATTTAAAATTTACACATTATTGGAATTTTCTCGATTACCGTTAGGCATACAACAACGCTTCAATATACTAAATTATTTATTTTGATGAGCACTACAAAATAATTTAGAAAGAAATTTAATTTTTTCTTTTTTTAGGGTGAAAATGGGAAAACCCCATTATTTCCCCATAATCCCCTGTTCTGATAGTCTGATCCTGCTGGTTTGCGAACTCGTTCGAATAAATGTAGGTTTACACGTGTATACCAAATTTCATCAAAATCGGAAATTTTTGCTTGAGTTATCATGCTAACGGACACATATATATATATATGAATTTGAACCGGTTGTGTTTTTGGCCCCTGGCGACCTCAAAACGAAAAAGTAAATCGGTCCCGGGTCTAGGTATTACCATGAGACCTATGGTAATAGCTACTTCCCTATAGGGAAATTCGCTAAAAAGTGTTTGGCGTACGTGAAAATCTAAAATACAGAAGAAAAATGTTCCAAACGCTATGTAAACAATGTTTCTACAAATAGTTTATTCTAATTGCAACCTGTAAAAATTTAGTATCAGAACTAAGCAGTCTTTATTGCTGTGGGACAATATAAGTACTGTGAAGCATGTGTCATGTTGAATAAAAAAGACACAATTTTATTAATTAATTAAAAATATGTTAACGTTACCTCAGAAGCCATAGTAATGAGAGCTGAAGACAGTGCACTTATCAGGAACTTACGTCCAGGTACGAGGCCGTCCAGTGGTGTGAACACTGTGCCTTGATAGCGCCGGCGTATAAACAGCACACTGAAAAAGTTAAAAATTAAATGATTTCAATAGGCAATTATTTAGTTATGATATATTTCCATCCTAATAAAACAAATACAGTAATAGATACGAGTGAAATAAAAATACGGACAATTGATGCAACATGCATGACAATAAACCTAATGTTTGCTTACAGTAATATTTCATGGTGGAAGGAAAATACGTAGGTGTGCTATTCCCGTCACATGCTGATGTCACCCAGATTGCAAACAAAATACCCCCGCCGCAGCAAACCTGCCGACTAAGCGAATTTCCATTTGTCTGAATTGATTTTCAGTTAAATATATTTTAATAACATTAGGTTTAACGAGTACCTAGGTTTGCTGCTACAAGGAAACTAATAAAGTGTGTTTTTGAGTAAAATATTGATAGCTTAGTACAAAATAAATAAATTTGCCAAGTTTGATCAAAATATATCCATAAACAAGCAAACTACACAACATTTGACAATATTCTCCATAAGAATAGCATGGGAATTTTAAATTTACAATTTTTTTAATTTTCTCCGTTACTAATAATCGAACAAAAATACTTTTATATACTAAATTATTTTTTTTTTTAAGCTCTTTAAAAAGGTTTAAAGAGAAATCGGACAAAAATTACACAAGTTATCGCGTTCACGGACGTGTATATATATATATATATAAATAAATATATATACATATATAAAAATTTGCGCTAAAATCACCTGATTGTATTGCCATAATAAGTATATATTTGTTTTGATTTGATTGTTATTGTTTATATATTTTTTTCTAAATGGTGAAATGGTGTTTGCAATCTGAGTGACGTCAGCATAAATCTTTTTTTTTTTACTTTATTTAATTTACAATCTGTTCAACTTGAACAATAAGCAAATGATATAAATAGTAATACAACAATAACTTGAAGAACATGAGCTAGTGATTGACCACTGTCAACAATAGCTAACAAAGAGAATTATGATAACACTTAGCCGAATCTGAATGGTAGGTCCAATATCGTATGTAGCTTCAGTCTGTAAATGGTGTTGTGATTGTCCAATAAATTAAGTGCAAGATGATTTGAATGATTTTCCAATTTGATAATGTATTTTTCACTAGATTTTGTAATTTCTTCTTTGACTGTTCGAATTTGAAGATCATTATGAAGTGTTCTGTTGGTAACAAACCAAGGTGCAATTTGCGTTGACAATTTTACGTAATAATTTTGATTGGTAACGTTGAATAATTTCAATATTTGAGGTACTTGCTGATCCCCAAAGCTGAATACCATAAGTCCAAATTGGTTTTAGAACTGTGTTGTACAGTAACAATTTATTTTGTGTACTAAGTTTTGATTTAGATCCAAGAAGCAAATTAAGTTTAGTTGTTTTTAAATTTAGATGTTGTCTAAATCATAAATCTTTATTGGTCATTAAATAACAGATGTTACAATAGACCTCGTTAACAAAAAAAGGTGCCAAAAAGGGCCATAGATTCTAGATAGTATAACAAGGAATCTTCATATGATGGGGATAGCTAGCAAACCTATGTATTTTCCTTCCACCAAGGTAATAAATTATCTCTTTTGTAAGACCTGTACTGCACAGTCAACCAGGAATTGTTTTGTTAAGTATATTTGTTTTACAACAAACAACAAACAATGCTAGAAGTTTGTAGAATGCCGTAAATTTGAACTAAACGGACAACCAAGTCATACATGACAGCTATTCAAAGATGCATAAATTTGCATTGCTACAGAATAAGTAAGTTATCTCCTCAGGGAGGTGCCCGCTAGAAGTCGGAAGAAAATCATAAACGTATGCATAGGTCGATATGCACATCAAATTTAAGGTCTTAATTAGTAGAACACAATGCCACAAATTTGAGCTCAAAATAATAACTGAGTAATAAGTTGCAGCCGTTCAAAGATTCAAAATATATTTTAACGACTGCAATTTTTGACTCGGTTGTCCGTTTGAGTTCAAATTTGCGGGATTGTATTTTACTAGTAAAGACCTTTAATTTGATGTGCATACCAACCTATGCTTACATTAATATTTTCTTCTTAGTCTACTCCTTGTGGGCCGTCCCCCTGGAGGGGAGGAAAAATTGATAGTTAATTAAAAAGGTAGGTTTTTATGTTAAATATCTAGATACAAAATTGTACCACCGTATATGTTTTTGTTGGTTAAAAAAATATTAAGCCGATCCGGGACTTTTTTAACATACTGTTTATTGAACAGTATAATATAGTATTTGATAAAAAAAAAAAAAAAACAACCTAGATATGGATTTAAATATAATAACCTTTCTTGAAGGTCATACTTTTATGAGTAATTTGGCATTTATTTTAATACTCTATCTAAAATGGTTCTCGAGTTAAAGCGTTTAGGTAAACGGCATCCCCCCCTCCCTCCAGGGATGTTGACAATATGCGTTTTCATGATCACTATAGTGCCTATAACAACAATCAGAAATAAAATTGCATCAGGCTTTTCATGCATACTCAACCCCTTCAGATCCTGGAAACTATATACTGTGACATTGCCTAACCAATAACCATAGAGGTTTATTGAAATATAGTACTTTGACATTGACTAACCATAGAGGTTATTGATGTCGTAATATACAGTAGGCTACAGTGACATTGCCTAACCAACCATAGAGGTTATTGTCGTCCTCATAGTTATAAGTGTCAAATGGTTCCTATCCTATTCCATCTTGCTCTTTTAATCACCATAAGCCCATTTGTAATTATTTTTGGGACTCGAGATTCAAAGATTCGAGATTTTATTTTTTAGGATTCGGATTCGAGACTAAAAATTCCTGAATTCGACCATCACTAAAACTGATTATCTGAAACCCTTTAACGGTTACAAATTAATACCAAAGACCTCATGAATTCATCTAAAAAAAAAGAAAGAAATATTTTGTATTTAAGTTTAAAATTATAGTACATATATTTAGATTGTGTTAGTAGTCCGGTAAATAGGTGTTTACCATATGATTACAGTAGACACATTTTAGATGAGTGAACATGTCTAAAAGTTCACCATACTACTCTAAACTCATCTAACAATAAAAAACTGTACAAATCTGTTATATATTCCCTCCGACTAAAGGAATTGACAATCACTAACCGTAACATCTTGTGTAATGAACCTCATTTGATAGAGCAGGCGGCAAACAGCTGTTTTCCGGACTAAATTCATGTCTGGAAAGTCCATTAAAACAGTGTAGTGTGCAAAAGAATCTTTATGACATACCTGTGTATTATGCGAGCCAGCATGTTGCAACAGTTGGCCAGTATGAAACCAACACTTCCACACAGTCTAGTAAACACCCAAGATACCAACATGAAGCCTACAGACAAACCGGCCATCACTCTATTGTACCTGCAACATCAATAAATCTGACTGGGTTGACCTTGTAGACCTTGGATATGTAACGGGTGGTCCATAAATAACGGATGGTATTGAAAGAGATACTACTCAGCTGTTGTCATGAGTAACATTTTGATTGTTGCAATACACAACATCACATACTGTAGGCGAGAGTTAAGAAGTCCCTTGAGTCCTGATGTATTAAAAAATTCAGGCGCTTGCTACTCGATGGCTCGGCGCGTCGGGTGGGTCGCTCATATCATGTCCTACGCGGCAATCAGGGCTCACATTGATTGCATACAAACCAAAATAGGCAACTGTGATTTTAATTTATTTTTAATAACTTAATTAATATTTCAGAAGTACAATACAAATTTATGTACGCCAAAACTACCTCCAAACTGTCTAACTGACCACCCGATAAATACTTTAAGACCATTCATACTCGAGAGTAGGGTCGACTTTCTCTCACATCATCATTAGATAGCCTAAAGAACGTAGCTAGTGACAGACTTAACACTTGCTTGGCTGCAACTGGAACTCGTTTGAGACCTCAATTTAAGCACAACTCTACAAAAAGATTAGTCCCCTCAATAAAAGATATTCTATATAATTTGGACGTACCTGTCTAAATGAGCCGTGTCCATTGTGGCAAGTGCGTAACATTCTGTAGTGCCGTTGATAGCTAGCAGAAGTATGGCGAGACTGTGTACCTTGAGTAGCAGTGGGGCCAACCCAGCCGCAAGTGATGTACCTCCGTACAGCAGTAGTACCAACCTGGCATATGCTTGACCGAAGCACAGAGCTACCAGCCCAAGACTAACAACTGTACGTAGCAACCTCTGCAACACCTGTGATGCCTCCTTCATCTGGTACTAAAAAGAGAGAGTAAACTATCATTAATAAGGACTTTGCTTAACTACTCAGCAGTTTGTAGGTTAAAGATTGTGGTCAAGGATGTAACATAGAGCACATGGGCCTGGGTTACAGAATTTTGTGAGAGGTTTGAACTTCGCAGCCTTGACTGAATGGTAAAGAGGATCATTTGGTACAAGAAACAGATAATACAAGTTTTGTGTTTCTGGTGCCAGATTTGGACCCCTGATCATTCAGGTAAGCCTGGCTATCCTCACAAACAAATCCTAAGTTAGCAATGTATCTATCTCTGTAAATTAAGCATTTTTGGTGCAGAGTTTACAGTGAATATGAGTAACTTTTTCATTTATCATTTCATTTTTTATTAATTTATTATTTATTAATTCATTTTCATTTTTCATTTACCTTTATAAAAATGTATAACACCTTGGGTATATATAGCATATATAGCACGGCAAACTAAGGTCCGTCTCGTAGGCCTACAACAATCACTGAATGTCAGAACCGTCAATTTTGGACATGATGCTAACAAAATACAACCTTTTATGAACACTATTTCACACAATTCAGTAATATTTATGCATAATAAAATGCATGAAGATTACTGTTATACACACACACAATCTTCACGAACACTAACACTACGAACTAATAACGTATTTTTAGTAATAAATCGCGGATAACTTAGTACTTACACATAAAACTTAGTCATTAAACATCTAAGAATAAACAAAACTTACAGGGTTTTGATCATCAATAGGCTTATCCCTGTTCACCAGTTGCGAGAAGTAAAAGTAGGCACTTTCCTCAATCGGACGGAATAAAAACCTTGCTGCCAGAGATCCAAGGTTGTTGACAACATCAAACACTCCTTGCTCGTAGAATGTCAAAACGGAGAACAATGTCATCACGTATCGTTCCCCCTCCGTCAAAATCTGCTTTAGAATCCCTTGTTTGAAAAAACTCCATGTCAGGACACACAGTTTCCAGTCCACTGCTGGCTAAAACAGAGAGAAATAAAGTTGTTTGTTTTGTGGTTATGTTTATAGACTTGCTATTTAGTATTCAACCAGCAGTAGGCTGCATCCCTAGTCCCCTCAATAAAAGATATTCTATATAATTTGGAGGCAACCTATGCCTCTTGATCCAAGTGACATAGAGGCAATGAACTTTACAAGACCCCTATATATATATACTGTTAGGCCTACATATTCTGTTATATGGTAGTGAAACATGGGTATTGTCCAAGAAAAATGAAAATCAACCTATGGTGTTTGAAAATAAAGTTCTAAGAAAAATATTTGGATCAGTGCAGAGATCTAAGCAATGGTTAAAGGAAGAAGGTTAAGTTGGATAGGGCATGTGCTAAGAGGAGAGAAAGGAACAAGACTGTATGAAGTTTGGAGAGCTACTCCTGGAGGTAAACGTCCATTGAGAAGGCCGAAATTGAGATGGACTGATTGTTGTAATATTCACATCAGTGCTAGGTAGCCGAATGATTAAAGTGCTTGCTTAACAGTGGTATCATGGCGATTTTTGCAGTTAGTGGAACGGTGCACCTGGCCCAGAACTGTGGTATAGGACCCCTCGTAGTTTGCCAGATTTTGGCAATATTTAGGTTATGTTGTATTCATTCTTAGGCCTACGTTAACAACATTTATATTACATACATATAATTCTTTTTAGTTGTTTTTTTTGTACAACATTGTTGTGTATGCACGTAAAAATATTTCTCTATTTGGGAGAAGGATCCTTACATGCTAAGCCTACTGACAAAAATTACATGGTTAAATAGGCCCTATCGGCATGTCATATATATATATATATATATATATATATATATATGGTACATAGTCCAGTACAGTTTCTACTAATCGTTTCTTCGCTGTCCTTTGAAGAGTGGTCAATAATAGTTTACAAACCTGGTTTTCAAGTCTGCGAGGAAGGAACTCGCTCATGTGTGTGAATGGAAAATCGTCCTCTGATGATGTAGGTCGCTGCAAGTGACGAGGGGAACCAATGGCCGCCTGTGGTCTGGATCTTCTCTCCTCAAGATACCTGAAGAATAATTACAGCAAAGAGTTTGAATAACATCCTGTATCATTGATTTTTGGATACTAAAGTACAGTCCACTCTTGGTAATTCAAACACTTGATAATTCAAAACTTTCGATAATTCAAAATGAAGGCTCAGTCCCTAGAGAATCTCTCAATATTTCAAATTTTTACCATGCATTTTGATACACTCGGTATTTCAAAGTCCAAATAGAGGGCAGGTCAATTTGTAACACGCAGTAATTCGAAGTTTCGTCGGAAAAACACTCTATAATTCGAAGTAACTCAGTAATTCGAAGTTTTGTCGGTTAACACTCTATAATTCGAAGTCATGCTTTAATTCGAAGTTTCGTCGAAAAAACACTCTATAAATCAAAGTCACGCAGTAATTCGAAGTTTAGTCGGCAAACCACTCTATAATTCGAAGTGATCTCTCCCTGTTATATCAGGAAACTATACAGTACAGTACATCCTATTCCCATGGTAGGCTAGTGTTGGACGTTTTGATGTTTGTTTAGTAGTTAGTTCGCTGACTTGTTTTTCAAAGTTGGCAATCCGATCTCTAGATTGCGCGTCATCTCCTTGAGCACAAACGTAGTTGTCGACAGCTGATAGTTCAGCTATTGGCGAAATATATACTGTAGCGTTAAATAACAGATTTCTTGAACTGAAAAATAAGCCGTTGATTGTTTAAAAGTGTACTAAAATACGGTATGATGTTTTATTGTAACGTGCTGTACCTTTGTATGTATTAAACAAATGAACTCTCTGTAATTCGAATGGTTTATTTTTCTCCCGATAAATCGAACTCTTGATAATTCAAAACTCTTGATAATTCAAATTTATATGCTTGGCCCACCAATTTCGAATTATCAAGAGTCTACTGTATACAATACAACCCGTCTATATGGATGAGTAAGAGTTGCAGCCAATTTTATATTAAAGAAGAACATTATTTATATGAGTTTGTTAGCAAGATAACTTGAGCAAAACTCATCCAATTTTGATAGAATATGGTACAAACAAGTAAACCTACATTTATTCTAACGACTTTGTGAACCAGCATGATCAGACTAGGCTATAAGAATGGGGTTTTATGGAATGAAAATCGGTTTTTCTCTTTTTTGAGCCTACAAACATAGAATATCCCATTTGCATACTGTATACAGGATTTGACTTAAATTTAGGAGAGCAGTGTTTTTCGACACGTGATCACTGGTCTCAAATCTTTACCACGAGAACAGTCGTTTCAGTACCGCCCACTTCCTGCCGATCTAGTCCTGTTAAACCGATGTGCTGATAAAGATTGTTCGGATAATGAGATGTCACTTCTACAGAGTCTGGTCCAGTTAAAACGATGTCCGGTTAAAAGGTATCTGGATAAGAGGGAGTCTACTGTAGTTGGAATCTGATCAGTCAAATGGAAATTTTCTTAGTCTGCAGGTCTGCTGCAGAAGGGATATTTGTTACTCTGATAGTTGATGTGATTAAAAAAATGTTTGAATTTGGCTTAATCAAAAAGTTGGCGTATTCTAGAGAAATAAAGTGACATAGTGAGAAATCAGTGGCTCAAGTCAACTATGTTAATTTTAGCATATTTCTCTTTTAGGGAATAAGCTATAGGTACCATAGATGGCATTGCAAGTCCTAGAACAATGTTTTGTTGGTTCTCTTTTTTATTGCTTTGTAGTAAGAGATGTGATCACGGGAGATGATAGCCTATGCCTACAAGTATAGCCACAGATGAAACATACCCCCTAGTAGATTTCTCATCCTTATGGTTCAGCTGAAGACAACTTTATTGTTAGTTCCGTCTGGTGGACTGTAGAGGTCGTGTTTTGTTTACAATTTCAGTTATTTTAACCAAATAAAACAATCTAATCATAAACAATAACTCGTCCCCTAGTTGTATAACCAAACATTAAAGCACAAATCATTAAATGAACCCTAAAATAATAGAAACAAAATTTCGTCGACCGATCAGTGTCACCAGACATAAACTAGACATGATAAACAAGCTTCAAAATTTACAATGGGATAAGAAGTGTACTTGTGTTGATTAGTCTATGGGATAGCTGTTAAAAATTAGCAAAGTTTTCTTAATATTCTTTAAATTTAGAAACTATGCTCACCTGGCAAAGTAAAGATAGTAGCAGGTTGTGTATACCACCACTGCTGCTATCTGTGCAGCGGAAAACGCAACTACGGCTCCCTCCGGCCACCATAGGACCAGAACAGTAAAAACGGTTGTGCGAACAATAACATTTACTGTGTCCATCAGCACCTAGTAAGTAACAAACGTTAACAGTCTATCTGAAGTAGACAGCACTGCAGATTAACCCTACGAGCCCCAGGGACTATTTATTCCATTAAATTCAATATTTCTTTGTTCATTAAAGCACCTAAGTACATGAATAGTGTCATTCTTACATGACCTTACATTACAATGTTCTTACATTCAATAAATACAAAGATCTTAAAATCTAACATAAGTTTACACAAATTAAAAATTAACGCTCCTTCTAAAATTCTACAGTTCATCAAGGGAATACAATACCGGTACCTTGTTGATGAGAAATGTTTTAATACCCCTCTTAAATCCTACTATGCTTTTTGCCGATTTTATTTTGTTTGGAATTTTGTTGTAAACTTTGAAGTCGGTATAACTTGGTTTCTTACTGTAAAGTTCTAATCTGTGACGGTTTAAAGCCAGTGGCAGATCCAGAGGGGGCGAAGGGGGTGACCGCCCCCCCCCTCGGGCATACATATACATATTTTTATCTATTTTTACTGCATATATATTTTTACTGCATGTAATACAGTAGTGCATACAAATTGAGTAAAATAATTTGTCACACTAACTTTGGACAAAGAAATGGTATAAAACTGCCATTTTTGAGACTTAGTTTACACACATTTTACAGGGGGGGGGTACCCCGAACCCCCCAGATCGCACCCCCTGCGTACCGACTGCCCTTCAGTTCCCTGCCTTAGGTTCACTGCCCTTTAGTTCAGTCGATAGTTGAGTAGTGTCCGTCGTGCGTATTATGGCAGGCCGCGCATCTTTCTGTAATTTAATGTATTTGTGCGTGTAAAATGTTTTATTTTGACGACGACATCATGTTCCAATAGTTTTATGTTAGACGACAAGGCTTGAAAATGAAATGTCAGTTTCAAAACTAGTCGCTTGTAAGACTATTCAAGGATTGATGACATAAGGTACGTAAACCTATTCTATACTGGCAAAATTTTTTAAGATATTTTGTTTTCCGTAAACTGAACTTTGTTGTAGTCCTCTAAATGTCCAATTGAATGCAAGAAAATTCATTTTTTGGACTAAATTCTGATTATAAAGTGTATATTAGAAATGGGACCTCTTGTCGTTATGGCGAAATAACATTGAGCGACAAGAGGTACCTTTTCTCAGACTGTGCCTGCTAACAAAATGATTTATTTCGACCTTTTACATCTTAGATTCGATATTTTAACCAATACTGTCCTGTTTTATGTTAAAAGAGGTATAACAATCAATAAAAGAGCAAATTTTGATATTTTCAACCTTAATCACTTATATCGGCTGTACTGAAAGTTTTGTATCGCGTACATGAGGTACCTTTTAAACTTCCACATCACAGATATTCTTTAGAATAAATTGGATATGTCCATGTTTTATACAATAGAAAAAATGAAAAAGGGCTTGCCCATCTTCACACAAAATCATTGTAAGCCAATTTTCCAGCAAGAACCTGGTTAAACAACAGTTTTAAATTGAATAATGTTCATGTCCCTAATTACAAGGGGTAGCTTATTAAATAATCTTATTGATAGCACAGATGGCTTTTTCATTGATTTGCTTAGCCTAACAAAAGGCAATTGTAAGCCATATCTTATTCTAGTTTTGCACGTCATTATTATGAATAAAATCTTGTTGATTTGAAGACAAACAGGTTTTGCAGAACAAAGGCAGAGTAAAAAATAAAAATTTTCAAATGAACAAACGATGGTTTACAGTGAGTTTTTTAGTGAACTCCTACAATTAATTGGACAGCACATTTTTGTAGGATACAAACATCTTTTAATGCCGAGGCACTGCCCCAGACGATCAAGCCATAAGTAATCTTAGCATGAAATAATCTAAAATAGGCTGTTCTAACTACATTTTGTGATTTAGCATAGGCCTTATGAATTGACACACATTGTATTAGCCTTCTTAAATACATTTTTTTACTTACCCTAAACCTAACAAAGAGGAAGGCTTGAGATACAAGATACAACGGCTCGACACACATCTCGATGACACAGCTGATGGCGATTGCGTACACTCCTATGGTGTAGTGGCGGGTGATCTTAGGGTCGGGTAGTTCTAGTACGTTGAGCCACACCCAGCCAAACAACACGCACATGACGCTGCATAGTGGGACCCTGGAAACAGACGTACATATCTTACCTCACGGGGGAATGGTAGCAAATGGTTTATAACAAATATTTTATTAAACTTGGCTGTTAATAGGTACAAATTAAGCTTAGGACCAAAAAAGGGTCATCAAAATATTTATCCAGGGAATACTATGCCCTATTCTCAAGGTATTGCACTAGTCTTCCAAACGTGCTTCTCCTATATAATCTGAAGAGTTAGGGCGAATTAGTGTACATCAAAAACTGATTTTGTATTTAATTGCTTCTTTCTGACCATAGGCTAATGACTACCAGTACTCAACTTTTTGATGGTATGAAAATGGACTCAGCTTTCCTTGATCATTAGGCTTTCCATAAATTGTTCTGGCTAACGGGTCTTTGTCAGTAACAAAGCTACAAAGGCATCTGACTTCATTCTAAACTCATCCTTAATTCATATTTGTGTTTAAAAACGCACCTAGGAGGCTTCCTCATCTCAATTAATAAGTAACTAGTGTACCTGTAGCTTGAATTCGAGCAATTGCTAAGTATTACAGGCGTTATTTTAAAACGATTAACAGTCATAATTTCTGATGACTTTAAAATATTCGACTCAAAGATTTCATGGTGGCATGGCCTCTGGATCGTCTGAATTAACTATATAGTGGTTTAAATTAAACCTTGTTACTGTCAAAACGATCCTTTGTAGTTAGTAAGACTACAGCTGTTTCATGCTACGAATGGAGCACATCATCAGGTCAGAAGAATGTCAAGTAGTCTTCATATTCCTCGCAGTGGAGTTCGTCAAAAGTTTAATAATAAATAGAGAACAAAACACATAACACACGGAAACACGAAACATTTAATATTGGTCGACCACACGACGGTAACAACACACGTGATACGGCGCCGGTTGAGGGTGAGTCGCGACTGTCACGTGCCGTCGGCGTTGACCCCTACTCCTACTCCAATGTTATCCTTATCTCGTTCCTTTGTTTTCTGTTTATTGTGTATATGAATAGTGGTGTTGTAGATGATGTTTGGATCGAATGATAATTGTTCATTTAATATATTCTGTGGTTGTTCTTTTGACGCCTTGTAGATTTCAAACTCCTCAACTGTATCCATGTATCGTCCTTTATTGCAGAGTTGTACTGTTTCTAAATTATTGTCAATATTTGTGTAATTATGGTTGGATGAAATTAAGTGGTTTGCATACGCTGATTTGGAATTTTTCTTTGGCATATGTTCCTTAAACCTGATGGAAAAAGATCTTGATGTTTGGCCTATGTAAAAATTGGGACAATCGTCACATTTTAGTTTGTAAATTCCTGTTTTGTCCATTGTATTAGTTCTAGACGGTTGTCGTTCTTTGACGATGGTAGACAGTTTATTGTTAGTTTTGAAAGATACGACCACATCATTCTTAGCCAACTCTTTAGTCAAGGTGTGGTTCAGTACGACACCGTAGTTCGCACTTACGTATATTTTACTCTTATCTTGTGGCTTATTATCATTTCTATTGCATTTCTTTATCAGTTTGTCGATCAAGGAACTGTTATAGCCATTGGCGACTGCTATATGTTTTAACGTATTTACTTCGTCGTTGTAATCAGTTGCACTCATTGGGATGGAGAGTAAGCGGTGGACAAAACTATTGTATGCAGCTGTTTTATGGTTATGTGGATGATGTGATAATGAATGAATCGTCTGATCTGTGGTGGTTGGTTTTCTGTAGATTTTAAATTGCAATTGGCTGTTGTATCTGGTAATGGTAACGTCTAGGAAATTAATGGATTTATTTTCTTCAATTTCAAGGGTAAACTGTAGGTTTTTGTGGAATCTATTTAAGTATGCCTGGAGTAAGCTGATTTGGAGCAAAGAACGACAACCGTCTAGAACTAATACAATGGACAAAACAGGAATTTACAAACTAAAATGTGACGATTGTCCCAATTTTTACATAGGCCAAACATCAAGATCTTTTTCCATCAGGTTTAAGGAACATATGCCAAAGAAAAATTCCAAACCAGCATATGCAAACCACTTAATTTCATCCAACCATAATTACACAAATATTGACAATAATTTAGAAATAGTACAACTCTGCAATAAAGGACAATACATGGATACAGTTGAGGAGTTTGAAATCTACAAGGCGTCAAAAGAACAACCACAGAATATATTAAATGAACAATTATCATTCGAACCAAACATCATCTACAACACCGCTATTCATATACACAATAAACAGAAAACAAAGGAACGAGATAAGGATAACATTGGAGTAGGAGTAGGGGTCAACGCCGACGGCACGTGACAGTCGCGACTCACCCTCAACCGGCGCCGTATCACGTGTGTTGTTACCGTCGTGTGGTCGACCAATATTAAATGTTTCGTGTTTCCGTGTGTTATGTGTTTTGTTCTCTATTTATTATTAAACTTTTGACGAACTCCACTGCGAGGAATATAAAGACTACTTGACATTCTTCTGACCTGATGATGTGCTCCATTCGTAGCATGAAACAGCTGTAGTCTTACTAACTACAAAGGATCGTTTTGACAGTAACAAGGTAATTTAAACCACTATATAGTTGACTCAAAGATTATGGAAATACTAATGGATGTACATAATAGATCAATATAATCAACATTTATTGTAAACTGGCATTGGGTGACACATTGTGTGTCCAAAAGCCAGCACGACTCCCTTCCCCATACCGCCCTGAGCGATAGGGATCATTGAGATTCGCTCTAACCTTTCCTCTCCCCTTCATGGGCAAGTTTTCATCCCTTTTCTTTCTTAGGTTTTTTTTTTTTTTTTATTTTAATGCCTGTATGTATCCTTTGTCTTTTCCTATTTCCCTATCTACTTTTCTAAACATCACAATTGCTTCCTTGTCACTCATCATGTTTTATTTTCTCATCTCTAGGCCTGTCTTATCCAAGACTTATTCCTGTTCTCTCCTATTTGTCTCCTGAAGTGAGCAATTTATAAATACAACACTCGTGGTTTTTATTTCTCCACATCTACATACTTCCTCCTCCACCATGTGAAATCTTCACAAAATCGCCTTGAAATTTTCAATGTCCTGTGACAAACTGCGTTTCATAATGGCCCATCCCCCAATCTTGTTTCAGTCTCTTTCTGATGTTAGGTATATATACGAACGTTAACCTTTAAAACGTTAACATAAAACACTCTGCTCCCCAACGCATTCGCCACTCATCTAATATCTCCTCTCTTCTGTTTTCAAATTAGTCTTACACTCCTCCTTTTCTTCCAAAATCAACAGCTTATGCAGCGATTATACAACAGTCCTAAATTGAATATGAAATCTTCAGGTGACTGCTGGAGAGCACACTTAAACCCAACACGGAAGGGTGCTTGCTGGATTCGGCTATCAACGACAATAGTATTATTTGTATTTCGTTCACGTCTACCGTCTACCAGTTAAAGATAGTCGGCCTCTTCCCATTTGCCGTCCTGGTCAACGTCTTATAGTCTCCATTATGTCAAACTTTTTTTGTTGTTATGTTTTGATTTTGTGCAAAATTTTAGTATAACCATCTGTTTCAAATATAAGTGTCAATTTCAAAGTATTCATCTGTTCAAATATAAACAAACATTTTCTCCCTAGAAGAATAACATGGGAACTTTGAAGGCCACTGGGGCAGAGCCCTGATGGAATTCCAAAGTTTTTTGTTTGATGGCAAAACTACATGCTAAGACCTTTCTAAAGACACCTTGAACATGGTGATCGGTAACACCACCACTCCAAAACAATTATGAAAAAAATATGCCTAGTGTATTAAATATATAGACTTTATAAGTGGTAATAATATATTGTTAGTTGTCACAAAATATTTTGTTCTTATACTTTTGCATTAAATCTTAAGCTATGAGCTGCAAGACAGGAGTAAATATGTATTTATTGAGCGGAGCGAGCGAAGCGAGCGTAGCTCTTTTGGATCAACTTCAATGCAACAAATAGAGAAACATCACTCAATAACGGCTGAACGCATTTCAGCCAAACTTAACAAAATTACTTAGACTAATAGTGAGATGGTTTTTAAACAAACAAATTTCAATTAGATAATGCCAATGCAATTTAAAACGAACTTAAAATTTCCAATTTTTAACATTAGGCTTATGGGACTAAAGTAGCCATATGACAGTTTTTTGTTTACAAGAACAATGTAAACAAGAAAATAATAAGGTATTTCTAAACTTTCTAGACTTTTCTTTTAAACGTTTTTAATCCATTCCTATGATTTTAATAAACAAGAAAATGCCGTTAAAACATTTTTTAAGGGCGCGGAATTCACTGAAAATTAAGAAAATATATGGAACTACTTTCTCAATGCGCGGAGCATAAACAAGGAGCGGAGGGATACGAACCGGTGACTACTTTCTTGCGAACCTATTTGTGTTGCCAGCTGATTAGAAACAGCCAATGTTAGAAATCAGGATTTAATAAGCGATATATCGAACCGCATCGAAATCGATATTTAATCCGATAATACATCACAGGTTGTATTATGTTGAATTACATCGACGGTGCAGTAAGTTATTACACTTGTTAATAAAACGCAGATTGAACACTGATCTAATTTAGGCATGTGGGGAATGTAGGTCGGGGTTTATGAGTATTCGTGACTAATAAACGAAATAATATGTTTATGACGTATAATTATTATTACAGCGTGGATAAATAAAAATATACTTTAAACGCCCAATAAAAACGAAGAATACGCTAAAAATAGTAAAGAAATTTCTGTATTAGGCTAATTAATTTGAGTTGTTTAGATAAGGCCTACGTTGTGACAAAATAAGATGACGTAATTGGAGACCAAATCTACATTGTCTCTGGCATGTCTTCCCTTCTATTATTATTATGTTTTCACATAAATCAGCTGATGTGATGTTTACTTTTTACTTTTGTTATTATTATGCCTACATTTCAGCCATGTTTAATTGTTCAATAGTATTTTTAGCAGTTCGTTAGTTTTTTGTTTTACACAAA